CCATTTTTTTTGTTAACAATGAATCCACCTTATTTGTTACTAATAAAAGCGGCATTACAAAGATGTTTCATTTGAAAATCAAGTGTCCTGATGGAACCATTTTCACTCAGGGGGCGGTCGATCAATCAATCCTACCATTTCTATATATATGAGTGTGCGTGTGCACCACATTAAATGTTCTGCTTGCTCTGTCTTCACTCCTACGCTGTTAAAAAGTTGAAACGTTGAAAGGACGGACAGTGCTTCACGAGAAAAAAAAGCCATACATCAAAAACAGCCGTGAGGGGAGAACAAACAGCTGAGTGCAGCTTGTGCGAAAATATCAGTGAACCTCAGCACACTTCTCTAGCCAGTCACAAACTCGAGCAACACTAGTCTAAAAGCTGTGAATGTATTCCTTACTGACTGCATTCCCTTCCCTCCTTTGGCTCACACATCAAACTCGGAACACTTTTTTTCAGTGTGTGAGTTTGAACGTAAACCGATAAGCACACCCAGTCCTCCCGATTTTTTTTAATTAAGCAATAAACAGCAAACGCTGGAAACGAGCGACTTAAAAGAAAAAAAAGTATAGAGCTAACGCCTCAAAGCTCTTCATACAGTAAAACTGGCATAAGTCTCATCTGTATAATCGCTTAAGTTGTACATCTGCCCCAAGCCCTATTCAAGAGTTTATATTCTATGCACGTTTGACAGAGCTCATACTTTGCATAAATCATTTTAAATGTGTGTGTTATGCCTTGTGTGAGGTTCACTGTGATAACTCTGCTAGTGATTGTTTTTGTAGGTCAAAAACCCCACAAGGTCATCGTATTGGGTATGACCTTCTCTTCTGTCAGAGGTGAAACGTTTGGCTGGTGAGAAATCTGTTCAGGATAAGAGCAGATGAATGAATTCCCCCCCCGCCCCCCAATTCTTGTCAGAATAATTCTCTACCAACACGGGCCAATTCAGCTCAAAATGATGGCTTCTCCCGGTTTTATTATAATAATCCTTGCATTTCATATAGTGCCTTATCGTGGCTTCAAGACAGCTGAGTGTTCCTTGCGTCCCACCTACACATGGAAATCCCAGAGATAGATTGATGGAATGTGTACTCTCCCTAATTCCGGAGAGTATTAGGCGCAGGTTGGCAAGAGCCAAGGCTTGGGGAGAGCCGGAGTGTGTGTTCGAGGTAACTGCTGGAGGCATGTACATATAATCCGCTAACCTGTAAACTCCGATATGGCAAAGTACAGAACTAATCCTCCCAGTAATCTGCAAACCATGTAGTTCTTTCAATTGTCTGTCAATCAATGACCTTTCCAGCTGCCTGGAATAGTATTTCCCTCTCCTCCCCCACCTCCCAACACATCTTATCCTCAACACTAGTACATTTTACTCACTCACAGAAGATTCAAGTGAGAAGAGAATATAGCTCTCGGGCACATTCTCCCGAGAGCAGCAATCAGAACGAGAGGGAGGTTGGTGCAGAAGATGGGACTTATTAAGGATCTGGGTGTACACAGGGCAAGTCGAGCAGCGATTCCCTTCCCATACTGCGCTGTTGTTAACCCCGTGCAAGTGCACTTGTTAAAAGTTAATTTGTTAAACACTAGCTCAGCCATTCAGAGAGGCAGCAAAGTGAAACTGCAGCTTTCTATATTTAGCGCTGTTGCTATGGCAGAAATCTGCCTCCCGCCTCTCTCTCCATGTCTTTAAGCTGAAGTTTCAATGTGTTAGCCAACCCCCTCCCACTCCCCCTCCTTTCTGCATCAACCCAGAATTCTGGAGTAAAATCCTGCTTGTCCTGCGTGCAGGAGCAAAGCCAGTCCCATTTGCATACGGCACAGAATTACATCATTTGAAAAAAATCAACTTTGTGCAAGCGGTTAAGAGTGATCTGCAGTATTTGACCTCTGCGCCATTTCAGTTGCAACTGAATAAATGAATAAATGAATGAATGAATGAAGGGAGATTTATTGAACTTCAAAACGTTGTGCATCACGGGAGCTTCGCTTCTTTTCGCCCACAAAACACACATTCGATTCACTTTACAGCATAATCCTGGGGGAGCCCTGAGACGTCTCGATGACGTGATAAGGCGCGTCCTCACATCGCAGAGAATATTAGCGCTATTTCTTTAGGCAATAGCTGCACAAAACAACTGATCTATTTTTGTCTCGCCCCACACCCCATTCAGTAGCGGTGGGGGTGGGCACCTGCGATTAACCCAATGGACATGGGATAGCACTGCCTGTTTGTTGGCTGGGCAGCTATTCAGGGGGTGTTGAGCAGCCCTGTCTCTCCAGCCTCTGAGTTCTTGCACATAACAATATTTTGTAACCGTTCTATTTTGGAGAACTGGAGCCCTGTAGCTCAGTGGTTAGAGCACTCGCTTTGCAAGTGAGAGACCTGAGTTCAATCCCAGGCAGAGGGCGAAACCTTGGGCAAGTTTCCTTACTCCACACAGAGCCTAATAATAATCCCTCCAAAAAAAAACAATAATAAATTGGTCATTTTCAATCTACGACTGTTTGTGGGACATTGCTGTGCGCAATTGGCCGCCGCGTTCGCCCACAAATATACAGTCAATTCACTTTACAGTGTGTTCTGTGAAGCGCTTTGGGACGTCCTCCCGACGTGAAAAGCGCTATATCAAATGCAAGGATTATTATTATTATTATTATTTGGAGCGTCGCGAATCTTTGGCACAAATCACTCGCTTTTTTTTAAATTTACAGTTTTTGCAGCGACGACCTCGGCGCCGGAGGACGGCGTTCTCGGGACCAGCGCGAGCCGCCGGCGGCGCGCGCGCTGCGAACAGCCGCCTGCCCCGTGCGCTCGCCGCCAGGAATCCGCCACCGCGCGCGTTTTCGCCCACGGAACGTACAGCCGCGCTACGCTTTTACGGTACGTTCTGGCGAAGTGCTTCCGAGGCGACTCGGAGGCGGTGGATCGGACCCCAGGGTCCTCTCGCGGGTCAGGCCAGCGCTCTTGACCACTGCACCACGGGAATCGCCCACGAGTGTCTCGCCCGTTGCCTTTCTCTCGGTCTCGCTTTCTCGCTCGGTCTCCGCGGCTCTCACTCGCTGTTTATCTGTGTGAGGGTCTCTGTCTCTCTCACACATTCTATCTATCTCTGTGTGTGTGTGTCACTCACACACACACAGTCTGTCTCACACACACTATCACACACTGTGTGTGGGTGTGTGTGTGTTTCAGCCTCTTGAGGGAGATCTGGGTGTAGTGAGGCTGGCGCAGCTGCAGGGGGCGCTGTGGGAGGCGGGCGCATGTGGGAGGCGGCGGACGTGCTCGCCTGAGAGAGTACGGCTCCCACAGTGCTCTCGGGGGCGCGTGGGGGGGGGGGGGGCGCCTCGATCACGTGCGCACCTGCTCGCCGCTGATTGGCTCCGGAGCCCCTTTCCCGCCTCTTGCCGCCTGGCGGCTCGTGCGGCGTCGTGTGTGTGTGTGTGAGTGAGTGTGTGAGAGGGGGAGAGAGGGAAGGAGAGAGAGGGGGGAATGAAGGAGAGAAAGATAGAGAGAGAGAGAGAGAGGAACTCCCTCTCTCCCCCCTCAGTGCTGCACCAGAACAGCCGCGGAGAGAGTCGCGGGTAAGTGCAGCGATGGGGCCGGTGATGCGCTTCCTCTCGCGCTCCTCCGCCCACACTCGTTCGGACGGCAATTAATAATAATAATGATATTAATAATAATAATATAACTGTCCACACGGGTGAAGCGAAACTCCTGTCGCTCACTGACTGGGGGGGTTTTCGTGTTTTTTTCTCACGGCTGTGAGGTACATGTGATAAGGTTCGGGTTCGGGTCGCGATAGGGGCGGAGGAACGGACTCCGGGGCGGACAGTCCCTGTGACAGCGGCGTAATAGCCTTTTATATTTTATATATATATATATATATATGTGTGTGTCGCGTAATGGGTTTGTCAGAGGTGTCGGCCGACTGCGCGACGCGTCACCGGGGGTCAGAGGTCACCGGAAATCCGGTCGGTCACGGGGGGGGATTTCCGGTCGCCTGCGCGACCCCCGACCCCCCCCCCCCCCCCGAGTTTAAACTCAGATGCGCTCGCGCCGGCATTTGTACCGCGAGTCGGTTTCTCCGGCGCTGAGCGGAAACGGGAGCATTCGCTGCTTTTCGGTGTCTACGCTTTCGTGCACCTGTTACGGATAAACATTTGATTTCGAAATGGCCTTTGGGCTCACACCCGTCCGTCATCATCGCAGTGATGATAATAATAATAATAATAATAATAATCCTTGCATTCGATATAGCGCCTTATCACGTCTTCGAGACAACAACAACAACAACAACAAGGTTGCATTTATAGAGCGCCTTTCACGTCGGGAGGACGTCTCAGAGCGCTTCACAGAGTATGCGGTAAAAAGTGTAGTGAGTGTGCGATAAAAGACTGGAAAACAGCAAGGAAAATTCTTTATGCCCCGACAGTCATACACGGCCGCCTACATGTTCTTCGCATTCACAAGTGGCAAAATCGAAAAGCCATTACCGGCACTTTAATAACTCATTCGTAACATAAAAATCAATGCACAATGAGAACATTCCCTCGCTGTGAACTCAGGGAAGAGATTTGCCATTAAGCCTTTATTCAGTGTTTAAAAACCAAAGCAAGTAGGCTCCGAAAAGTAAATGGGTCTTGTTCCTAATTGTTGTTCTCAGTTGAATATTCAGTGACTTGTCAGACGTTGTGGCATCCACTAGTTTCATTCACTTTGCACAAGGGAAGGAAACTAGTGTTGGATGTTGAGTGAGAGGTTGGGCCTTCAGCCTCTCCGCCCCCAGCCTTTGGAACTCCATCCCACACTCCCTTTGCCTCGCTCCCTCCCTCGCCTCCTTCAATGCACGTCTCAAGAGCCTCCTCTTCTACCGCACCTTCGGTCACCCTCCTACCCCCACCCTCCCTACCCTCCACCCCCTCCTGATCCTAGCCCCCAGCTCGGATCCAAATCCCTGATTGTCCCGGACCTTGGGACATCCTCCCGATATGAAAGGCGCCGTGTGAATGTAATTTGTTGTTGTTGAGTGTTGCTCGTTGGTTCTAGTTGAGATTGTAGCTAAAGTCCTGTGAGATGAGCAAGACTGACAAGAATTGCCAATACACCATCATAATTAAAGCCACACATCTTCAAGGTTGTCTCAGTAAACCGTGAGCACAGTGATAGATAGGGCAGTGTCTTGAGAAAATAGTCCATTGGTAAGGCAAAAGGATTTAAGGTGGAACTGTCCCTCCTCTTCAATCTCATCCCTTTTAGTTTGGGAGATGGCTCTGCAGTCTGTATCGGATTCCGCTTTCAGGAATGTGAAGAGGTTTATAATATAATTCCCCAAATCCATTTTCCATTGGAAAAATATCTCCGAGTCTATTGGAACAGTCCTTGGCTCGTCAGACTGTGCTGAAAGAGCTTTGAGATAACAGAGGTACTTTACATCGCTTCTTGCTGCGGACTGGAGATTTTAAATTAAAAAAAGTTCTTAGATAATTTCCACACTCTTAATCCTCTGGATTCTCACTGTATAAAAAAATTGTATGTCTTGACGATCAATATTTTTTTTAATCAGTTTCCTGACCACGGCTCTCCTGTTCAGTGTAGGATAAACTAAATAACATTCTCAAAGAGTTGCATTGATTTCATAATGTTTTCATCCTGTAACAGAGAGAGAGAGAGTAATTAGAAAATAAGTTTCTCAGATTTTATTTATTTCCAAAAAAGGAACAACATTAGGGTTCACATCCAAGTCAAATCCTATTTGAAGAAATACAACACAAATTTACATTTATATAGTGCCTTTCACGTTGGGAGGACATACCAAGTGATAGTCCTGGCTTGGCACCCAAGCTGGGGATGGGAGCAGAAGGAGGGAGGGTGGTGGGGGGGGAATGAGGAGGGGTAATGACCAAAGGTCTGATTAAAGAGGAGCAATAATAATAATAATATAATAATAATCCTTGCATTTGATATAGCTCCTTATCACATCATTGAGACGTCTCAAAGCGCTTCACAGAATATACTGTACAGCGATTTGGGTATTTTGTGGTGAAACTCAGCAGCCAATTGTGCACAGGATTATCCCACAAACAGTCGTTGACTGAGTGACCAAATTTTTGGGTGAGGAGCCTTGAGATGGACCTTGAAAGAGATGAGTCGGAGTCAGAGGGACTTCAGGATGGAGTTCCAGGGATGGGAGCAGACAGGCTGAAAGCCAGACCACCTCTGGTGGGGCAGGTAGGGTGGAGGACATGAAGCAGGCGAGTGCTTGCTGAGCGTCAGGACGGTTTAAGGAGGTGGCAGAGTTTAGGTATGGACTCTGAGCAGCTCTAACCTTTTGGCAGGTCTCCAGGAACTCATCGATGGTCACCACTCCATCCTGATTCCTGTCCATTTTCTGTGGGATGACAGTATCAGTTACTTTTTAGCGCAGGCCGCAAATATCAAGCGGTAAAAAGGGGTTCAAACGCTGCATTACCTGGAAGAACCTTTCCACGTGTTCAAACGGAACATCTTCGTGCATAATGGGGTACGTGTATCTGCCCATCATATCGTAGATAGATTTAATGATAGCCAACATTTCCTGCAAGCAGCACAGGACACAAATCTGATTACACCACCACCACCACAACAACAACTTTCATTTATGTAGCAAATATGTCTCAGGTATTTGTTTCAAAGACAGAATTATTCTTGAGAATTAGGGATTTTACAAGGGTTTAAGTACTGACAGTACCTCCTTTGTGATGTAACCATCACTGTTGATATCATACAGGTTGAAGGCCCAGTTAAGCTTTTCATTTACAGTTCCACGTAGTAACAAAGACAACCCGATGACAAAATCCTGGGACAGACATAGTCCGAGAGAGAGAGTGTGAGAGAGAACAGATAGAGAGAGAAGAAGGGGAAGGAAAGACTATTTATTTATATATAGGTTATCATTATTTCTCTTGATTGTTGTTCATTTAGGTCCCATCTCCCTTCCCCCTGCTATTTATTTCAAGTGCGCATTCTATTCCAACAACAACAAATTACAATTACACAGCGCCGTTCACGTCGGGAGGACGTTCCAAGGTGCTGGACAGTCAGGGCTGACCAAAAAGCCCCACCAAAAAATATGAAAGTGTTTAACACTGCTGCCATATATATTAACAAACCTATTAGGTTAGGGGTAATTAGCAAATACAGACAAAAATGGCAAATGACCTCCAGCACAGAGGTTTCTATCAGTTGTTTACATTAATAGGTTGAAATAATAATAATCCTTGTATTCGTTGTAGCGCCCTATCATGTGGGTGAGACGTCTCAAAGCGCTTCACAGAGTATACTGTGAAGTGTAGTGACTGTGTGTTTTGTGGGGAAAATGTGGCAGCCAATTGAGCGCAGCAGCGTCCCACAAACAGCCGTGGGGTAAGAGTTTGGAGAGTTAGTGCTACCATTCACACTCTGATCTTTCGTTTCTACTCGTCTCTTACCTCGAACCGGATTGCTCCTCTTTTGTCCGCATCAAATGCATTGAACAGGAAATGTGCGTAAGTCGTAGCATCTAAACAAGAGAGTCAAGTGTTTGTTTTGTACGTGCAACAGATGCATAGGCCTCGTATAATACCCGTGTATATGAGGAAGGGGAAGCGGACTTCATGACCAGATGAAGAAGGCTGTACAGTATATACGCAGTGCGTGGTCTCTAGATTAGCTATTCTCTTCTTTTATATTCTCTTACCTCCTTGGGGGAAGAATTGTGAATAAATGGCTTTAAATGTTTCTTCATCCACCATCCCACTGGGGCACTCCTAATAAAGGAAAGGCAGAAATATTTTGTCACGTACTGTATCCCACTTTTAAATGAGCCACAGTATCAATTATTTTCCCAACCCTAAAATCATGAAAAAAATCACTACATTGATTTGAGGATCTGCTTAAGTACAGGAGTGCGTGGAAGCTACAAACGGCTCCTTTAAATGACTCCGAATTTAAAATGTTCAAAATTATGAGGGGGTTTTGATAGAGTAAATAAGGAGAAACTAACCAGTGGTGGGTGGGTCGGTAACCAGAGGACACAGATCTAAGATAATTAGCAAAAGAACCAGAGAGGCGACGAGGAGACTTTTTTTTATACCCAGAGAGTTGTTATGGTCCGGAATGCACTGGTGGAAGCAGATTCGATAGTAGCTTTCAAAAGGGATGCGGACTTGAAAAGGAAACATGCGCAGCAGGGCTGTGGGGTAAGAGCGGTGAGTGGGTCAAGAAGTGACCTGCTGACCATTTGCAACAGTCTCGGCGAGGCTGTTTTAATTCCATGTTTTGTTTCCGTTTTTTTTTCTTGATCGGATATTCTTTTGTGGCACCAGTCAAGAAAATATTCAATCAAGGCAATTTATTTTATTGGCTGACCGAAAAGGTTTTAGCCACCGCTGCCACAGACACTGGAATCAGCCACTTACGTAAAGTGCTGATTTACAGTCTTCTCCACAGTAACAATAAATACCATCATTAGTTGCAGGAAGATTGAGTTACTTGCGTACACTTTTGAAGCCCCTGTAAAGTGACTGGAGTTCTTTCTTGGTAAATTTGGTCTGTGCTTGTAGCTCCTCAAGACCCTCCGGCTGATGTCTCGCATTTGATAGCTCCAAATCAATTTCGCTGTTGTCTGTAAAGGAAAAAACCGTAACACTTAGCACTGTGTACAGCCTTATTGAACCAGGTTACCTGACACCGTCCCAAAATTTCATTGAATAAGTTCAGTGCAGTGGTTTGGTGTCAAAGTGCCTTGTCCAATGTGAAAGGCTTTATAATAATAATAATCCTTGCATTTGATATAGCGCTATATCACGTCATTAAAACGTCTCAAAGCGCTTCACAAAATATATTGTAAAGTTGATTGACTTGAGTTTTTTGTGTGCGAAACTCAGCAGCCAATTGCACATAGCAGTGCCTGACAAACAGGCATGGATTGAGTGACCAAATATATAGGTATATATTTTTTGTAGAGATTATTACTCCCTGAAGACAACCCGCCAATCGACTAACAATCGGGTTCCTACTTATTACATTTGATATAGCGTCTTATCACGTCTTCGAGATTTCTCGCATTTTCACAGAATATACTGTACAGTGAATTGACTACACAACGTCTCACTTGAGGACAACAACTCTGATATTGCAGTGCACTCCCCAGTGCTGATAAATCAGCCCAGATTGTGTGGGTTCAAAGTCCCGACGTGGGGACCTGAACGCACAACCTGAGAGGTGAGAGCGCTACCACTGAGCATGGCACAGGCACTGAATCATCGCAAGTTGCTGACGTGATAACACTCAGTGCTATCTGATACCTGGGATGGGATAACTCTTCCACGATAGAAGTGGGGAGCAAACTCGGATCTGGAGATGAAAAGATGCTGCGTTGGAGATGCATTCAGCAACATTAATACCCACGTCCTGGCTGTTTTGAGAAGAGAAACCTCTGCTATATTGATTTTAAGGTCTGGTTTCCCCACCTTGCAGTCTTCTGCCTGCTGAAATTTCACCACTCTCTCAGCCATTCTATTTTTATTCAATGTCTTTCTGAAAATAGCTCTATCCTGGAGTGGAGAGAAACTTTGTGTATCTTGACATCATTAGACGCTCTCTAAATATCCTAACTGCACGGAGAAAGATAGTCCATTCGCAGGACTCACTGAACCGGCTGGAGAATCATTATATTGTATTGGTGAGGTTCCTAGAGAAGCCATTAAACGTGACAGTGAGTCACTGGGAGAGACTGGAAGTGAGAGAAAGAGTAGGAGTGAGCCTGAACTAGTCGAGAGAGTGTGGCAAAGTAATTTCTTGACGTAATCAAGAGCCACGTAGTCTAAGCTGACGCCCCAATTCAGTGCTGCATTGTCGGAGGTGAATACAGTGAATTCACTTTACAGTGTATCCTGTGAAGCGCTTTGAGACGTCTCAAAGACGTGATAAGGCGCTGGGTCAGATGCAAGGAATTTAATTATAATTATTACTCTTCCCCTGACTGTCGAGAGATGGAATTTGCACGTTAGTTCAGTTCTTACCTGTCATCTGTTCTCTTGTGTAAAAAAAAATCCTACCCAGCGAGCGAACTTGCTGCTTTACCAGACGGAAACACACTAGAGTAACACAGTCTCTACTGGTGGGTTCTGTAGGTTTATTATTAGAACATCTTAACACAATTTAATTGATCAGAAGTACCAACTGTTGTGTTGCCTGTCAACCATCCCTTCTCCTGTCACGGGCCAACACTATTGAATCTTCTACAAATCGAACCTCAATAACACTTTTCCGTTTGACTGTCTGATCTCTGGAGAACCTGAACTTAGGCTTTTTTTTTTCCATCTCGCTCTAGTGATGTGCCTTCCTCTCGCTCCTTCCTTCCTTCCTTCCTTCCTTCCTTCCTTCCTTCCTTCCTTCCTTCCTTCCTTCCTTCCTCTCCTTCAATATCTGCCTCAACTGTCCTCCTTCACTGTGTTCCAATTATCTCCCCCCCCCCACCAGCTCAGGTGCAAACCCTGGAGTATTAGTGCATTGGGACGTCCTCTCGACGTGAAAGACACTATAATAATAGTCCTTGCATTTGATATCGCGCCTTATCACCTTGTTGAGCCGTTCTCAAAGCGCTTCACAGAAGGTATTGCAAAGTGAATTGACTCTATTTTGTTTGCGAAACGCAGCAGCCAATTGCGCACGGCAGTGCCCCACAAACAGCCGTGGATTGAGTGAAGATAATCTCATTCTTCAAACCAAATTGAATTGCCTTTGCATTTGTACTTCCTCAATTATAGAAGAAACTCCCATTAACTCTGGCAGTATCTATCGTCTGGCAAGCTCCGGTCTGCTCCGTGTTTGCCAGTGTACGATTCAGTCTCATCGTTTTACCTGGTGATTCCCTGGCTTGTTCCTCATCTTTAGTGTTTGAAACGGTATTGTGCACTTCTTAACAGGTAACGAGCTTTGTTCCTCCACCAACATGATGTGGATGGTGGTTCCTGAGCTCCCACTGATTCCTTTATCAGTGCAGTGTTGATCTTCAGAGACCTTCCTCTTCAACCATGATTACGGTCACCTCCCCCCTCCCACCGGCTCAGCGTCAAGCACTGCACTGTCAAGCGCTCCGAGACCCTGCCCCACCTGACGGGCGCTATTTGAGTGCAAGTTGTTGTTATTCTTGTGACTTTTTCCAGAAACCCAGAAGTTCTGTTGTATAAAGAAAAGATCTGACTTTGGGCAGGGGGGTGGTGTCAGTGTGTCTAAATTGGCTGATAATACCAAATTACACGCCAGTGTGGTGTGGAGGAATACAGTCGGACCTAGACAGGGAGCAGATGGTTGACAAATGAAGCTCAATGTAGAAAAATACAAAGGGTAATTTAGAGGAAGAACAAAGAAATTAAAAGTCCTCTTAAGTACTACTACTGATAATCTTTGCATTTGATATATATTACAACATTGAGATGTCTCAAAGAGCTTTACATAATATATTGTAAAGTGGATTAACTGTGTATTTTGTGGATGAACAAATGGTAATATTCTTAATAGAATTAATATTAATTTTTAATCAGATGAATGATTATTAATTCATAATTATTTCATCTTAACGTTAATCCTTAAGGCAGTGAAGGAGCAGGGAGGAATACATCGGTAGGAGAGCAAGGAGGCCAAACCAGAAGGTGATGCAGTGTAATAAATAGGGTTTGAAAAGTTTCCATTGGGTAAATAGGAAAAGAAATGTGACGTATTTGTGGAAGAGCAAAGCCCCTAGTTCTTGATGTCCTTCAGTGATGTAGTTATTAGTGATCTATTCCTGTCTGCAGCAGCAGAGACAGCAACTTGATAAGCCACAACAGTCATGTATTATTAACAAGCTGGCAATGCAAATGGTTTTAACATCAGGGCAGAAACAGCCAAGGCTTCAGAAACAACAATCATGACTGAAACAGTTATAATGATAATAATAATCCTTGCATTTTATATAGAGCCTTATCAAGTCTTCGAGATGTCTCAAAGCGCTTCACAGAATATACTGTGACTGTGTATTTTGTGGGCGAATCGCGGCAGCCAATTGCGCACAGCAGCGTCCCAGAAACCACCATGCAGTGAATGATCAATTTTATCTGGGGGATTGTTGACCAGGACACTGGGAGTGAGTAAAAAGAGTGAGTTCTCTTTTCGAATAGGACCACGGGATCTTTAACGTCCACCTGAACGGGCAGACGGATGGAGAGCTCAGTCTACTGAATTGAGATGGGATTTGAGTATGTAACCATTTGCCTAAATCGTCTAACTCCGTACCCGGTGCTGCCTTTCCCAACCAGGGCACCAGAAGAGCTGTTCTGTACTGGTGCTCGCACCCTCCATCTGAATAATCAGCCGGTGCACAGTACAAGCTGAATGATTAATCAATCTGTGGTGTAAGATCTTCTTATCTCAACTCCACAGCCTTGAATTGTGAAACAAGTGTTTTCAGTGTCTGGATTGAGTATGTCCTACGGTTTCCTAGACCTTACATACGCAGTACAGCAAGAGTTTTTGTCACAGGCTCAGGACAAGGCAATGGGGGACCTGACCAACTGACATAAAGGACCACTTGATGACCGTGTTCAGTACAGGAAGGTCCGCTTGATAACTCGGCCCCTCCGCTCCTCCATTGGCGGCTGCACTTTCAGCCACTACACTCTGAAGCTTTGGAACTCTCTCACTTAATCCCTCCACCTCCCCACCTCCTTCCCCTCTTTTAGATCACGGCCGAAGACCTTCCTCTTTGCCAGTGCTTACGATCACCTCCTCCCACCTTTGCCCCCGTTCGGTGTCAGGCTCCGCTACTGTTAAGCACTCCGGGACACTACCCCGTGATAAGGGCACTGTGTTGTTGTGGTATTGGAAAAGAATTCAAAATGTGACTTCGGCTGTGAAGCAGAAACAACAGCCGTGGCTTCTGTCCCTCGATTATTAGTTGAGTGCAATTTACTCAGTTCCTTCAATAATTTCACAGAGTATCGAGTTACAATGAGCCGGTAATTTAATCCCTCGTTTCAGAGTGCAGTCAGTGCCAGCTGACTATCGCACTCCAGCTTTTCCTTCACGGCTTCACACACCACACATCGGCGCAAAATGTTACTCAAGGGTTTGGATAGAGTAGACAGAGAGAAACCTGTTTCCTCTGGTGAGCGGGTGGGTAACCAGAGGACACAGATTTAAGATATTCGGCAAAAAAACCAGAGGACAGACCAGACGAGGAGACATTTTTTTACCCAGAGAGTTGTTAGAGATCTGGAATGCACGGCCTGAAAGGTTTGTGGAAACAGATTTGATAGTAGCTTTCAAAAGGGAATTGGATAGGAACCTGAAAAGGAAAAGTTCTACGATTCTGTGTGTAGGACTATTGGGTAAGAGCGGGGGAGTGGGACTAGTTGGATATTCCTTTCAAAGAACGGGCATGATGGCCCGAATGGCCTCTTTCTGTGCCGTAAGATTCTATGAAGTCATATCAGTTGCATCTGAACACAGAGTTAGCCGCGGATCAAGAAACTAAATGGATCCTGGTCATCAGCGGACCTGTTCCTATTGCCTCTTTTGCAACTGTCAGCGTCAAACACTGTTAGAATCAGTTGCTGATCAGTTGCCTCATGAAGTGGGATGTGAGTGTATCAGTGATGACCCGCTGCCCTGCCCTATTCTCTCACACAGAGAGTTTTGCACCAGTGAAGTTCCCCCCCAGACATTGTGTGCAACAGCAGATTTGGGGAGCATTGACTTTCTATTCACCGTCTTTGTTACGCATCTCTAGTGATCAGCATCCCTCCCCCCTCAGTACAGCCACGCACAATTCTCTCCTCTTATTGCACACAAATGTACAGTCACTACATTTTACAGTATATTCTGTGAAGTGCTTTGAGCCGTCTCGAAGACATGATAAGGTGCTGGATCAAATGCAAGGATTATTATTATTACTCTCCTAACCCACGACTCATTGCAGGTATTGAATTCCCTGATCTGAGAGCGTTAAATATTGTCCATACTTTGTTCTGCCCACAAAATACACTTTACAGTACCTCCTTAGAGATGTCTCGAAGACGTGAAAAGGCGCAATATCAAATGCAAGGATCGAATGCAAAGATTTACTTGATCCACCGGGAACGAGGGAAAGAATGCACTCAGTACCTTCCATAGACATGGGCTCCAGTATCCCAAACTGTTTGAGAACTCCGATGAAGAGTACAATAACCACTGCCACCGCGATTATCTCCAATCCCTGCAGGGCCATCCTGCGCTGTAGCAATCACTCAAGCCTCGTTCTCCACACTCTCAATCCCCACAGCGACTCCTCTCTCTCTCTCTCTCTCTCTCGGTCTCTCGCGCTCGCTCTCTCTCGCTCTTGTTCTCTCCCTCTCAGGCCACAGCTAGTGTAGCACCCTGAAACTTTCCAACACGCCTCATTATGTGGTGAAGCCAAGCTGCAGGGATCACCAGTGCTGGTCTCGCTCGTGTTACTGCGGTATTTGTAGCCGGATATTCCCGAGGTCAACTCATTGCTCCACTTAGCACTCCCACTTGTACCAGAGTAAACACAGAAGTGAGGGAGGGAGGGAGGGAAAGAAAGAGGGAGGGCGGGAGGACACAATGTGGTTAGCATCCCATCTCCTCTAATGCCAATTCAGATCATCTGCATTGATTTTGATAATGGAGTTACCATGACGACAAGCGAGGGATATGCGGATCTTGTACTTACCGCAGCTCCTCACGGTTCTGATAAGAGAACGTCAGCAAGTTAGTCCCAAGGTTTCCACTGACTGACCGGGGTAACGAGTCACGGTGGGGGCAGCCAAAAGTAAAGCTGAGAGCAGCTTCAGCAGAAAGTCAGTCATCAGGGACCAGAAATCATGTAACAAACACTCGGTTACACTAACACACGCGCACACACACACACACATACACATCCGGCCTGAGACACCAAGCCCTGCAACTCAGCGAGAGAGAGAGACCAGATGGAGGAGCAGTCCAGATAGTGCCATTCTCTCCCAAACACCACACAGCCCTCTCTCTCTCTCTCTCTCGCTCTCTCTATCGCTATCTCTCTCGCTCGCTCCAGGTCCCAGACACAGATGTCTGAAGAACATCCGACACTTTGCAAACGTCTTCAGGGATCAATGACTTCACTCGTCGCTCGAACTAAAGGAAACACGAATAAGCTTAAAATTTATGACTTTGAAGCGGTTGATCAGCTCGTCTTCCAATGTCGTTGGGTAACGGCGACTTCTTGGAGCTGAGCTGGTCCCAAGGTGACGTTTCTGCTAATGAAATGTCAGAATCGAGCTAGTCCTCTGTGACGGTCACTAGTCCGGTTCATGAGCCAGGCAGTGTTCCAGGGCACTGTTGATGACAGCATAGCCCAGCCTGGCTGATCGGCAGGACTTGGAAGGGCAGACCAGTCACTGGGGGCAGGCTGTCATCTCACTCAGCTCCTGTCAACTCTGCAAGCCAAAGCCTTAATGGGTAGGGTGTCCTAGCTGGACAAGCAGCGGGAAAGCTTGCTGGACAGCGATATCAATGGTTTTAGCTGGTTAGACTCCAGCAGTTACCCCAACGCACACTCCATGCTCCCCACAAGCCTTGGCTCTCACCAACCTGCGCCTAATACTTTCTGGAATTAGGTAAGCAGGATGAGTCCCTCCAGGGAGAGAGCGAGAGAGAGAGCACATTCCATTTCCAACCATCTATCTCTGGGATTTCCACGTGAAGGTGGGATGCGTTGAATTCTCAGTTTGGTTTGGAGACTCGTAAGCAATGGTGTTGGGTTTCTGCAGGTGTCGGACACCCGGCTTGGCCAAAGTGGAATATGAAATTAAAGGTTCCAGAGAGAGAGAGAGAGACTTACATTATTTCTTAGAGGCTTCATTATTGAACGAATTGCCTGCAAAATATGCCCTTTGTCAAAAATATGCCTAATGATTGCACGTCAATTTTCCTTTCCTAGAAAAAGCAAAGAGTTTGGCAGAGAATGTGCCTATGAGCTGATCTAAGCACAGACTGCTGATGAGCTGTTGAGGGAAGACAAAGGCAGAATAGGAAATTTCTAGACAGTGGGAAACCACCTTTGATTGTCGTGTGTTCGAAGATTAATTATCCCTTTTGTCCAGGGCTTTTCTCTGGTGGGGAATCCAGAACGAGGGGGCGTCATCTTAGATCTAGAGCCAGGCCATTTAGGAGTGAAATCAGGAGGCATTTTTTTTTGCACAGAAGTAGTGGAAGTCGGGAACTCTGTGGAAGTCGGGAACTCTGTGAAGGCTGTGGATTTTGGCTGGATCCTTTCACATTTTCAAGACTGAGGTGGATATGGGGCAAAGGCGGGTAAATGGAGTTGAGGTACGGATCAGCCATGATCTAATAGAATGGCGGGACAGGCTTGAGGGGCTGAATGGTCTCCTCCTGTTCCTATGTTTCAAACTTCGTCATAGTTACTGTGACAAGTAAGAAAACATGTCCTAAAATAACCAATTGTGCTTCCCCATAGTTTAGTGAAGTAGCACAAAGAACTGAAAATGCCATACTTTGCGTGAATACGAGTAATAAAGTACAGCACTGATGTCTGTCCACAAACAGCGACCATCAGCTGAGCTTACCAGCTGGCGTCAGCACAATAGCTGGGGATGAGATCACAGCGCCAACGTGGGCTCCTGGGGACCATTAGCCCTTGTCAATATTTACCTGCTTTGACTAATGCAGGATCAGACTACGAAAGCCTTTTATTGATTGGATGATGTTTAATATTTCAGATCAAAGCACTGAGACACAATGCCATAATTATAATGAACCTGTAAAAGTTTAAAAGGCAATTACTAGCCACTGCTGAGTGCAGGACTATGATGATATTGTTGACCTTGAGTCTTTGGGACTGCAACTTAATAATAGTCTGCTTTATAGCATTTTTAACCGTTTGTCCCAATCACTGTTTGGGTAAGAGGGATTTATATCCCACTGTACCTCTGCGGGAATCATTTGTCAAGTCCTCGACTGGACAGAAGCCAAAGGTAACAGCTACAGAAAGAAGAAAGTTAGAGTGAGCAAGAGAGAGAGAGTGAGAGAGGAAAGAAGGAGAGAAACTAAAGAAAACAAATGATCGACAGGTTGCTTTTTGCTGTGGAAGATTTCTATCAGGGTGGTACCTGGAGTGACTGAAACCTGGAGCAAGCTGAAAGTGGAGTCGTGTAGTGTATTGGTTAGAGCACTCGCCTGCAAGCGAGAGGATCTGGGTTCAATTCCCGGATGGGACAGGGCGAAATAATAACAATAATACTAATAATACGTTAGGTATTTCTTCACGGTTTCTTCACAGAAACCTTAGGCCTAGCAAATCTGTGAGAATCAGGCTGCAAACTGCAGGTTCTAACATGTAGCATGTGACAGCAATTTTATACGGCTGCTAAATTGCTGAGTTAATGATTCCTTAGCTTAGTGGTTAGAGCACTTGCCTTGTGAGCGAGAGGACCTGGGTTTGATTCCCGGCAGGGCGAAACCGTAGGCAAGTTTCCTTACTCCACACGCCTCTGTTTACCTAGCAGTAAGTAGGAACCCGCTTGTTGGTCAATTGGCGGATTGCTTTCCGGGGATAGTAATCCCTTAAAAAAAAATTGTTCACTCAATTCACGACTGTTCATGGGACGCTGCTGTGTGCAATTGGCTGCAGCGTTTTGCCCACAAAATATACTCAATTCACTTTACAGTAATATTCTGTGAAGCGCTTTGAGACGTCTGAATGATGCGATAAGCTGCTGTATCGAATGCGAGGATTATTCTTGTTGTCTTAGTGATTGATGCTAATGCACCAACCAGTTAATGAAATACTGTCTGCCGTCAGAGAACAACCTTTCATGATAATTTTCTAAATTATTAAATCATTTGAAAGGTTCCCACAAGCAGTACTGCAGCTGTGAAGGCACTCTGGTAGCTACAGCACTGTGTGTGTGTGTGTGTGTGTGTGATAAAGCATTCATTGCAAGCATGAGGTTTGTAATCTCAAACGTGGAAGAAATGTGATTCCATCCACAAACATTCAAGGACAAGCAACAGATCTGTGGTTAGGAGGAATGTTTCAATGAACCATTACAGTCAGAGGGGTGACTGAGGGCCACGAGCACTTCTGTCTCCCAATGAAACTCTCGTCTGGGAGTGAAACAAACCTGCCTGGTTGCTGCTCAATACCTAGTTGTGCAGATAATAATAAATATAATAATAATAATATTTGTTGCATTTGACCTAACACAACGCTTTACAGTATATTCTGTGAAACATTTTGAGACGACGTGATAAGGCGCTATATCAAATGCCAGGACTATTATTATTATAATAAGGAATTGGTTTAGGTAGACAACAAACCACGTGCTCTGCATTCTTTTCAAGGGGAGTCCTGTAGCTCAGTGGTTAGAGAACTTGCCTCGCAAGCGAGAGACTTGGGTTTGATTCCCGGCAGGGCACCCGCCTGATAATAATCCCACAAGAAACAAACCCACTAATAATTTGGTCACTCAATCCACGACTGTTTGTGGGACACTCACTGCCGTGCGCAATTGGCTGCCGCATTTCGCCCACAAAATATTCAGTCAGTTCACTTCACGGTATATTCTAGAAGTCGTGAAAACCGCTATATCAAATGCAAGGATTATTATTATAATTTCTAAACAACAGCAACTTGCATTTACGCAGCGCCCCTCTCCCTCACACACGGTAGCGCCCCAGAGCGCTTGACAGTGGTGGAGCACGACACCGAGGAGTGGGGAAGGGACCTTAGGAAGGTCTTCAGACGCGATCTGAAGACGTGGAAGGAAGGGGCAAGGCGGAGAGATAGAGGGAGAGTGTTCCAGAGTTTCAGGGCACAGAGGCTGAAAGCGTAGCTATCGATGGTGCAATGGAGGGCACGGGGGACATCAGTGCAAAAGGACAGATGACGCCTGAGAGCGGAGGAGCCGATGGGTGAAAGTGCTGAGGTTGTGTCCAGAGAACTTCAGCGAGGCAGGCTGGCTCCGTCAGAGGTGCAATGTACTCGCTGCTAATACAATAAATGGCAACTTATTGATGAAAAATCAGCTAATAACATTATGGCCATTAAAAAAACAAGCAAATTACTGCGCAGCCCAAGCGTCAGCAGCTTAAGTGGCGCAGATCGCAACAGCAGAGAATTTCTGAGAAACCGAGAAATACTGATAACAACAGCAGTTCCATAATAATAATAATAATCCTAGCATTTGATACAGAGCCTTATCACGTCGTTGAAACGTCTCAAAGCGCTGTAAGGCAAAGCCTGATAGAACAGCAGGTGACAGGTTTGTGCTAAGTGAGCTGAGGTCGGCAGGTGGAGCAGTTAGCACTGTAATTGCTTCTTTGTTCATGAGGGAGGAATATTAGACAAACTTGGCTGCCAGATTGTGTGTGTGTGTGTGTGTGTGTGTATACAGATCAACGGTGATGATGATAATAATCCTTGCATTTGATACAGTGCCTTATCACGTCGTTGAGACGTCTCAAAACGCTTCACAGAATATATCGTAAAGATTGACTGCGTATTTTGTGGGCGAAACGTGACAGCCAATTGCAGTGTCCCACAAGCAGTCGTGGATTGAGTCACCTTTTTTATTTGAGGGATTTTTTTCTCTCACAGAAAGCGATCCGCCAATCGACTAACAACCGGGTTCCTGCAGTTAACTGGCCTGGGCAATCCAATTAGAAGCATTTTCTCTCACAGTCCATCTCGATCCATCCTTTTAACCAGTACGATCCATTTCTTTGGCCATTAAGAAGATAATTGTCTTGTAACTTGAGAAATGATTGGCCATTAATTCCTGTCCTGAAAGTATTGCAGTGTCAGAATTGTGCTTAATCACATTGATGTCACCAGTTAACAGCAGGGTGTGACGGGACAGAGGAATTACTTGCATAAGCTGGAATGGGTCACACGGTTGTCTTTCTGGGTATCACTGAGTTCATTCTGAGACATTGGCTCTGAGATGCTGCCCTGCCTGAAGGGCACCGTATAAGTGCAGGTAATTAGTTCAGTACGGTATGAGAATACGGTTTACATAACAACAAAAAAAAAGCTTTGATGTCTCAAAGTACATTGCAGGATATAGCGTAAAGTGTCGTGACTATTTTGCAGGTGAATGCGGCAGCCACTTTGCACACAGCAATGTCCTACCTACAGTCAAGAAGTGAGTGACAATTCATCTCCCTCACTCCACGACTGCTTGTGGGACACCGGTGTGCGCAAACTGGCTGCCGCGTTTCGCCCACAAAATGCACAGTCACTCCACTCACTTTACAGCGTTATCCTGTGAAGCGCTTTGAGAGGTCTCGACGTGATGCGGTGAGGCCCTGTATCAAATGCGAGGATTATTATGGTTCGCCTCCTTATCTGTATTCGTTCTTAAGATTTTTTGAAAAAGCCGTGTTAAAGGATGAGATATTCAGTCAATAGCCCCACCCGCCCTGACCACACAGCCGGCTGTTACCTGGGTGCTGATACTTGCAGCTGCTCAGTTGTTGAGATTCTCTCGCGCAGGACAGCCACCAGGTCCCCCTCCAGTTCAGCCTCCAGCGAGTGGCCACAGAGAGTATTCCGACCACAGCCCCCATCACGACACGGTTTATACTCTCGTGTTGTGATCCTGAACCTGCTCAGCGCCTCTCTGATGATTCAGACACTGACCTTTGTCTCTGCTGTGTAACCAGCGCCCCCGGCACCGAGTGACATGTGAGCGTTCACACTGTCTCTGCCCCACTCACGTACCACGTTGCCAACTACCCAATGCCTGTGACCGATGGGTTATTATCATGTGCCTCCCGACTCTCGTCTTAATGCCAAGATACTATCCTGTTTTTCTGCCCAGCAATTCCTTCACCTCCGAATTCAGTCACTACACTTTACAAAAAGTTCGATGAACCGTTCCCACTATCGGTGCCGTGCTTTCAGCCACTACCCCTCGAAGCTCTGTCTATCCCTCCGCCTTGTCCCCTCTTTCAGCATTTTCAGGCCTTGTGCTCCGCCACTGTCCGACGCTCTAGGACACTACCCTGTGTGAGGGGCGCTGTGTAAATGCAAGTTGTTGTTCTGCCGAAGAGCAACTGAGCATTAAACTAAGGCTGAGGAGGGATGATTCAATCCCTAGTTCTTTACAGGCTCAGTACTGACCGGGTTAATACCCCCCGTTTCTATATAACTTTGATGTTAAGGTCAGTGCTTCAGCTTTCCATCTTGATCTGCCTTTTAATGTGCCAGCTCAAAGCCTGACATTGCAGCTAATTGGGAGTCAGTGGGCAGCGCTTCTGTGAAGCTCGCTCCCAGGACACCACAGCCTGCAAATCATCACACACGAGCCCGGAGCCCAGAGATACAGGTGCAAAATAGAATCTAGTCACGGTAAACTCCTGAGTTAGGAACAGAAACAAGTTAACGTTTCAAGTCGATGACGAAACGCCATTGACCTGAAACTTTAACGCACTTTCCTCTCTCCATAGATGCTGCCTGACCCGCTGAGTGTTCCCAGCGACTTGTATGTTTTGAATCCTTTGCAGCTGACTAAAGCAACCCTGCCATCTCCTTGCGCACACATCCACACTGTGTTCTCTCCCAGTGTGTGCACTCGCACTCTCACACGCCCTCTGCCAATACGCAGATAGGAACATAGGAACAGGAGGAGGCCATTCAGCCTCTTGAGCCTGTTCCACCATTCTATAAGATCATAGCTGATCTGTACCTCAACTCAACACGTACAAAACTTCACTGTATTCTCTCCCAGTTGCTGTGCGTGCGTGCATAAGCTACACATACAACAGCAAAATGAGAAGGTTTGGAGGTGGATCTATCTGCAATCAGCTGGTAGAAATGATTCTCTCCTGGAGGTAGAGGAAAGGCTGAGGCAGAGAATATTGTACATTCAGAGCTCCTGCCTCTGTTCTCCACGTCTGTGATTTGATAATTACTTCTGAGCTACAGCGCTGCCTTTCCAACCTTCCCACGTTCCATTAAACGCCTCATTAACTCAGCTTTGTGTTCAGCAATGATGCCATCACGTGTTGAGATGTCTCAAAGCTCTTAAAGAGAGTATACTGTAAAGTGAATTGACTGAAGTGAGTGGATTGAGATTTTTATTTAGGGGATTATTACCCCCGGAAAACGATAACCATTAAAAGAGAAAATATTTTGTACTTTATTGCACTTGTTGATTTGTAAATAATTTTAAACAAAAGTCAAATACAGTAAGTGCGATGTTGAGAACAGGATGTAGCAGAGAACCCTGACTGCACAACCAGGCTCCATTGCAAATCTTTCTCTAAGTCTCCTCAGTGACAGGAATTTGTTTCAGTGACGGGAAGACATCCAGAGATCCAGAATGTTGTAGGGAAGAGAACAGGCCTGACCTTAATACCATTAAATCCACTATTGCAAGCACATCTTATTGTCAGACACACATGTCCTGATATTTAATCACTTTACATCTCAGCTTATGGAGGCTAAACACAGCACCAAGACCTGTGTATAAGAGAGAGAATATACACAACATCAATACCCTGTGTATAAGAGAAGAGACTATATACAGCACCAACAACCTGTGTGTAAGAGAGAGACTACAAACAGCAACAGTACCCTGTGTGTAATAGAGCAAATATATCCAGCACCAGCATGTATAAATGAGAGGGTAATCCAGATGTAAGTATTTGGTCTGATCTTTGGCCATCAGCTGGTTGATAGAGAGGATGCTCCTGCTTCAGTGATTGATGTTGTGGGGAGATGGTGACTTGGGAGCCACATCAGATAACTTGGTTTAGCAGACGTCATTTTTCTCTTTACAGGAAACGCACATCACTTGGGATCAGGGACCCTTGCAGCACGCAGCTTATACCCTGCGCGGGATAGAATTACAGAATTATTCTTCTGTGTAGAAGGTGATTCTTAACAGCATAAGAATTGCTGGGCGAAAGAAGACCAAGGTCCATCCAGTTTGCCTTCCACCATCCTGGCAGTCGCTTGACATGTTGTGTCCCAAACTATATACTGCATCCCCCAGATATTATTTCCTAACAGAAATCTATCTCATTCGTTCTCGAGACAAACAACATTTTCTGCTTCCACCGTCTGTCTCCCTAGCGAGCCTGTTCCATACGTTTACTGCTCACTCACTGAAGTAGTGTCACCGCAGATTTGTTTTGAATTTACGCTCCCGTTAACCGCAGGCCGTGTCCTCTGGTTCTACTGTTCAGTACAGGATAAAACAGCTTATGATCATGGAATATTTATTCCCTTCAGAATCTTAAAAACTGCTGATAACTCGTCGCTGCGAGGGAAAGAGACTCACTGTCGAGTTATCCAGAACACTTTCTGCTTCCAAACTCTGTGTCTCTGGTGAGCCTATTCCATATGTTTACTGCATGCTCACTGAAGTAGCGTTTGCGCAGATTTGTTCTGAATTTACCCCCTTTCAGTCGCAGGCCGTGTCTTCAGAATGCTTTTAGCGTGCTGCTAGCTAATGGGAAGGGTCTAACATTGACTCGGGAAGGACAGGGCAGTGACAATTGAACCATTTCTAAACTAGAAATGTTTCAACTGTTTAATTTCTGTTATTGTATTTCAGTATTTCCAGCTTTATTTCTAATCTATGCTGCAGCCAGAGATAAACGAGAGGAAGTGCTGTACTTACTGCAGACTGCTAAGGTCCGTTGATCTGGGCACGAGGCAGTTTAAAGGTGGTCATCTCTGAGGAGTCCTGACTGCAGAAGGTACAGGTGGTTTAGTGCAACACAATTTGAGCATACTTACTGTATCAGGAATGACTTATTTATATAGCGCCCTTCACGCAGGGCTATATGTGTCTGGAGCGCTTGCACAGAACTTTATCTATTCATTAAAACAGTAGCACCTTGAACTAAATAATAATAATAATCCTTGCATTTAATATAATGTCTTACCACGTCTTCAAGACGTCTCAACAAAGTGATAGGGCCCTATATCAATTGCAAGGATTATTATAACAGAAATGACTGAAATCAGGCAGACTGATAGCAACAGCTCTGGTCTTTCTAATAATAATAATAATATTCCTTGCATTTGATATAGTGCCGTATCATGTCTTCGAGACGTCTCAAAGCGCTTCACAGAATTTATACTGTGAAGTGACTGTATATTTTGCGGTCGAAACGCGGCAGCTAATTGGACACAGCAGCGTCCCCACAAACAGTCGTGGATTGAGTGACCAATTATTATTGTTATAATCTTCTCCAATTGTAATGAGAAAATGAAAAACTCAACAGACAGAGAGCGGGACAAGCTGGACAACAGGATCCGAATGACTGATGTTGAGACAACAAACTTGTTGCTGAAGGGGAGACAAAGAAGAGGAGGGCGGTCAGACCATATTTCCCTTTTTCTGAGGCTACGTGGCTGACATACCTGAACATGCCTTTGATGGGCCGGAAGTGTTTGGCTGTCTTCACTGCGAAGATGATGCTGGGGATGAGGAAGAGTGTGCACCAGGCCAGGCAAAACCAGAAGGCGTTCTGTGAGGCAGAGAGATTTAACAGTTAGGGCAACGTTACTATTCCGTTACTAAAAAAACCCGATAGACTAAGGATTTAGTATTCAACTAAATCCTCCTAAATGAGTTGAAACTGCCACCCGTGCCAGTCGGAGCAGCAATCCTGCAAGTTATTTCATTTTATGATGTTTATTTCCCTCCCCCACGCCCCCCAAACCAGTCTCTGACTCAATCTGCAGGGCAAGAGATTCCAGATACGCACAGCTCCAGAGATGTCATCGGTGACAACAACAGACCACAGCGCCTTTCACGTCAGAAGGACGTCCGAATACCCTGGACAGTCGGGGCTTTAGACCCGAGCTGGGGTTGTGATCCGGAGGGGTGGAGGGTAACGGTAGGAGGGTGACCGAAGGCACGGTCGAAGAGGAGGGTCTTGACACGTGCCTTGAAGGAAGCGAGGGAGGGAGCTAGAAAAAGCTTCTAAATGGACCCAGAGGAGCAGAGCAAATGGAATCTTTCTCTGTCTCACTCCCCAACAAACTAGCATCATAAACCCACTCCTGGATGAAGCGAGGATTAAAAACCTCATGTTGTGCAGTGACTGAGCCACATAACACTTACGGCCACTAACATACAGACACACAACATAGCACTTGGAACTTGAGCCACTGAGACGCTAGTTCAAGATTCAGTGAACCTCCAGCAGTCGAACGATTGACGGGAATTCTTACCCAAGGATTGATGAGGAAGTCGCAAACGATAACTTGAGAGTTGTCAAGAGTAACAGACACCACATTGCAGGACAGTATATCTTCAGTTATCTGAGAACAAAACACAACACAGAGGCTGAGTTTCGGTCACCCCGATGTAAGTGTAAGAGGAAGAAGTAAAGGGAAGGCAAGGTGAAGCGAGGACAGACACCAGGGAGTATTGCTCTCTGCTCAAAGAAGAGTCGTTACCAGGAATGGCATAAGGAACCAGGAGACTGAACTTGTTTAAGAAACAGCTCGATTGTGTAATGGGAGAAGCTGTTGTTGGCATTCGAGAGGATGAGGTCAAATGGACTGAAGGGCCTTCTTGCCTTTGATCCCTTGGAGTGACACAGATACTGTGTCCTGTACGTCACAGCCAACAGTGACAATCACTGAACAGCAGCAAGTTGCACAGTTCCATCTCCCCTGATACCAGTGACACTAGTTGTGTGTATCCAGAACTTTTTGTACTATTGGTTCAACTCCCCTCGTCTTGTCCCCCTTTCCCAGTATTTTTTTTCCGCTCTCTCTATCCACCCCCGCAGGCTTGGATTGGTGGTGGGGTCTGGTTTGGTATCCTCTGCACTTTGTCCAAATGACCATTCTTTACAATAATAATTAATAATAATAATCCTGGAGTTTGATACAGCGCCTTATCAGTTTGTTGAGACGTCCCAAAGCGCTTCACAGGATATACTGTAAAGTGAATTGCCTGTATATTTTGTGGGCGAAACTAATTGCGCACAGCAGCGTCCCACAAACAGTCGTGGATTGAGTGACCAAATTATTACTATTCATGTATATATTTATTTATTTTTGGGGAAGGGATTATTACCCCCGGAAAGCGATCACCCAATCGTCCAACAACCGGGTTCTTATTTACTGCTGGGTAAACGGAATTCTTTACGTTGAGCTTAGACATGGTATGTTAGCTGATATGAAGTTGCTGTCTATCCGTGTCCCTGTGTGTCCCTGTGTGCTTCTGCAAAGGTTACGTTGCCATTGCACTTACCGCTTTTCTGACCCATTTCAGATATCCCTCGAAGTATCCGAGCTCTTTAGCGATGAAACACTCAGTTGCCTGAAATGAGAAGAGTCTTGGTTTTAAATCTGATAATATAATAATAATAATCCTTGCATTCGATATAGCACCTTATCCTCTGGTTCCCTATTTTACTTACCTCTTCGACCACTCCCTCTCCCTATTCTCTCAATTGGTGTCCAACCCTACCGTTGTTCTCAGAATTTCGCCTCTCTTTTTCTCAGAACCTCTCCCTATATCTCGCCCATCTCTGCTATTCTCGGAATCTCTCCCCTGCTCCTCTGCCTCTTTATCTTATTGCAACCCACGCTCACTTGGCTTTTTTTTCTCCCTGTAACAGCTCAAACAAAATATTTTTACAGCTTAAACTCACGTTTTTTAGTAATGGCTTTGGAATAGTTTCCAGCATCTTCGCTGCTTTGTCAACACTCTTCAATGTCGCATTCACTGAGGCCTGTACAAATAGAGACAGGAAATCGAACACCCACTTATAATAATAAAAATAACCCTTGCATTTGATAGCATCTTATTACATCACGTCGTCAAGAAGTCTCAAAGCACTTCACAGAATACACTGTGAAGTGGAGTGACTGTGAATCTTGTGGGTGAAACGCTTGTAAGTGATTTACAGATAGGCAAGGTATTCACATGGGCAATTATGTGCAATGTAAGATTCAGAGTGCCAATAATAATAATAATCGTAGCATTTGATATGGACCCTTATTATGTCATCGAGACATCTCAAAGCACTTCACAGAATACACTGTAAAGTGGAGTGACTATTTTGTGGGCCAAATGTGGCAGCCAATTGCGCACATCATTGAGTGACCAAATATTTTTTGAAGGGATTATTACCACCGGAAAGTAATACGCCAATCGACTAACAGCCGGGTTCTTACTTTCTGCTTGGTAAACAGAGATAAAATGTATATTGTGTAAGGCCAGGGAGTAAAGTGAAATACCTCCAGAGTGGAACCAATTCCTTTCAGGATGTCAAGGCTTTCTGTCAGATTCACCTGGGTAGGAAACAGCAAATATTCCAGACAGGCAGTAAGATCATCTTTCTCATTAGGCTTTCCTTGTTCCCAATTGTTCACCCTTTTCTCGTGACAGTCACACCAACAGTGGCTAAAGTAAGGACCAATTACACCTTTCCCTCCGTTCAATGGGCTCCAGCCTATTCCCGCTCTTACCCACCGCACCATCGACAGTCGGGCCTTCAAACCACTCTGCCCCCCCACCCTCTGGTACTCCATCCCATAGTGCCTTTGCCTCGCCCCCTCCCTCCCCTCCATCAAGGCTCGTCTCAAGAACCTCCTGTTCGACCTTGTCGTTCGTCACCCACCTACCCCCACCCTCCCTGCCCTCCACCCCTCCTGATCCCAACGCCCAGCTCAGGTCCAAATCCCTGACTGTCCAGCACATTGGGATGTCCTCTTGACTTGAAATGCGCTGTTTAAATGTAATTTGTTGCCGCTGTTAATGCCTAGTGAATTAGAGCCGATATAATAAAAAAGCAACAACAATTGGCTAGTGTTAAAGCCACAGAACTAGTCTGAACATAGCACCATCCTGTGGTAGATACTATAGTATAAGCTGCAAAAGGACCATTCGGCTAAGGATGTTTTGAGGTGTTTCCGTCTCATAGCCCTGGACAGAAGAGCAGGAGAAATGTTGACCATAGTCTCACACACACACACACACACACTCTCTCTCTCTATTGACAAGGAGCGAAAGGGCTCAGCACTCACAACATCCTTCCTCTGTTCCTGCAGGGTGGTCTCTAAGTTTCGTAGCCTCTCAATCTGGGCAGTTAGATTGCTTTTAACTTCAGTGTCGGTCTGAGAGGAGAAACAAGAACAAAAGAGCCCATGGTCAGTGCAGTGCTGGGTCAGTGTCAGTGACAAACTAGCCAGGGCTGAATGGGCAGCTGGTGATGGGGGTCTGAGTGAGCCAGGACTCTCATCATTCAATTCATAACCCTTTCCTCCTGTCCCACAGTGTGTCAGCAGTCACATAGGAACAGGAGGAGGCCATTCAGCTCCTCGAGCCTGTTCCGCCATTCTATTAGATCATGGCTGATCTGTACCACAACTCCAATTACCTGCCTTTACTCCATATCCACTAGGTTGGTTCCTGAGATGAGAGGTTGAGTAGACTAGGCCTATATTCTCTAGAATATAGAAGAATTAGATTCTTAAAGGTTTTGACAGGGTAGATAGTTTGAGACTGTTACCCCTGGTCGGAGAATCTAAAACTAGGGGTCATAGTCTCAGGATTAAAGGTCAGCCCTTTAAAACTGAGTTGAGAAAACATTTCTTCACTCAGAGGCCAGTGAATTTATGGAATTCTCTACCCCAGAGGCTGTGGATGCTCAGTCAGTCCTTGAACATATTCCAGACTGAGATCGATAGATTTTTAAAAACTAAAGGGATTAAGGGATATGGGGAGAGGGCGGGTAAATGGAATTAGGTTAGAAGATCAGCCATGATCTTATTAAATGGTGGGGCAGGCTCGAGGGCCGAATGTCCTACTCCTGCTCCTATTTCTTATGTTCTTATCCCTTGATACCCTGACCTAACAAACATGTATTCACCTCAGTCTGGACAATGTGAATGGGTCCAGCCATAATCCACAGCCTTTTGGGGGGAGGGAGACAGTTCCAGATTTTCACTAACCTGCAGTGAATTCTCTACCAGCAAATGTACTCATTGATTAATTAACGCTAGCAATACACTGCTGCCTGTACCACTCCTGCGACTGAGCAGCCATGTTGTGGATGAATATCCAGGACAGTGAGAGAGGGGGCAGCTCACCTGGGTGAGACTGAGAGTTGACAGGTATTGAATCACCAGTGACAGGTTGACGTTGACCATGGCATTCGATATCTGCAAGAAAGCCACACAGTTTACAACTAGGATAGTAATATTAGTAATAATCCATGCATTTGATATAGCGCCTTATCACTTCTTCGAGACGTCTTTACGTGCTTACAGGATATACTGGAAAATGAATTGACTGTGAATTTTACGGGCGAAACGCGGCAGCCAATTGCGCACAGCAGTGTCCCACAAACAGTTGTGGATTAAGTGACCACTTTATTATTACTGTTATTTATTTGTATATATTTCTGGAGGGATTTTAACCCCTGGAAAAGCCATCCGCCAATCCACTAACAACTGGGTTTCTATTTACTGCTAAACACAGGCGTGTGTGTGGAGTAAGGAAACTTGTCTAAGGTTTTGTCCTGCCGGTTGCCTCTTCCTTGCAAAGTGAGCGCGCTAATCACTAAACTCCAGGCAGCCTTGCAATTCCCCATATGAACTGTTCTGGTAATGGCTTGTTCCCCGAAGCACCTGCCCCCATATGAAGCAATGGCAGGTTTCCTACCTGCTCAGAGAATGCCTGATAGTCAATGTTTTTAATGCCACTAGCAACAAACTCCTGCAGCACGTTCCTTCCACCGCTGTTCAGCAAGGTGATGCTGTTGAGGTCCACATTCAGTCTTCTCAGGTTTTTCACAAGATCGTCTGTGTACTGAGGCAGAGAGAGAGAGATGATGCCACACGCACTGCCAACACACACACGGCCCATTGCCTCTCTGTTGTGATTTGCAGATCTAACCTTTGCAGTGTTTCATCTTCTAAACAGGCATTTGGACAACTTACACCTCTCCCACAGAGATGACATCAAACCTCCAACCCAAACCTGAGGCTCTCAAACTGGCAAAGCCCAAGTAACCTACTGCTCCCTCTTCTCCACTCTCACACACACACTCACACAAACAAACAAACATCCACACACACACATTTACAAAAATGCTTTCAAAAGGGAATTGGATAGTTACTTGAAAAGGAAAAATGTGCGGGAAGTGGGACTAGTTGGGCAGCTCTTTCAGAGAGCCAGCGCAGGTGCGATGGACCAAATGACCTCCTTCTGTGCTGTAAGATGCTAGGATTCCGTGTGACAACGATGTTCCAAATGAGGATATTTTTTCTGAGATAGAAAGTGCGAGAGTGTTTTGAGAGTGAGACACGGAAAGCAGACACACACCTTATTCACATTGAGCTTCTCATCCAAGTCAAACGTGCGATCCAGCTGGAGGATAGTCCACAGCGAATCCCCACGCTTACAGCCACTGAGATACAAAGAGAGAGAGAGAAAGAGAAACACAATCTTAGGCTAGCTGTATTGGCTCGGTGTACAGCTCAGAAAAGTACATTTATTAATTGAAGACTTGTTCTTCAGACAGCTACTCACTGGATGAAGATTAGCATTGAGCACAGTGAGATAGCTTCCCACTGGCTCCCAGCACAGTGAGCGAGTTCTACACTGGCCCCCAGCACAGTGAGCTGGCCCAAAGAGCAGAGGCTGGAGACCACGGTCAGCAATGTTGTGAAGCCTAGGGCAGTCATTATCTTACCTAAGAGTGTCTTACTGACCTGTAAACCTCAGTGAATGAGAAGGACTGGTTAAGCTTGAGCACGTTGGAGAGGTTGAGGCGATCGTCCTGGCTTCCAATCGTGTCAATCAACTGCAGAAGTGAAACCACAACAGAACCTATGTCAATTCCTTACGATTCCTGTGTTCAAATACCAACATGGAAACACTTCGGGTGAAAGGTCTCCCGTGTTCTAAAGCAACTAAAGACTTCCGCTCGACTGTCTTCCGAGGGCCTCCTACTTGTCCTTTGTACCCTCTGCTTCACCATCAGTGGCCGCACTTTCAGCCACTACGACCCCAAAACTCTGGAATGCTCTCCCTCAATCCCTCCGCCTTGCCCCCTACTTACCCATCTTCAGGTCGCGCCTGAAAATTTTCCTCTTCGAGCGTACCTAAGATCACCTCCCCCCGGCTCTGTGTCGTGCTGCGCAGCTGTCTAGCGCTCTGAGATGTTGCCCTGCGTGAGGGGCATTGTGTAAATGCAAGTTGCTGCTGTTGAAATGCTAGCACTCACCTTGTAAATGTCCCCGTTTGCCCATGGCTTGCATATTTCTGTGTAGGCAAGACCTCCCACTATAAAGGTGATAAACACCAGGAGAATGAGGAGCCAGGAGAACAAGAAGCTGAATCCAACACCTCTGTAACAGACAGAAATCACCCCGAACAAGTCAGGATTACTGCTGAGAGTTGTTCTATTTTCAATGCGTAATAGTGCAAACCGACACATCTCCCAAGTTCCCAACCTAGCCATCTTCCCAGATCCTCTCACTCGCCGCACAAGCCAGAGGACCAAGGTTCGATTCCCAGCCGGGAGGGGCGAAACCTTAGGCTAGTTTCCTTTCCGCATATGACTCAGCGCCTCCTGACGTGAAAGGCGCTTCACTAATGTAATTTTGTCATCGTTGTTTGCCTAGCAGTAAGCAGGAACCCAATCGTTAGTCAACTGGCGGCTCGTTTTTGAGAGATAATAATCCCTTCAAAAAATAACAATAATTTAGTCACTCAATCCACGACTGTTTGTGGGACACCTCTGTGTGCATTTGGCTGCCTCGTTTCATCCACAAAATACACAAAAGACACTTCACTTTATAGTATATTCTTCGAAGCGTTTGAGACGTCTATCAAATATCAAATGCAAGGATTATTATTGTTAATAAGACAGAAATTAACGCTACTTCTTGTCGTTGCTGAGGGGGGCAAGGTGGGAGGGGTGGTTGGTGCTCTCTCATATGAAAATTGAACTTACGCCATGAGGAAATTGGCTCCGGATTGGGAACACCCGTTGGCGCTATAGGGATCGTCCCCGAGAGCGATACCAATAGTCCCCAGCAGCAGCCCCAGCACGTTGCAAGCGATGATCAAGAGAATGATGGAACACAGCACGATACTGACAATCCATCTGCAGAGATAGACAACACACATCAGAGACGAGCACGCCAGCTCCAATCAACAACAACAACAAACTGCATCGGCACATCAGAGATTTTGACCCGAGCTGGGGGTTGGGATCAGGAGGGGTGGAGAACAGGGAGGGTGGCCGAAGGCTTGGACGAAGAGGAGGGTCTTGAGACGTGGCAGCCAATTGCGCACTAAGTGTCCCACAAACAGTCGTGGATTGAGTGGCCAAATTATTATTTTTTTGAAGGGATTATTACCCCCTTAAACTATATATTATATCATACATTAAGAAAGAGAGGAAACCCAAGTGAGGCCATGTGTTGAATCTAGAGCTGTGATCATAGACAATCAGAGATGCTTGGTGGGGGGTGGGTGGTGGGGGAGGTGGAAGATGGGCAGAATTACTCGGCATTTAGTTGCCCATGAAACACGTCACATGAACATCAGGCAACTCAGAACATATCTCAATAAATCGCCATCATTTTATATACCTGTAGTAATTATACCGCTTCAATTCCCCACCATATTTCGGGATGTCGCTGTCTAAAGACCCAAGGCTTTCATTGACAGCTGGGAGAGAGTCCAACAGAGGAAAGGACTCCTTGATGGAGGAAATGTTTCCCTCGATGTTGTTCACAGATGCTTTAGAATCTGCAAAAAAGACACGCGGGACTCTGCTTGATTGAGAACAATATTCTTTCATTTTAATACACAGCCCGGGGAGCTCAGCACACTGTTGGTGAGGTCAGCTTCACAGCGGGGCAGGTCAAAGTGCCAGAGCTCCTCACTTGAGGACTTGAGTTCAGCAGATGGTGCTGAGTGGTCCTGGTACGGATTGGAATTTGATCTCTGGAACCTGGCAGGTCACAAGCTGTCCTGCAAAGGTCTTCCCCCAAACGCTGAAGGCAGACGCTATTGAATAGCTGATGTGGAAATGCTGAAAGGTGTTAGTTACATGGAACCCGGGTACAGGAACATGTGCTTATATATCCAGGGCATGGATTCCATCTTGATTGGCTTGCAGCGAGGTAAGCAGCTTCTGCTCAACCTCCGCACCTCCAGCTGGTGGAACTATGGCTCAATGGGCAACTACAACAACACATGATATTTACACGGCACCTTTCATGTCGGGAGGACGTCCCAAGGTGCTAAACAGTCAGGGATTTGGACCCGAGCTTGGGTTGGGATCAGGAGGGGGTGGCGGGTGGGGTTGGGAGGGTGGCCGATCAAAGCCGTGGTTGAAGAGGAAGGTCTTGAGATGAGACTTGAAGGAGGCGAGGGAGGGTCGTGTGTCTCGAGCTGTGGGCAGGGGGACGAGGGCAGTGCTTTCAGGCTGTGCTGATCACCAAATGCTCCGTTCTCTCTCACCCACACACACACGATCTGTCCTTCCACCTCCCACAACCAACGCAATTGTGATGTGTAGTAAAGGCAAGAAAGGAACAAGCCTGAACAAGCAGAGTGAAGACAGGACCTGTGTGAAACTGAGGGAAGAACAGGGTGGATCCACTCGAGTGCCAAAAACATCAGTCAAAAAAAAGCATCTTAAGTACCTGAGCAGCCCCCGGCCTCCTGAGATCCCTGCGGTTTAAACACCACCCAGTTTAGCCCTGGGTACTGCTGATCATAATCTCGCCAGGTTCAACCCTGTCTGGGCTGAAACAGCTCGGTGTGGCTCTCCTGGTTCAGAAAGCGGAATAATATGCCAGTGTTTCACCCACTGACAGGAACGTCACTACAAAGTGCACCAGCATTCATTAATTTGCATTTAGAAATTGTCTCAAGTCAAAACTGGAATTGATGTATAGATCAGCCACGATCTAGTAGAATGCGGAACAGGCTCAAGGGGCTGAATGGCCTCCTGCTATGTTCCTAAAGACCTCTCTTTTCAAATCCCTTCACGCCCTATATTCATATTCACCTGACACAATGGCAGCCATCTGTGACTCCACGTCCTTGGGTATGTCATTGAGTTTGCGCTTCTCCTGGGAGAGAAACAAACACAACCGCTTCAGAGATTCAACCTGCAAGCTTTCAGAACTTTACAGACAAGGGTATGAGAAGGTCAAACAGATTTACCTTCTCAACAGCACTGCTCAGATTCTGTTGAGACAACTTCAGGACTTTGTTTATCACAGGCGATAGGTCCAATATCTGCCGAGAGTCAAAGCTCATTATCAACCCAGACTATCTCAACCTTCTTAAAGAAACAATTCAGCAATAAGGATAACTAGGAGTTGAAACCTTTACCAATCTGTCCGCTCTGGTCTGCTCTACGTCCCCGCCCGACCCACCCCACCATTGGCGGTTGGGCCTTCAGCCTCTCTGCCCCCTACACTCTGGAACTCCATCCCGTAATCCTACCTCACCCACTAACTGTAAATCCCTGACTGTCCAACGCCTTGGGACATCCTCCCAGCGTGAAAGGCGCCGTGTAAATATAATTTATCGTTGTTGTTGAGGCCACTTGTACCTTAAGCATCTAACTATCACACTCAACCTCACTAAGCCAGTCAGGAACCTGGGTGTCTTGTTTGACCCTGAACTGTCCTTTCTCCCCCATATCCGCGCCATGATCGGCACTGCCTACCACCACCTCCCCAGCATTGCCAGACTCCGCCACTGCCTCACCCCTCAGACTGCCCAGACCCTCACCCACCCATTTGTCACATCAAGGCTCGATTATGGAAATTCCCTCCTCATCAGCCTCCCTAACTCTTCCCTTCACCAGCTGCAGATCATCCAAAACTCTGCAGCTCGTGTACTCTCACACACCAGGCTCCGCGACCCCATCACTCCCACCCTCGCCCGACTCCACTGGCTTCCCATCCCCAGAGGATCGACCCGCCCTACCAACAGTGGCCGAGTTTTCAGCCTCTCTACCCCCACACTCTAGAACTCCATCCCACAGTCCCTTCACCTCGCTTCCTCCCTTGCCTCCTTCAAGGCCGGTCTCAAGACCCTCCTCTTCGATCGTGGCCTTCGGTTGCCCTCCCACCTCTCTGCCTTCCCTCACCCCTACCCCACCCCTCCCCCTTGCTCGGATCCTGACCCCTGATTGTCCAGCGCCTTGGGACGTCCTCCCGACGTGAAAGGCGCTCTATAAATGTAATTTTGTTGTTGTTGTATCAATGAACTGATGGGCAAAAGCATAGGAGAAACAAGCTTGAGCAAACGGATGCTGAGAAATGAGCAAGATTAGGTCTGGAGTCACTACAGTCACAAAGCCAACTCTTGGGGATATCTCTCACCGGGCTGTAGGTACCATTCAGCTGCAGATTGTTAATCAGCTTTGCATCACAGCCGATGCAACTTGTACTGCTGAGCGTTTGTGTAATATCAAACTGCAAGCTGTTCAGCTCAGCTGATATCTTGTGCTCTCTCTCCTGCAGGGAGGCTTTTGTGGCGTTCACAACCAGTAGATGCTGTTTGGAGTTTGAGATATCTGTTTGAATAGAACAAAGGACCAACAACAACTTGTACTGACTACAAAAACCAGTCATACCTCAACACAGCTCTCACAGGTGAGTGACATTTACCAGATTCAGTCACAGGAAATAGGAGGCCATTCAGCCTCTCGAGCCTGTTCCGCTATTATATCAGATAATGGCTGATCTGTACCTCAACTCTAAATGCCCGGCTTTGCCCATATCCCTTGACACCCTGACCTAACAAACACCTATCAACCTCAGTCTTGAAATTTGAATGCATCCTGAGGGTCTGTGCGGTTTAGTAAGGCAGCATTTCAGTGCTTTTATCCACTCAATCCACGACTAGTTGTGGGACACCTGTGCGCAATTGGCCACAAAATATACAGTCACAACACTTTACAATATATTCTGTGAAGTGCTTTGAGTCGTCTCAAGATGTGATAAAGCGCTGTATCAAATGCAAGGATTATTATTATTATTATTGGCCATCAGTGGGATCCAGTAGACCATCTGCTTTACTTAATGCAGCATGCACTGGACTGACATGTATAAATGTATTGGTATGCACTTGCTAGCCACTCCCTAACGAAAGGAAGTAAGGAAAGTAAGGAAGTAATATGCAAAAACATGCCCTGAAATGTCCTCAGGGTGAATGTGATTTACCTTGTGCTCTGGCAGACACCAAACCCAGTGAAGTGTTAATGGGCTCTTGCAATGCCTGCAGTAGCTGGTTCCCAAAGGCCCCGCTGATACCTGCCAGAGATCAATCAGAGATGGAGGGTGAAGTATTGGGATATTGCCACGTGCAAAATGGCTGCCTCGTTCGCCCACAAACACACTTTACACCCGGTTGTTAGACGGTCAACTGGCGGCTCACTTTCCGGGATAATAGCTCCACCCCCCACTCCCCCGCCAAATAATAATAATTTGGTCACTCAATCCACGACTGTTTGTGGGACGCTGCTGTGCGCAATCGCTGCCGCATTTCGCCCCCAAAACAGTCACTCCAAATACAGTATATTCTGTGAAGGGCTTTGAGACGTCTCGAAGACGTGATAAGGTGGGATATCAAATGCAAGGATTCTTATTATACGATTGATGGCCCTGATAAAACCTGCCCATAATTGCGACTGTATTATACTTAACTGTCAAGATCGTTCAACACCACATTCTTTGGAATTGAAAACTGTTGATTGATTGCATCTACATTCTGTAACAGAGAAAAGGGAGTGAATGCAGCGCTCTATACATACTGGATATCCCCCCTGCTCGGGTCCCCACCCAACTGTCCAAAGCCTTGGGACGTCCTCCCGACGTGAAAGGCGCTCTATAAATGAAATCTTATTGTTGTTGTTGTTGTCGTTTAATCCCGCCTTAAAACCTCACCTCTTTAACTAATCCCTTTCTCTTCTCCCCTCAACGTCTGATGCTAACTCTGTATAGCATTCTGAGACATCCTATGGATAACTAACCGGGTTTCTGCGCTGCTCACAGCACGGAAACTGCTCTGGTCAAGGTCACAAACGACATCCTGTCCATCTGTGACCAGGGCTTCCTCTGCCTCCTCGTCCACCTCTCTGCTGCCTTCCATACCGTGGACCACTTCCATCCTCCTCCATCACCTTAACCTTCAAGGTTCTGTCCTTGAATGGCTCAGGTCAGATCTCTCCAATTTGTCTCTGTCTCTGGTTTCTCTTCCAGTCCCCGCACAGTCTTGTGCAGTGTTCCTCAGGGCTCGGTCCCCACCCCTCCTCTTCAACCTCTGCATGCTCCCCCTTGGTGACATCATCCGCAGACATGGGGTCAACTTCCACATGTATGTGGAGGACTGCCCTCCCTCATCCCCTAAGCTCGAGTCCTCATTCCTGATTCCCGCATTTCTCCCACAACATGTACAGTCACTGCACTTTACAGTATATTCTGTGAAGCGCTTTGAGACGTCTCAACGATGTGATGAGGCGCCGTATCAAATGCAAGGATTAGTATTATTTATTATTATTGTTCTCAGTCTTCTTTTCTCACGGTTCATCGAGCCCTGATGGAAAATGCAGAGTGTACATGGTGAGGGAGCTCAGCTATGTTGTCCTTCACGATTGAATTGCTTGACTGCCCCCACACTGTCCGGGCTGGTGAGTCAGCATTGACTATTTGGGAGAGGAACTGGAGGGTTTATAGAGGCCTGTAACCTGCTAAACGGCTGTTAGAGAAAGACAACACCACCACCACAACAAATTGCATTTACACTGCGTCTTTCACGTCGGGAGGATGTCCCAATGCGTTGGACAGTCAGGGATTTGGACCTGAACTGGGGATTGGGATCAGGAGGGGTGGAGGGTAGGGATAGGAGGGTGACCGAAGGCACGGTTGAGGAGGAGGGTCTTGAGACGTGCCTTGAAGGAGGCAAGAGGGAACAGGTGGAGGGAAAGTGGGATGGAGTTCCATGGGGTGGGGGAAGAGAGGCTGAAGGCCCAAACGCTGATGGTGGGGCAGGCGGGGCCAGCCGGGGGACGTGGAGCAGGTCGGAGCCCGTTGAGTGGAGGGAGCGGACAGGTTGTATATGGAGTTAGAGGTCACAGAGGAACAAGGCTGTCAAAAAAACATCAGCGCTCACCTGGCCAATCCCATTGAAGTAAGTCCTTAAACCTGTTGCTATAGCCAGAACCTCAGCCACGTAAACGTCTATTCTATCCGTCAGCTTCTGATTGACAGTGAAAGCACAGGCAACTCCTGCTCTACACAGCAAACAGCAGAAACAGGTAAGATAATAGAAATATGAGGCGAGTGCACAAACCACTAAACTGCAGGACGCCATATGTAAGGATTATTATTATCATCATTATAAGGGTACAATTCCCACCCTCCAGCACCTCGAAATGCCCTGTGTTGGAACAAAGCTACAAGACCTACTCCCAGGACACAACTCACAGGATGATGAGGGTGGTGAGCAGCAGGAAGGTGGCGAGGGTATTTCGCTCGCAGGCTGTGGTTTTGGTGCGTTTTTTCACGTGACCCCCGCAGTTATCGCATAATCGACAGCAGCAGAAAAACAGCCCCACCAGAGGCATGAGGACAAAATAGAGCACAGCGATGATGAAACACACCAGGTAGCCAGCCAAATATTTCAACACCTAAACACAGCAACAAGATGTGCCAGGAGAAAAAAGGTATAATGCAAATGTATTAACAATAACAAATAACAATAAGTCTGGCATTTGATAAGGCGCCTGATCACGTCATTGTGACGAAAGAGATAACTTTCTTCAGCTCAACGTGCGCAAAACTGAGGCCCTCCTGATTGGCTCGCGTCAGCGCCTCCGCACCTCAGGCGCTGACAGCATCAGCATCCAAGGCTGCACTCTCCACCTCTCAAAGCCATCAGGAACCTCGGGGTTCTGTTCGACCCTGAGCTGTCCTTTCTCCCTCATATTCGCGCCACAACTGGCACCGCCTTCCATCACCTCCGGAACATGGCCGGACTACGGCACTACCTCACCCCTCACGCGGCTGAAGCTCTGGTCCACGCCTTTATCACCTCAAGGCTGGACTACGGGAACTCTCTCCTCGCGGCCTTCCCGGCCCTCCCTCCACACTGCAGGTCATTCAGAACTCTGCAGCTCGTGTACTGTCCCGCACCAGACACCGCGACCACATCACTCCCACCCTCGCTCGCCTCCACTGGCTCCCCACCCCCCAGAGGATCGATTTCAAGATCCTCACCGTCACCTACAAGGCCATTCCCGGCCTCGCTCCCTCCTACCTCTCTGACCTACTATCCCCCTACCTACCTGCCCGTACCCTCCGTTCCTCTGGCTCCGGTCTGCTCCACATCCCCCGCCCCAACCGCCCTACCATCGGTGGCCTTCAGCCCCGAGGCTCTGGAACTCTCCCCCAGTGCCTTCGCCGCTTCCTCCCTTTCCTCCTTCAAGGCCGGTCTCAAGACCTTTCTCTTTGACCTTCAGCCTTCAGCTCCCCTCTCGACACTCTACCCCCTCCTCGCTCCCTCCCTCCCCTCACCCTGACCATTTCCCCCTTGCTCGGGTCCTGACCTAACTGTACAGTGCCTAATGTTTTGCCCCACCTGGGAATCGAATCCAGGTCCTCTCGCTTGGGAGACGAACGCTCTAACCACTGAGCTACAGGACTCCACCAACATGTTACCACACATCATAAGCTGCTTCTTCAACCGGCCGTCAGGGACAACAGAGCTGTGATATGGATCCTCATAAAATCTTACAGCACAGAAAGTGGCTATTCGGCCCATCGTGCCTGTGCCACCTCTTTGGAAAAGCTACCAACTAATCCCACTCTTATCCCATAGCCCTGTTCGGGGCCGAAAGGAGGACAAAAATGACAACAACAAAAAATGTGGGAGGTTAAAAATAGCAGGGAAAACAGAAGGAAAAGAACAAACTTTTGGAATTGCAGGCGTCACAACTCACCTGCCCATACTCCTTTTGAATGTATTGAGGATCCGTCACAACATTTGCAATAATACCTAGCAATAACAACACATTACATTTACACACAGCCTCTCAAGTCAGGAAGAAGTCCCAAGGTGCTGGACAGTCAGGGATTTGGACCCGAGCTTGGGGCTGGGATTAGAAAGAGGTGGAGGGCGGGGTGGGTAGGGGTAGGAGGGTGGCCGAAGGTGAGCTCGAAGAGGAAGGTCTTGAGATCAGTAGGTTTCGTTACAAAAAAGCCTGCCTGGGGCTAAAGGACATAGAAGCCGGAGTCCCTGATCATACCTTTCAACTCAACTCCAGAATTAACAGGTAGTTTGGGGAGACAAGTTACAAAATAACAGGAAATGTGAATGTCAGAAAGGTTTATAATACTAATAATAATCAAATCTTTGAGTCGTCTCTCAAAGCGCTTCATAGGGTATATTGTAAAGTGTAGCGACTGTGTATTTTGTGGGCGAAAGGCGGCAGCCAATTGCGCACAGCAGCGTCCCGCAAACAGTCGTGGATGGAGTGACCAATTTTGTTTTGAAAGGATTATTACCCCCAAGAAGCGATCCGCCAGTCGACTAACAACCAGATTCCTACATACTGCTCGGTAAACAGGCGTGCGTGTGGAGCAAGGAAACTTGCCTAAGCTTACGCCCTGGCCCGCATAGGAATTGAACCCGGGTCCTCTCGCTCTTGAGGCGTGTGTGCTAACCACTACAATACAAGAAGACAAGCGGTTGAGTGAAAGCTGCTGAGGACCCAATGACGTGGGGTTGGTGTATTTAGACTGCGTTTGCGGGAGAGCAAAACAAAGCACGTTCAAACAGACGCAGAGTCCCACCCAACCCTCCGGTCCCCTACAGTGACCGAGTGCAAGTAAGCCGTTTCCAAGACACAACTTTACCTGGTTGGAAAGAGTTTGGTCTCACAGCGCCCAGGAACCTCTGCACCATGTTGTACAAAGGCTGGATTGAGCCTGCGTCTCCATCCAAAGGGTTAATGTCCTGACTTGACAGAAGTTGGAATTGGAGCCCGTTTGCTGTACAATTCTGAGAACGAACTGCGTGTGGCAGGACGAGAAGGATAGCCCAAGCGATCCACGTGAAAGAGAAACCCATGGCTGTCCCGTTGCTATTACCTACCCTACGTCAGCCCGGTTTGCAGCCCCTGCGGTTGTGAGGCTTTCCTGCGAAGCCAACAATAGACGTTGCGTTAATAATAATAATAATAATGATGAGCCTTGTATTCAATATAACATCTTATCACGTCTTCCAGACATCTCAAAAGCATTTCACAAAATATACTGCAAAGTGAATTAACTATATTTTGTGGGCGAGACGCAGCAGCCAATTGCATACAGCAGTGTCCCACAAACAGTCGGGGATTGAGCGACCAAATTATTATAATTTTTTTTGGAAGGGATTATTAGCTCTGGAAAAGCAAGCCGCCAGTCAACTACCAACCAGGTTCCTACTTACTGCTCAGTAAATAGAAACATAGATAGAGTAAGGAAATTTGCCAAAGGTTTCGCCCTGCCCGGCAATCAAACCCAAGTCCTTTCACTTGCGAGGCGAGTGCTCTAACCACTAAGCTACAGGTCTCCTTAACTCAGCAATTTAGCAGGTGTATAAAATTGTGCTCCCATATGGAACACATTGGAACCCGCAGTTTGCAGCTTGAAAATAAATTTACACGGGGCTGAACAGACACAAGAACATAAGAATTTGCTGGACAAAAGAAGACCAAGGTCCATCCAGTTCACCTTCCACCATCCTGGCAGTCGTTAAACATGTGTCCCAAACTATATACTGTATCCCCAGATACTATTTCCTAACAGAAATCTGTTTCATTTGCTTTTGAAAGAATCAGCCCTTTCCGCTTCCACCGTCTGCCTTCCGAGGGAACCTGTTCCATGAGTTTACTACTTGCTAACTGAAGTAGTCTTTCCGCAGATTTGTTCTGAGTTTACCCTCTTTCAATCGCAGGCCGTGTCCTCTGGTTCTACTGGTCTGGACCAGATAAAACAGCTCATCATGGTCTACATTTATCTAGTCGCTTTAGAATCTTAAAACACTGCAATCATATTGCCTCTCAACCTTCTCTTCTCCGGCGTGAACATGCCAAGTTTACCTAATTACTCCTCGTAGTCTAAATGCTGCTGTACAGAATCCTTGTCCCCAGGCTGTGCTTGGCTGACGGACACTATCCCCCACTCCCACTCCTAATTCACAGAGCAACCAGGCTCTGCACTTCCAACTGTCCGCAACTGGTGAAAAATCAAACGGGACAGGAACAAACAACCTGGAACTCACCTTTCTAGTGATCAGAAAAGGTTTGCCTGAAATTCCCTTGCTGTCTCTCGCAATAAGACAATAAGTTCCTCTTTGAGAAACCTGTCGGACTGGTTTAAACTTCAGGGTGGAACAGTTTCGAGTAAAGATACTGTGCTCAGCACACACAGAGGGACAAGCAAAAATCACAAACACCTTAGTCACATTATGTGTTAACTATTTTTCGGAGGAGTGCCTTTTTTTATTCCATTCCTGGCACAGCTCTGTCTCTATAATCACACCCAAACCTTTCAACTTTCTTAGCGACTAAGTGATTCCAAATCCCGATGTGATGGCTTGAACCCACAACTTCCTGACTCGGAGGCGAGAGCCAGGCTGACACACGCGTGCCCGATTATAACCTATATTATCGAGAGTTTCCGATTATAATAATAATGATTCTTCAGCAAATGGGAACGACTTACCTTCTCAGCTTGTCTTCGTTCTTCCAACGGCAGCATCCCTCACACACCCCCAGGCTTCAGTAGCAGCTTGCGTACGAGTCATCAATACATGCGTTTCCTCCCATGGAGAGGGACAGCCACTCCTATCACGGGGCTGGCAAACCATTAACCCAGGGCAGTGAAGGTCCAGGCGTTTGGCTGCCGAGGGCCGGAGACCGGATTTAAGAAACGACCAATATTTTATTCCGATTGTCTAATCCCGTTGCCCGGCACAGTCGGAGGCCCTGGAGACCGTCTCCCGATTGGCTCGTGGGCTGCTTGTCGCCTGTATTTGCTCGTTGGACAATGAAGTTGGAAATGGTTTGTGGGCCGGATGTGGCCCGCGAGCCGCCAGTTGGATCACCCTGCTAAGGCGATAGAAAGACCGTAGGGAAGTGTAAATTGAGTGCCAACTACTTTGCTTGAGGCTTCTTAATAGTGCTGAGAGTCGTGTAAAACTGTCACCCAAGCATTCTCTCTCTCTTTCACAAGCAAATCTGCTAAATTTTTACTGACAACAAAAAACTTGGGATTTGTACAGCGCTCTTCACGCGGACCAATGTCTCACAGAGCGCTCAACAACGGCAGAGCCTGATGCCAACCCGGAGGCAGAGTCAAAGGGGAAGGTCTTCAGGTGCGATTTGAAGATCCGCAAAGTGGGGGAAAATTCAGAGGGATTGAAGCAGGGAGTTCCAGAGTTTCGGGGTGCAATGCCAGACACAATGGATTTGAACGGCCTTATGTACTGAAAATTAGCATTACCTTTGATTATATGCTATTAATGTCTTGAAAGAACACAAACTATTTCCTGAGCACTGTAGCGCAGCAAAGTGTGCAGTCTGCCAACACGGGCACCAACATGGCATAGACCGCAACACTAACTAACACCAGCTCATCCAGGGAACAAGGAGAGGAGAAGTCAAAAGAAAAAAGAAAAACAGCAGAACGTTGTCACAAATACAGTTAGGTTTTTATTCAAATAGATAGTGTCTGTAACAAGACAAACTTAGATCAACAAGAACCCGATCTTTCAGGCTACAGTCATCTTATACAAAAGGGGGAAACATTTGGGATATGTTCAGGAATACAAACAATATAGCTGCAATAATAATAATCCTTGCATTTGATATAGCGCCACATGCCTTCGAGATGTCTCAAAGCGCTTCACAGAATATATGTAAAGTGTAATGACTGTATATTTTGTGGGCGAAACGCGGCAGCCAATTGTGCACAGCAGTGTCCCCCACAAACAGTCGTGGATTGAGTGATCAAATTATTATTATCTCTTTATTTTTTGAAGGGATTATTACCCGCAAAAAGTAATCCACTAATCGACTAACAACCGGGTTCCTTCTTACTTCTAACAGAGGATGTGGAGTAAGGAAACTTGCCCAAAGTTTCGCCCCTCCCAGGTATCAACCCCATGTCATCTCGCTTGCGAGGCGAGTGCTGTAACCACTGAGCTCAGGATTCCACTGTAGTGTCAAAGAAAGAAGGCAGTTCGACAACACAAGATATCCAAAGAGGTTTTTTTTAAATATTAAAATCCGTGAGGCATGAGTTAAAGATCTCTCAGATTTTTCAAATTCTTTGACTTCCTCCTTCGGTCACTTTGTTAAAAGCTGGAGCTCATGTGAACGATACCGAGGTTCCCAGAACATTAGCTGATCACCTCACCGACAGCAGTAAATCAGGGGTTACAGAGACACAAGAGAAAACAAACTAATTTTGTACACACACCTTTATTTTACATTCCCTCCGGCCTTTCCCAATATCCATATTCTATTGCTATACTGCAATTCTTTAAAAGAGGCAAGACTATATAATAATAATCCTCGCATTTGATACAGCGCCTGATCACGTCTTCGAGACGTCTCAAAGCGCTTCACAGAATATACTGTAAAGTGAATTGACTGTATATTTTGTGGGCAAAACTATAGGTCACATCCTAAGCGTCATTGAGTGTAACACCTCCTAAGGTTGGGAGCGCACACACACACACTCCTCTGTTGCAAACTCAACCTGGGGAAAGAAAATAAACTGAGGAATCAAAACGATCAGTGAAGATGCGCTGCTTTGCTGAAGAGTCTCTTGATTGTGCCATCAACATGCTGAAGATATCACAGCGAGGTCCTGCACAAAACAGTCAGCGGGCAAACATTGAGGGTGCCTTTCAAGCAGGTAAGGTACATTTATCAGGCAAATACAAAGGGGTTCAATTCCATATTGGTTAACAATGTGTTCACACACACAGACAGATGGAAGACAACTTTGGTTGCGATCCCAGTTGAACTCCAAACACTAACATGAAGAGGATTATCATTATTAAACCCATCGGAAGAAAAAAAAAACACGTTCGCTAAAAGCTCCGAAGCTGCTACCGTTGGCAACTCGCCCGTTTCCAGAACCACGCTCACATCGATAGAGAAAGGAATGACACCTAGTCACTCAACCTCCCACCTCAACCAGCACCTGACCAGATGGGAAAGACAAGCCACCAAAAGAGTGATTGGTCATGAAGTCATTGTTCCATTAAATTCCAGTCTCAATGAGTGTCGGGCTTGTCAGAGAATCTGATCAATTTCCAGAGGTCAGTAGTGTACTATAGTGTAGTGTTCCTATACGTATCCATGAGGGCATTGGTGAAAGCTGCTTTCTCCTGGCTCCCCATCGTTAAGATTGCTGCACAACAGCCCAAATCCCAGGCTCAACCTCACTGTCAATCAGTCAGTTAGTTCTCTTCAACGAGGGATCCTAATCACATAGCGGTGCTGAGGCCAGTGGGGACCTTCTGGCTGAAGGAGGACAAATCCATCTGCACCCAGAACTTTTCAACAGCTTCTGCTGCTGCTAGCGTCCAGCGGAGAGAGCAGATTCTACTACAAACCCTCTGTCTGAATTGTTTAAAGAACCAGCTTTGGTTATTTTTTTTTGATAAAATCCTTCAAAGATTATTTGGGAAAGAGAACGTCGTCAATTAAAATATTGCTGATCCAAACCTTGTTTTTTTTAAAAAAAGTCTGAACAGTGTACAGCGTCACGCAATCAGGTCACAGAACAAACGTCAGCCGACAGCAGGGCAGAAAATAAGTGCTTTCACCCCCAAAACTTACACTAGCCTAAAGTCAGATGTGGTGGCCATGATTGTTAGAGCAAACTGCCTGGATGGGGTACAGTGGAAGGACAAGCAATGGTCTAGGAAGGTTGATGAGCAAAATATACAAGCTATTACTTCCCTGAGGTCTGCAGACTTTAATGCTACACTGCACTGGGGAGGGGAGTTCATGCGTTCTAGTTCACAGAAGAATTGGGAAGAGGAGCTGTCGTCGTCGAGGGTGTTTCTAATTAATCTCCCGCACGGCGAGGGGTTTAGGGTTTTGTGTAGTGACTTCAAGGCGAACGTCAAATTTTTTTCATGTTTGAAAGATGATTATGTTTTTCAGGACTTCTACATATATTAAAAAAAAAGCCTTTTTGTACATGCGTAAATATGAATGGGAACAAGTGCCATCCACGGCCCAATGTAATCAGTGAAAATTGATTTTGACATTTAGTGGGTTTTGCTAATGGGAGGATTAAGCTCCCCCTAAAGGGGTCTGTGTCAGTACTTACTGGGAGTGGAATTGGTTCTGCAACTCACACAGAGTGGGACCCTCACAGGAGGACAGGACTGAGCAAAGGCTATTTGACTCTGAACCACTTTCTTGGCTACCTACGGTGACAACGTAAAGAGAAACACCACTTCTCTCCCATCAGCTTTCCTTGCCCTTGTTCACTTGCCCCATTGGCGACTGCTTGCTGAGTGGAACGAGAGTACAAATGTCAATTGGCGGCTGCCCTCACAGTGACTGAGCTGTTTGTGTGCTCCTCCGCTCCTCAAGGCCCTGCTGAATGTTGGTGTTCAGGTCCAGGTGCGAGCAGCCCTCCAGTACCTCACCCACTGCCTCTATTCTTCACGTGGGGGAACCTAGACTTAGCTTTATATCTAGAGGCATAGGATACAAAAGCAAGCAGGTCACGTGGAACGTTTACAAGACCTTAGTTAGGCCACAGTTGGGAATATTGCGCAGTAGTTTATTGGAAGGATGTAAAAGCAATTTAAAACGTGCAGCAAAGAGTCACTGGGATGTTACAGTAATCAAGAGAGACTTGAAAAGTTAGGGCTTTTTTTTAAAAATTAAAAAACTAGAGCTGAGAAATTAAGGGCTGACCTGATAGAGGTCTTTAAGGTTTTGAGAGGGTAAATAGGAATAGATGACTAGTCAGCGAGATGGCATGCATTGAAATAAGAATTAGAGGGAGGGTTAGAGAAACTATCTTTACACAGAAGGGGGTGTGGGGGGGGGGGGGAATGTGGACTTCTCTGACACAAACCATTGAAGTATAAAAAGGGGAATTAGATGCTTGAAAAGGAGGAATATTGAAGGGAATGGGGAGTGGGCAGGAGAATAATGATTCTTGTATTTGATACAGCGCCTTGTCACGTCTTCTAGACGTCTCAAAGCGCTTCACAGAATATACTGTAAAGTGAATTGACTGTTTTGTGGGCAAAAGGCAGCAGCCAATTGCACACAGCAGTGTCCAGCAGTTGTGGATTAAATGACCAAATTATATATATTTTTTCTAAAGGATTAGTACCTCCAGAAAAGCAATCTGCTAATTGACTAACAACCAGGTTCCTAATTGCTGCTAGGTAAACAGAGGTGTGTGGAATAAAGAAAGTTGCCCAGGGTTTCACTTTGCCCGGGAGTCGAACCCAGGTCCTCTCACTTGCGAGGTGAGGCTAACCTAAGCTACAGGACTCAATGGGATTAGACTAGGTGGTTCATGTGGAGAATAATGTCAGTGATCTAACATGCTAGACAATGACTAAGCTACAATAAGGTGGGGCAAACATGTACATCATTTTCAGTAGAACAATAATCAGCAGATTTTTCCTTTCCAGGTTTAGGAAACAGATCATCTTTAGTTGGCGTTGTTGGTGATCTGAGATCAACTAAGTCAAAAGTCAGAACCTGGGACCTTCAGGCTTTGAAACAGGTCAGTTGTGCACCAATACACTGGAGGTTCATTCAGATCTTCACACAAACACTTATTTTTTGCCCTGGGGTGACTGACTGACTGGTCAAAGAAGCGTTTTGTTGACTGTCCCGAGCAGGACTAAATGTTAGCATTCCTGGGAGGTGGATTTCTCAGACTTGCTCTCCTGGCTGGATGGTGCTTTATTGCTCCAAGGGCTGCCACTTCCCAAGGTTGGCGAGTTATTGAAGTCATCTTCATCATCGATACCGCTGGCCGCCTCAAACTGGGCGTTCTCTAACCGAGTGATCAACCGTTCATCCTCGTCACCGAATTCCCCACCCATTAGAGCCGGTTCACCCACCACCATAACATCCTACAATAAGTGGGGGCGCAGTCATTAAACCACAGCACACAACACAACAGTAAATCATTGCTCCATCCACCTCGGCCACATGTCCCAGGGTCCAGTCACAAAATACTCCCAACAGCCTCAAACCTGGCAAATCTTTCTACCCGTGTGATTTTTAAAAGTCCTTGACCTTGTGGCAGTATTTTTTTATGGGAAGGAATGGTCAGTGTTGAGTTAACTAACCTTATCCTGGTGCTTAAAAACAACTCTAGTTCATCCTTGTACCTGCATCAATTGCAATTCAAATTGACCTGTGGATGTGTTGGGAAGTGTTGTGCTGCTGTCTAACAGTCGGGCAGTGTTAGACTTGAGCTTGCAATCCCGGTGATAGAGCAATGGGACTCTCTCTCTCTCTGCGGTTCTCAAGTTTAAATTCCAGCCTTGACCGATATTAGCTCTTCAGGGGGTGCAGGCAGATTCGCCAGAATGATACCAGGTCTTAAAGGGTTAAATTACGAGGATTCGAGGGTCTGTATTCCCTTGAGTTTAGAAGGCTGGGGGCTGATCTGATTGAGGTTTTTAAAATAATAAAGAGATTCGAAAGGGCAGCTACAGAGACACTATTTCCTTTAGTGGAAGAATCCAGAACAAGGGGCTTCAGCTCACAATTAGAGCCGGGCCATTTGGCAGTGAACAGAAGCATTTTTTCCACCAAAAGGCCGGTGGGAATCTGGAACTCTCTCCCTCAAAAGGCTGTGGATTATGGCTGGATCCATTCACATTGTCCAGACTGAGGTGGATAGATGTGTGTTTGGTCAGGGTATCAAGGGATTCGGGGCAAAGGCAGGCAATTGGAGTTGAGGTACAGATCAGCCATGATCTAATAGAATGGTGGAACAGGCTCGAGGGGCTGGATGGCCTCCTCCTGTTTCTAGGTTTCTACAATCACTCACCTCCCTGCACAGACAGGATTGCTGCTCTCAGCTGCCAGATGAAGCATTTTGCTCTATCTCGGGGGAGGAAAGCTTGGCTGGCCCAATCTCCCCCACACACAAGCACACACCTTCCTGTCTGCTGGTCATCCAATGACATTGGACATTGATGAAGCAGTGAGGAGCACAGACCCAGGCACGCACCACTCTCTCTCCTGGATGAGGAGGTAGTGGCGCAATAAGTTATAGCGACTGGAGACCCTACAGAGAAAAAAATAGAACCTGTTCAAATGCAAATGATTCGCTCAGTGTCCGGCTCAGTCAAATAAAAAGCTGGTGACATCTCTCTATTGATGTCCTGTTTTGATTCACTGAACTGCAGTCAGGTCAGTGAGTTGAGACCAGAAGATCAGTGGTATAAACACAAGCATTTGGGACATTGGAAATAAAAGTGTTGAAGTTAAACTCACAGCTGGGAGAGTGTAGTGAGGGGAAGATTGGAATCTTATGGACTTGGAGTAAGAGACCAATGGTTGATTGGGACAGGGGTTGACCAACCCTGGTTAGAAATAAGGCGATAAACTGGACGTCCTGGTTTGCGGCAGATAAGTTAGTGAGGATATTGGCAGCTCTTTCAAAGAGCCAGAACAGGCACGATGGGCCAAATGGCCTCCTTCTGTGCTGTAAGATTCTATGATATTGAAAGTTGCATCTTTAAAGCGGTTCTGTGGTGGTAATCAGGCATTAAAGTAATTACTCTAAACCTCACCCCTTTGAAGCCAAACTCTCGAACTTCCCTGATGGTTTCTAACTGAGAGCCTGGATTCTCTCGGAAGCCTGACTGGTGAGGGAAGCCTACAGATCCAGGCACATTTCCAAGAGACTTTCATAAAGTGCTCTCTTAATCTGGCACAAACCATTTCCCCTGTAAATGTCACAAAGCCCCACATGAGACACTTGCCAAGAAGTTATCAACTGAACACATCTCTTGCAGACAGGCAGTGATTTTCAGAGCAAGTCCAACTGGGGCAAATGGGCCTAGGTGAATGGCTAGTTAAATAGTTTCCCTCTAACCTTGTGTATCTCAACCGGAGGATTTTTTTTATTGAGGAAAATTTTTCTGCATTCTCTCCAAAGGAATGCTAGAAAGTTAATTAATCATCAGAGTTTCCAAAGAAAAGCTGCATCTAAGAATCTTTGACTTTGGCGTGGAAGGGGGCACAGAGGGTTGATAATAATAATCCTCGTATTTGATACAGAGACAGAGAGAGATGACTCGAAGCGCTTCACAGATTATACTGTAAAGTGAATTGACTTGAATATTTTGTGGGTGAAATGCGACAGCCAATTGCGTACAGCAGTGTCCCACACGCAGTCGTGGATTGAGTGACCACATTATCATTATTTTTTGATGCTACAAGAGCTGAGAGAATTCTCAGACTAACTCACACTAATGATCAGCTGCTGGCGCTGAGAGAAAGGGACAATTCTACATCACAGATCATCAGCTTGAATGGAACAAGCCCTCAGCCCCTGCCTGAACCACACAGCCCTGGGCACATGATAACCCAGGATTACCGGGTTAGTGTTCTAATATAGGAGAGAACGGGGCGGGGGTGGGGGGAAGAAGGTTTGGGGGCAGTAATGTAAGCCTATTTGGGGGGCAGGACTGTTTTAGTCGATGTGGATTTAAGTCGCTGCAGTTAATCAATATCACTGGACCAGCTTTCCCTAACAGTTCAGGCTGTGCTGCTGGTAACATTTCCCTGCCAGACTGTCTGCTCTTCCCCTCTCTGCCTGGCTGTCAGCTCCAGATTATAGCAGACACTACTGGAGGTTTGTGCCAGGTCTGTGTAAAGAGGCCAGCTAGTTGGAGGTGTTAGTGCCAGTCAGAGTCGATCAGGAGCCAACAAGGAGGATGCTTACAGGTACCTGAGTGGCCAGACTGAAGCCTGTGGCAGGGCTGCTCTTCTTCTTGCTGTTAATGGCTGTGCCAGCACCCGCCGCGTTCCCTCCTGATTGCTTCCTTTTTCGCCGCTTGGTTGTCGGGGGTCTGACGGGTTCAGCTAAACAGGCAGGAGAAAAGGAGAAAGCATTTGAGATACGCCAGTCTTTTTAATTCACCTAAACTTTATTCCATCAGACTTCTGGTATGAACACAGTCTTCAGCTTATCCAGAAGCTTACTTTACATCTTATCATTAAGAGATCGCACTATTTTTAAAGTTTTGACAGATTACTAGCTGTGAATGGACAGATTAATAGCCATTTGTTGACATCTTTCTCCTCCAACCTCACCTGGAGGTGCCACCATCCGCTGCCACTTCTGGAACAGACATGTCTTCAGGCAGTCCCGGGGGCTCAGGCTGTAGGTTTTATGTCTGGACATCAGCTCCTGCATTGGTTCCAGTATGACACAGAGCTGTGGGGGGGGGGGCGGAAGCATATAAAACAACACAGTTTACACCATAATTAAGATTATTTTTAACCTCTTCCTTTCTCCCTACCCCACATAGTTTTTTTTCAAATCTTTCCAAAGGTTATGTATAATTGATGTAAATAGTGCTGGACATTGTATTCCAGGTGTCAGCCTGGCTCAGTTGGTAGCACTCTCGCTTCAGTCACAAGATTCTAGGTTCAAGCTCATTTCATTTCATTTGTGGGACATTGAGTTGGGACTACAAATAGACACTTTTCTTCACAGAGAGAAAGAAGAGCTCTCTGTGATGTTTCACAAGGAGCAGTATCAAATGCAAAAAATATTACTGCTAGTGCTATCAAGTTCTTTGAGACGTCCTCCTAACTTGTATAAATTATTGCATTCAGTATAACTGGAGGGAAGGCACAATAGGAGGAACGGTGGATTTTAATTACTGTACACAAAGTGCTATTAATACAACTTTCTTCTTGAAACATGAGACTTACTCTGAGGTAATTCAGTGTGAAGTTTGACAGGCCGGACCGGGTGATGCTGTTAGACAATTGCTCCAGCATTGCAGGATCCTGGGCCTAAAAATAGTCAAACGGGAACAAACAGGACATTGAGAAACACCGTCACCGTTTCCACATTCAATTGTGCAACTGGGAACAATCCAAACAAAGCTATTCACAAGTAGAGAGCCACTGACTGAGTTCTGTCACAAATCAGCCTTTTAGATTTACAGTTTCCTTATCAATCAAATACCTCATCAAACAAATCAGTGATAGTAATGTAGAAAGGCTACAACTCGTTATAGATTTAGCTGCAAGGGCCCAACCCTCACTATCAGGGCGGATATCTCTCTCTAATGAATGAGCAGCATTGGGGTGAGGTGAGCTAAGAAACTGCAAACTCTCAATGCTCAATCGAAAAAAAAAAGAAGTCAAATGCTTTTATGCGAGAAGATTGATGGTAAAGCCAGAAAGGTAGTATTCCACTGGAGTTGTCCTGTTCTCCTGGATACACAGCCTGACCCAGTGAGGAACGAGCTGTACCCCAGTGAACTCTCAGATACTCACGTGTGCTGCCAGGAGCCCACGAGACAGCAGCTCCCCATTTTTGCGAATGCTAAAATGCCAGTTCTTTATCCGCATCAGATCATCAAAGGTGAACTCCAGGTAGAGCCGGCCTTCTGTACACACCTGGGAGACAGACAGCAGAGAAGCCAGTGATGGAGCTCAGTCAGAGGATTCAGGCTCTGCTGGCCATTTACAGCATTTTCTTTTGATCTGAACCAAGGTAGCACAGACTTGGTCTAAAGCCACGTTTGAACCAAATGCCAGGGACTTAGACCCAAGCTGGGGGTTGGGATCAGGAGGGTGGAGGGCACGGGTAGGAAGGTAGTCGAAAGCACAGTCAATGAGGAGGGTCTTGAGACGCGCTTTGAAGGAGGTAAGGGAGTGGGCGAGGAGGAGGGACTGTGGGATGGAGTTCCAAAGGGTGGGGGCAGAGAGGCTGAAGGGCCGACGCCAATGGCGCAGGCCGGTTGGGGGACGTGAAACAGGCCGGATCCCGCTGAGCGATGAGGTTGATAATGACGTTAGCAGGTCACAGAGGCAGGGAGGAACAAAGCCATGGAGGGCTCTGAAGGTGAGGATTTTGAACTCTATCCTCTGGAGGGTGGGGGTGAGAGGGTCACGGAGCCTGAATGCTGCTGTGAGTTGTGGGACTGCCTGCTTTTCACTCGGTGGGTGGGTGGGGCCTACCTTGGTGAAGATGGGTTTGCTGTGTAGGGACACCATACTGCTCTGCTCACAGTCCAGGATCACTAGGTTACCGTGGAACAGTTCCTTCGAGTGCCGCAGGTTAAAGTACAGATCTGTTGCTCCCCCGTCAAAGATGCTGCGGAAATACCGGGGGATAAGGGTCCGGCCAATTGCTTTAGAGAAGAAGAAGATCATTGTCATGAGTAATAAAACTTTCGTACAGCGCCTTTGGTGTGAAGAGGACATCTCAAAGCGCTTTGCAAGATGTACTGTAAAGCGGATTAACTGTGTGTTTTGTGGGTGAATATGCAGCCATTTTTGCGCACAGCGACGTCCCACAAACAACCTTGAAGTGAATGAGTGATTTATTGTGAGGGAGGGAGAAACTCTCTTCTCTTTTCGAACAGTGCCATGGGATCTTTAACCTCCACGTGAACAGGCAGATGGGGAGCTCGGTTTAACATCTCATCCAAAGGACAGCACCTCCATTAATACAGCATTGCATTGGAGTATCAACTTAGACTATATGAATTCCATGGCCCGATGTGGGGGCTTGAAGGTATAACCTTCTGCCTCAGAGTTGAGAGAGAGCGCTACGGACTGAGCCAGACTGATTAAGAGGATTATTATATAGTGACTGAGACTTTCACTCTGAAGATGAACAGCACTAACAATAAACTAACTCACTGTATCTCTTGGGCCCATCTTCCAGACAACAGGCCACCGTTAATATTGCGTCATCTTCAAAAAACTCAGCAGTGAAAGCGTCCCACCAGAGGTTGTCACATTCCTGGGAGAACACATTGATAAGAAGTTACAGCCATCAAACAACACTTCCCTTTACGCTTTTTAACAACAACTTGCATTTACGCAGCACTCCTCCCGCAGCATCACAGAGCGCTTGATAGTGACGGAGCACGAGAGTGAAGGAGGAAGGCAGAGGGATAGAGGACGAGTGTTCCAGAGTTTCCGGGTGTAGTGGCTGAAAGTGCAGCTACCACGTGGTGGAACGGAGGGCACTAGAGACATATAGGAGGCCAAAGCCAGTTGAGCGGAGGCAGCAGATTATGGGGGAAGCATATCGGAGAGGTAAGGAGGTGCCAGGGCATGAAGGAATTTGAAAACGAGTGTGATAGGGAGCCAGTGGAGCCTGACTAGAACTGGTGTGATGGGGGGATGGAGCTTAGTATGGTTAGTGTGCGGACAGCAGAGTTTTGGATCAGCTGGATTTTGTGGATGCTGGAGCAATACAAGTCTCACCTCGGTCCAATTCTGCAGTCGCTTGTTGAGTTCATAGATCCTGTATTCTGGCTGTAACATGCAGGGTGTGCGTCTCCTGTAACAGCAGAGAGGTAGAGAGGAGAGAGAGAGAGGATTAACATTTCTGAGGATAGTCTGACCTGCAGCAAGATCTCTACAGTAGGCGATTCCCACCATGGAATCAAACCGGTTTTGAAGTTACCTTAGGAAAATACACCAGACGGGTTTGCAGGGTTATGGGGAAAGGGCTGGGAAGTGGGATTGACATTAATTGCTCCATTCAAAGAGCCAGCACAGACTTGATGGGCCGAATGGCCTCCTTCTATACTGTAAAATTCTATGAATAATAATCCTTGCATTTGATATAGCGCCTTATCACGTCTTCGAAACGTCTCAAAGCGCTTCACAGAAGTGAATCAACTGTACATTTTGTGGGATATTGACAGCAATGATGACCTAAGTGGCAGTGACAAGTTAAGCCAGGGTTGAGTTATCAGCAGTTTTCTGTATATTGGTGTGGAGGCTTGGGGTATGGAGAATAAGAGCCGTAGCTAACGGGAGACAGTGCAAACAAATTCCTTACCCAATACTTGGCTCCGGGTAGGTGGGAGGATAGGATGGGGTCGGACTATAAATGAAGAAAAAGTAGTGATGTTAATTTTTCCTGCGTAATAAGATCATGTGTTGTCAGTTGGCAGAAAGAAGCCAAGGTATAAGGGGCCCCAAATTGCCTGTTTCCATGTCTCCCGCCCCGTACACCCCACCATCAGCAGTGGGGCGTTCAGCCTATCTGTCCCCATTCCCTGCAACTGCATCCTGGAGTCCCTTTGCCTTCTTCAAGGTCTGTCTCAAGACTGTGCCTTCGGTCATCTTAACCACCGGATGCTAAAATCTCAACTGACAAGAGTTGCAATCTACAGGGGAGTTTTCAAGCGATCCGAGACTCCATCCGGCGTGAAGAGCGCTATATAAATGCAAGTTGTTGTTGTTTTATCAGTTCCCCTCAAGAAGGCACTGAATAGTCTTCCTCTAATCCTGGCTCCATTTCGGGCAGCCAGGATGTATGTAGGAAAAGGGGATTAAGAAGAGGGAATATTAGTTCATGAATTAAATTAAATAACGTAATGCCAACAACAGACGCTGTATACAAGTCCTGTACCCACCCAATGTCTCGGTCCAGCATGGCGCCCTTTGCAGGACTCCACTTGAGGTGGAAGACTTGAGGAGACCGCCTTAGCGTCCGGCTCTGCGCGATCCAGTCCCTCTACGATCACAGTTAAACCGCGCAGTTAGTTGGCTGCCCTGTCTCGCCCACAAAAACACGCAGTCACTGCGCTCAACAGTGCACTCCCGCGAAGCAATTTCCAGACGCGACTCGGAGACGACTGGGGGGGGGGGGCGGCCTCTGTGTCTATGTGGGGGGAGGGAGTGGGGAGGGGGAGGGAGTGGGGAGGGGGGGGGGGGGGGAGTCTCTGACTATGTGAGGGGAGCAGAGGGAGGGGGGGGTCTCAGTGATTGTGGGGGGAGGGGAGGGGCGAGGGTCTCTGTGTTTATGTGAGGGGAGGGGGTCTCTGTGGGGGAGGGGGAGGTCTCTGTGACTGGGGGGAGTGAGGGGGGTCTCTGTGTCTATGTGGGGGAGGGGAGGGGCGAGGGTCTCTGTGTTTATGTGAGGGGAGGGGGTCTCTGTGGGGGAGGGGGAGGTCTCTGTGACTGGGGGGAGTGAGGGGGGTCTCTGTGTCTATGTGGGGGGAGGGGATCTCTGTGGGGGAGGGGGTCTCTGTGACTGTGGGGGGAGGAGAGGGGGTCTCTGTGTCTATGTGGGGGGAGGGGGTCTGGGGGGGTCTATGTGGGGGAGGGGAGGGAGGGGGAGGTCTCTGTGACTGTGGGGGGAGGGGGCCTCTGTGGGGGGGGGAAGCCCTCTGACTGTTGCGGTGCCCGTTACCCGGTGCCCCCCCGCGGTGCCACTGACCGTTACTCGGTGCCGCCGAGTTCTCTGTCTCGGCTCGAGCTCCGCTCCCCGCTGCGGCCGGAAGTGACGGAGAGGAGGGGGGGCGGACCTCTTTGAAGGGACGGACCCGCTTCCGGTGAGTTGGTGACGTGTCGCGGTCCGACCTTTGTACCGTTCCCCCTCCCACACACAGACACTGCCCCCCCCCCCCCCCTCACCCGCCGCGTCCCGGCCCGGACCCCCCCCTCCTCCTCCTCCTCCTACTACTACAGCACAGGGTGAGTGAGAGGGAGAGACCGAGGCCTGGATCCCGGGGGTAGGCCCGACTGGGCAGAGCCAGGACCGAGGGAGGGTGGGCGGGGGGAGGTGGGGGGGTATTGGGGTGGTCAGAGGCCCCCCCCCCCCGGGAGCAGAGGCTGAGAGACCAGTCCCTGAGCCCCTGTGAGGGCTCTCCTGACGGTTTCACTTTCAGTCTGAGCCACAGCTCCCGTTGGGAGACATTTCTGTGCATAATGTTCTCTGTGGTCCTGTCTGTCTGTTCCCGTGTGTCACGTTACAACCTTCTGTCCCCTCTCCCCTCACCATCCCCCCCCTCCTCGCTCCCTCCCTCCCCTCACCCTGACCATTTCCCCCCTCCTCGGGTCATGACCCAACTGTGCAGCGCCTCGGGACGTCCTCCTGACGTGAAAGGCGCTCTATAAATGGAATCTTGTTGTTGTTGTTGTTGCCCCCCCCCCCCCACCCCCAGGTCGGTGCAGGTCGGCGCGAGGCGGGGACATGAAGCTGTTCAGCCTCAGTGTGCTGTACAAAGCGGACGCGAAAGCCAACCTCCTGAAAGCCGCCTACGACGTGTCGTCTTTCAGCTTCTTCCAGAGATCCAGGTAAGCGAGGGCCCGGGGAGGGATTGGAGCTCAGTTGGGAACGTTCGTGCCGTCCGGGAGCGCGAGTGGTTATCGCTGCCCCGCCTCGCGAGTTCCCGCAAACGCCGGGCAGGTTTTCCTTTGCTCCTCCACGCGTGCGCCTCTGGTTAGCAGTAAGTAGGAACCCGGTTGTTAGTCGATGGGTGAATCGCTTACCAGGGGTACAGATCCCTCACCGAGAAATTGGTCGTTTAATCCGCGGCTGTTTGTGGGGACGCCACTGTGCGCAATCGACTGCCGCGTTTCGCCCACAAAATATACAGTCAATACACTTTACAGTGTAATCCGTGAAGCGCTTTGAGACGTCTCAACGACGTGATCAGGCGTTAAGTCAAATGCAAGGATTATTATTATCTGAGGTTCCCCCTGTCAGCAGTTCGTGTGGTGAGTTACAGCCACAGTCTGAGTGACATCCTCTCTCCCAACGTGTCTGGTTTATGTTGGTTCTGTACCTGTAAAATCCCCTTTATTTGACTTCCGCCTTCCACGGTAGATTCCCTTTGTTGTGTGTGTGTATTTTGTGGGATGGTGAGGGGGCTGAGAGCAGCTGTTCTGTGTTATCCTCTCATATCATTGCGTCTCGTTCTCCAGCGTCCAGGAGTTTATGACGTTCACAAGTCAGCTGATAGTGGAACGTTCAGTGAAAGGGAGCCGGGCGGCGGTGAAAGAACAAGGTAAGAGGTTAGGGAGCGGGGAGAGACGATCTAAATGGCTAAAGCGGGAAATGGGGAAGCTCCCTTCTCTTTTCCAATTTGTGGAGTCCAGTAGTGCAGTGGTTAACGCAGTCGCCTCACAAGCGAGAGGACCCAGGTTCAATTCCCGGGCAGGGCAGGTAATATTCCCTCAAAAAAAAGTGGTCACTTTGATCCACAGCTGTTTGTGGGACGTCGCTGTGCACAATTGGCTGCCGCGTTTCACCCACAAAATGTACAGTTGACTCCACTTTACAGTGTATCCTGTGAAGGGCTTTGTGACGTCTCGATGACGTGATCGGGCGCTGTGCCAAATGCGCGGATTATTATTATTGTTGATTACAAGGCACTTGTTTCACAGATTACCTGTGTCACGTGTACGTGAGGAACGACTCTCTGGCCGGGGTGGTGATTGCAGATAACGAGTATCCCTCCCGTGTCTGCTTCACGCTGCTCGATAAGGTACGTCACCACATTCCTCACCTCATTCCCGTTTACCCACCTCTTTAGAATTCCCTTCCTTTGTCCTTCCCCTCAGCCAACCTGTGACAAGCGCGTCTGAGCCAGCCCAGGATTATAATGCTGAGGATAGTGGGGTCCTGTAGCTCAATGCTAATAGCACTCGTCTCGCAAGCGAGAGGACCCAGGTTCAGTTCCCTGCAGGGCGAAACCTTAGGCAAGTTTCCTTATTCCACGCATGCGCCTCTGTTACCTAGCAATAAGTAGGAACCCAGTTGTTAGTCGATTGGTGGATCACTTTCTGGAGGTAATAAGCAGAGGAGTCAGAGCTTTGGATACGTAGAGACTGGAATCACTCTTCCCCCCCCCCACAGTCCTAAGTACACACCAGATGACTGTGCTTTCCCCCTGGCTCGGCTTCGTGCTCCACCACTGTTAAGCGCTTCGAGACGCTATCCTGCCTGAGGAGCAGGCGCTGTGTAAATACACGTTGTGTGGGTTAGAGAATGATGTGGATGTTTATCTGTGTAGGTGTTGGATGAATTCTCCAGACAGGTGGACAGGATTGACTGGCCCTCAGGGTGTCCAGCAAATATCCACTACCAAGGACTCGATGCCTACCTCGCCCGATACCAGGTTAGTGTCAGTGTCCGTGTGGTAGAGAATCAACACTGGCTCCTTCGCTTCCCTCTCCTTCAATGCTTGGTCTGTAGGGTGAGGTGTCAACAACCTGATGAGGCGCTGTATCAAATGCAAGGATTATTATTGTTGTTGTAATTAGCTGCACAACTGGGACCCAAGTCTGCACTGGTAATAATCCTTCCAGAAAGAAAAAAAGAAAGTTGGTCACTTGATCCACGTGTTTGTGGGACACTGCTGTGAGGAGTTGGCCCATGTGTTTTACCCAGAGAGACAGGCGGGACTTGCTCAGTGAGTGACTTTACCTCTTTCCCCAGAACCCTCGAGAAGCTGACGCCATGTCCAAAGTGCAAGCAGAACTGGACGAAACCAAGATCATTCTGGTAATTAACTGTTATTTTACTATTATCTAGTAAGAAATGGACCCGTCTTTTCTGTTCACCGACCAAACCCACAGTCACTACACCTCACACTGTATCCCATTAAGTGCTATGAGAAAGTAGCGTCTGGTTAACATGCTCGCCTCGCAAGCAAGAGGACCCAAATCCCAGGGGCTTCTGGGCGAAACCTTAGGCAAGTTTCCTTACTCCACACTGACGCCTCTGTTTACCAGCAGTCAGTAGGAACCCGGTTGTTAATCGATTGGTGGATCGCTTTCCGGGGGTAATAATCTCTTCAAAAAAAACCTAAATAAATAACAGTAATAAATTGGTCACTCAATCCACGACTGTATAGTGGGACACTGCTGTGCGCAATTGGCTGTGTTTCTCCCACAAAATATAGTCAATTCACATTACAGTATGTTCTGTAAAGCGCTTTGAGACGTCTCAACGTGATAAAGCGCCATATCAAATGCCAGAATTATTATTGTTATTATTATTAATATTGTACTGATTAACAGCACAACACCATGGAGTCTCTGCTGGAGCGAGGAGAGAAGTTGGATGATCTGGTCTCCAAGTCGGAGGTGCTGGGCACACAGTCTAAAGCCTTCTATAAAACAGTGAGTCTCAACATCTTCTACAACATCACACAGGGCTTTCAGCAATGTTAGACACCGGACAGCACCACATTGCTGACCCTAACTGGCTCAGTGGTCAGCGCTCTCTCTCTCTCTTGCCTTGTAAATCAGTAGGTTGTGGGTTCAGCCTCCCCGTTGGGATTCTGAGCTCACACAGTCCAGACTCTCTCCATTTTTGCTTCTTCGTGACGGTTTGTGACACGCTTCCGGGCCCAATTGGCTGTCCTGTTCCACCTACAAAACACATGGTCACGCCACGTTGCAGTATATTCTGCGAAGCACTTTGAGACGTCTCAACAACGTGATAAGGCGCTGTATCAAACATAAAAGGGTTTACTCCGAATCGGCTATAAACTGTTCTCCCCCCACTCTCTCTCCCGCTCCCTCTTTCCCACCCCTCTCTCTCCCTCTCTCTCTTCTTCCCCCCCCCCCCCCTCCACTCTCCCCCTCTCACTCTCTCCCCCTCTCTCTCCCTCCCTCCCTCTCAGGCTCGGAAGCAGAATTCTTGCTGTGACATTATGTGAGACGCACTCCAATCCTCTGCCTTCAGTAACATTCGGTTCAACAAGAAAATCTCCCGTCAGCCTCTCAGTCTGATGGCTCCGACCAGTACTTTCTGTGTCTTGTGTGATCTCAGAACAAAGACTAATGAGGCTGAAGGATGAAGAGAGTCGTGTGTGTGTGAGATATTGTGTTGCTGTGTGTATGTTTGTGGAGAGAGTAACTTGCTGAGTGGGTGCATAGAGAGAGACACAATAACACACGTGTGTGTGTGTGTATCTACGAGTTGCTGTACAGCTGTGTGTGTGTGTGTAGTGTGAGTAGTAGTCGCGTGTGTGTAGTGTAAGTGTGTGCGTGTGGTGTGTCAGGAAAGTTGCTGACAGACTGGACTTACTGACCACTCCGCAGTTTACTATTGGCTTCCCTCTGTGTGAGGTGTCTATCAGGAGCTCTCCTCTCTCACCATTAATCTCTACCGTTTGTTAACACTACTTCCTTTCTGGGACTCACCGTCTATTATTTCCATTGTGTTAGTTGCCTGTTATGTCACAGTTATCGCTGACAACAGTATTTTGCTCAGTTTTTATTTACTTAATTCTCGAGCCTCAGTGAGGCACCTCCCGATCAGTCCCTGAGAAACGATTCTCGGGAAAACATTCCACTATTTACTCTATAATTCGCTGCTCTCTCTAATGTCTTATTTTTGCAGCTTAACTCGTTGATTCCAATTTTCCTCTGGTCTCCCCCTTCTTCCCCTCTCCCTCCCTCTCTCCCTTCTCCACCTCTCCCCACCCTCTCCCTTTCTCCTCTTTCTCTCTCTCTCGCCCTCTTTCTCTCTCTCTCTCCCCCCCCCTCTCTCTCTCCCTCCCTCCCTCTCCCCTCCCTGCTGACAACCTGATCCCAGGCCCAGCCATGAGCTCAGTGGGTTACAGTGGACACCATTGACAGCCATAGCAGGTGGTGATGTGTTCACACAGGAGCAGGTCTCCTATCTCTGGGACAGCGTTGAGACATGAAGGCACCAGGTGACCTGATCCTTCGCTCTCCCCATGGAGTGAGCCCAGCCTGAACCATGCCCCCCCCCCCCCCCCCCCCGTTCCCAGTTATTTATTCCTCTTCTCTGCTTGCTACTCGCTCACTCTCCCACTCGCTCACTCTCCCACACTCTCACTCACTCACTCACTCACTCAAACGGTCTTGAGTTGCTGTGACTTTTTGTTGAGCTTAAAAGCTTCAAAGTAATGTTATAATCCGTGCCTTTGTGTTATCTCTCTCTCTCACTCACTCTCTCTTTTTCTGGCTCACTCACTTCTCTGCGGCTCAACGTCTGAATGAGTTAGCACCTGAGGGTCTGGCCTGGCTTGTGACCAGTATCTCACCCCCTCCCCCCCCCCTTCCTTCGATGTGTCTCCCAGTTTGTACTGAACTTTTGTTTCTACTTTACAGTGAGGTGTGTGCAAAATAAATGGCAGCGTAACATTGCTATAAGTAGCTGCTCATTGGGGGCTGTGTGTGGCTAATCAGGGGGCTGGAGGCAGAACAGGTTAGAAACCTCCCACGGTGGCCCAGTGTGTCTCACTCAGAGCCTGGCCTGTGTGTGTGAGACGGTGCTATCACACTCTGTGCGCATTTCACCTCCACACAGTGTGTCTCGATCACTGGGTGAGATCTGTGTGGAGTTTGTCACTGAAGCAGGGTTTGGCTCAGTCTCTTCCTTACTCCGGCAGCTCACATTCAATTCTCTCGGCATCGTTTGGATTTGAGCTGTTTTGGAAGTGTGAACGGGCTTTGGGGGGGAGGGGGGAGAGCGTGAGTGTGCACAGGGGCGAGTGTAAAAGTGCACATCTGTTATTTAGGGGGAGGCCTGTATCTGATGTCAGTGTAGTGAGTTTCTAATCGCTTTTGGTATGATAGCCAGTCTGATCTAGTGAAGCTTCCAGGCACGTTTTTGTTTTATTTGGGCTTTGTCGGACACACACGGAAGCCCATCACCGTTGCTTAAGAGTCTCCAAACCAAGCTGAGAATTCTTTGCCTCCCATCCTACGCATGGAAGCCCAGAGATACGTAGTTGGAATGGGATGCGTTCCCTCCCTCACTCCCTCTCTCTCTCTCTCTCCCTGGAAGGACACATCCTGCTCACCTAACTCTAGAGAGTATTAGGCGCAGGTTGGCTAGAGCCCAGGTTTGGGGGAGCCCAGAGTGTGCGTTGGGGTAACTGCTGGGGTCTAACCAGCTAAACCCACAGCCTGCCATTGATATCACTGTCTGGCACAGCTCAACAAACGCGACAAGTCAGTCTATCCCAGAAGAAATTTGAAGCATTTTCCTTTTTTTAAAAAAAAAATAACCCAGTTTCCCTGCAATCTGGCTCCGTCATCCTCATCTGTCAGGTGGAAGTGAGTGAGACATCAGGTCGTATTGTCTGCATCGCTGGCACCAGTCACTTCCCCTAAACCAAACCAGTGTGAGGAAGTGGCAGCCAGTCATGTGCCTTTCACTAACTAGTGGGCGGGTGACAAGTGACTGGATCCGTGCTGAGGTTCTGCCATGTCAGGTCGGCACTGGCCCAGCCAAGCCCTCGCTCTGGTTGTCTGAATATGAAGTAGCTCAGTGGTTAGAGCTCTCGCCTCTCAGACCAGAGAATGTGGGTTCTATTCCCGCCCGGGAGGAAACCTTCGGCAAGTTTCCTTATTCCACACACACTCCTCTGTTTACTAGCAGTAAGTGGGAACCCGGTTGTTAGTCGATTGGTGGGTTGCTGTTCCGGGGGTAATAATCCTTTCAAAAAATAATAATTTTGTCAATCCACGACTCTTTGTGTGGGACACTGCTGTGCGCAATTGGCTGCCGTGTTTCGTCCACAAAATATACAGTCAACTCACTTTACAGTGTATCCTGTGGAGCGCTTTGAGACGTCTGGCGGACGTGATAAGGCGCCGTATGAAATGCCAGGATTGTTATTCTTATAGAGTCTTTGGGGCGAAATGTCCCGGCAACAAAGCAGCTCCGGTGAGAGTTGAGTTTGGAGCTGAAACTCAGCGCTGATGTGAGCACAAGGCCGGGGCTACCAACATCAAGTGATAGTGTAAGTTTGGCTGCTGTGGGACACGGCTGCGCACACTGGCGCTGGGTTGAGTAGTTGCCGTTTTAATCTTAAGGGATTTGCGTTGTACGTTTTATTTTGTCTGACACGCACAGAAACCCATCACCGTTGCTTAAGAGCCTCCAAACTCAACTGAGATTTCCATGCATCCCGCCTACACACGGGAATCACAGCGATAGTTCAGTGGAATGCGCTCTCGCTCTCCCTGGAGGGACGCATCCTGTTTCACCTAATTCTGGAGAGTATTAGGCGTAGGTTGGCGAGATTCAAGGCTTGGGGGGAGCCCAGAGTGTGTGTTGGGGTAACCGATGGAGTCTAACCAACTAAGACCACAGTTGCTGTTGTACGGAGCAGGGGATGCTTTGCTCTTCATCTGGGAGTGAAATCTGCTCCAATGTGCCTCACGCCAAGAGCGGGAGAAGGGGAGAGGGGGGGAATCGCAGGTGAGGTCCATCAAACATTCATCACAACTAAACACTTCTCAGTTTTCTGAAGTATTTGCTCTTTGTAAATGTGATGCGATAAATTATTTTCAGCCGTGTTTCTAACCTAACGACGCTCTGTGTAATCAGATCGGCGTTTTCAGTTAACAGATTGTATTTTGATAACAGTTGCTGGATTTGTTGCGATGCCATGAATGTTTACACTTGTAATCTTGCCTTTTACTGAAATGTGTAAATATATAAAACAAATTTGCTTTAGAAGTTGCTAGGAATTTCTTTTGTGGCGGAGGTGGGGCAAGAGAGGGGGCGGTGATCAGTCACTGTACACTGCACCACAAAGTCAATGCACGTCTCACCCACCAGTGAGCCATTCATGTCTTCCAGTAACTGCAGTAATTGGGATTAACTATAAATTAATTCCTGGCTATTTACATTGATGTAGATTTGATCTCTGTGCCACAGAGGCTAACGTTCAGTTTCATCCAAACAGAAACAGAAGCCAGAGATCTGTTAGGTACTTACAGAAGGTGCGTAATTAATCTTTTGGTCTTTGGTTTAGTATTTGGGTCTCCGGGCAAAATGATCCTTTTATCCGTTTGATTTGACTCATTTCCTGTGTCAAGGAAGGTGTCTGACTTCAGCACCGTGTAACGCACAACCCACCCAAACTCTAACCAGGTTTCGCCCCCGACTATCATGTCCCAGATGGAAAAAAAAGCTTTAAACTGGTTGAGCAAACTCTGCAGATAAGAATGGTATCAGTAAGTGAAATACTAAGGTTTGACTAATGTCAATACTGTAAATCCATAACTTTATTGGTAATCGCGCATGTCAGGCAACATGTGTATCTTCATGTACATGTGGCACAGAGCAAAAATCATACAGTCCTTGTATTTGTCACATAAGGGGAAGTTAGTGGTGTGGGACGTTTTGTCTGATTTCCGAAGTGGGTAAATTAGAAAGACGATGACTTGGGTGATACTGGGAGTGAATTCTGGTGATAAAAGATATCAGTCAGACCCAGACCCTGACTTCCTCACAGGTGTGTCACTCGGGGGTGGATTCAAAAGGATAGTTTAGCCGGTGTTTGTGAGTCAGTCGTGAGCCGGAGTTTGGAATGTTTAAAGAACGGTTCAGCAATTTGCGTTTACATGGAGGTGGCGCCTCAGAGCACTTGGCAGTGGCGGAGCACGACACCGAGCCACGGGGAGGTGACCGTAGGGCACGGTCAAAGAGGAAGATCTTCAGGCGTGATTTAAGGATGGGGAAGGAAGGGAAGAAAGGCAGAGGAATTGAAGGAGAGAGCATTGGGGCTGCAGTTTACACTAACGCCATCTAACCTGACTGAGCAAGGACGGACAGCTGAGGGAATACTGGCGTGTGATCCCCGCAGTGCTGGTGTTTGCTGTTGCTCAGAACCACACCCACCCACAGAGCTCTCTGCTCCTCAGCATAGTCGGGCTGTCAGGTTAGAGATGGGGTTCTGCTGCTGTGATGACTGTCTGGCGTTTAAAGGGTCTGTTTCTGGGGAAGTTTCTGAGTTGAGTCGTGGCGTACTGTTGGGTTGATGGTTGGGGAGAGATTAAACATATTTCTTACACAACATAATTGGGTTTAATGCTACATTTCAGTGCATCTTAAAAAGTGCAAATATTGGGGGGAAAAATATCTACACTGTCAGGGCTGCTCAGCTTCCAGGCTGGAGTTCTGGGTGGTTTTAAGATCGAAGGAAGTGTCGTGAGTGAGTGGGTGGGTGTCTGTCTGTCTGTGATATAGTGGGAGTGTGTCTCCTCCTGAGCTATGGGAACTGAATAGTGCATTGAATAAAAGCCGTCCCTGGTTTAGAATGAGGTGAAGACAGCTTCTGTATTTCGCTCCTTTGTTAACTTGGCCAAATTATCTGCTCCCCTTAGGCCATTGGAATAGTCGTTCCCTTCCCGTTCTGGTCTCTCGTATTCAATGGTGGCGTACACGTTAACTGTAGGGTTCTCCGCCTGCATTTCGGCCTCGTTTTGTAACTGCAATAACACAGCTTTGTTGAGACCAGGTCCTGGAAGGAAGTAGACAACAGCTGTGAGCATTACTCGAGCTGACACTCAGGCCGTACAGGTTTCAGACAATAAGATGTGCCAAAAACAACTAGAGGGTAGGAGGGTGACCGAAGGCGCGGTCAATGAGGAGGGTCTTGAGATAGAACTTAAAGGAGGCAAAGGAGAGGTCGAGGTGAAGGGACTGTGGGATGGAGTTCCAAAGGGTGGGGGTGGAGGGGCTGAAGGCCTGACCACCGATGGTGCAATATAATAACAGTGGTAATAATCTTTGCATTTGAAACAACAACAAAATTACGTTTGTACGGCACCTTTCCATTTGGGAGGACTTCCCACGGCACTGTCACAGCGCCGTATCACTTTGTGAGACGCCTCAAAGCGCTTCACAGGATGTACTGTAAAGTCGAGTGTTTTGTGGGCCAAACAAAATAGCCAATGGGCTCTCTGTTTCCAAGAACAAGTGTTCTGTGTGGGGATGGGGGGGTGACGTGGGTGGTTCTAATGCCGGTGTCAGGATCAGGTAACTAACTCCACGTGCAGAGACCGGCAGCGATCAACAAGAAGAACCTGAAGTTATGCAGCGTTCCTCACGCAGAGCAGCGACTCACCAAAGTAGCTGAGGAGAACGGGCAGGAAGATGAGGCCATGAACCAAGCCCAGGAGTGTGATAACCAGGTTCAGGCGGAAGAAGAAAATCTGGATGAGCTGAGCTTTGGCAAAATATAACACGATGACTCCAGGGAGGTTTGTCATGGCCACACCTGCAAACACCTGGAAACACACAGACCGACACACTGGCTTTACACAATGGCTTTGTACACGGCCTGTCCTCACTGATGTACATCACTGCCATACCCTGTCCTCATCGTGACATCTAACACGATAGGCTTTCGTTGAGGCTGAGATCATACAAATAATACTTGCGTTTGATACAGCGCTTTATCACGTCGTTCAGACGTCTCAAAGCGCTGCACAAGGTACGCTGTAAAGTGCAGTGAGTCTATTTTTGGGGCGAAACAGGGCAGCCAATTGCGCACAGCAGCGTCCCACAAAAGGTCATGGATTGAGTTTTTTTTTAAGGGATTATTACCCCCGGAAATGCAATCCGCCAATCGACTAAGAACCATGTTCCTACTTACTGCTGGAGAAACAGGCGTGTGCGTGGAGTAAGGAAACTTGCCGAAGGCTTCGTCCTGCCCGTGAATCAAGTCCAGATCCTCTCGCTTGCGAGGTAGAGTGTCAGTGAGGGGCAGTGATGGAGGGTTAGTGAGCAACAGGGCCAGAGCACTTGTACCAATAAGTGATCGGATTGTAAGATTAGGATTCCATAGTGTATGTTTGACATTGAACTGTTCACCCGGTACCTGTTTGCCGTTTGCACGCAGGCTACTCACCGCGCTGCCCATGGTGGCTGTGGCGTCCTTTGCCCGTTCAACTCGCGTGGGCTCAGTGCTGATAGCAAACGAGCGTGTTAAGTGAGACACAAACTCCACAGAGATGCCCACAGCCTGTCACGGGACACAGGGAAAAGTGACAGGTTAGCAGCGCGAGTGGAGACTACAACACAGGACAGTGTTTGTGGGGCAGTGTTTGAAGCAGGTGTGAGATTTGTGGGCTGACTGACACACTCACACACCCACCCATTCTCACACACACACACACACAGGACTCTTTGGCCTTCACTGTACCAGTGAATTTGAAAGCAAGATGGATCCTTACCGTGACCAGATTGATGAGAGAGACAGCGTTGTAGTCAATACTCCAGAGGGTCATCACTCCCACAGTGTCCACGATGATCATGATGATGGTCACGAGGTTGAGGAAGCCTGACCGGAGGTCCATCCCCAGCAATAAACAGCACACCAGGAAGGTGGGGATCAGGCACACACAGATATTGAACAGCCCCTCGTTCACCACAGTCAGGTATTGCTCGTAAAACACGTAGGTGATTCTGCCGTGTGGAAACCATTTTGAATGACAAAAATAACGCTGTGGGATTGTTCTTAAAATTAGAGCCATTTAGGAGTGAAATCAGGCAGTTTTTCACACAAACACAAAAGTGAGTGGGAATCTTTGCCTTCTTTGCTCCAAAAGGCTGTGGATTATGACTGGATCCATTCACATTTTCAAAATGACTGAAGGCGTGGATAAAGAGGTAGGTCTTGAGACAGATTTGTTTGAGGTGAGGAAGAGAGTGAGTCTGAGGGACTCTGGATTGTATTATTTATTAACCTCAGATTCTGACCAACAACAAAATTACATTTGTGGAGCGCCTTTCGTGTCAAGAGGACATCACAAGACTAACTGTGCTCTAACATGAAGAAAGTGGTTTTAAGACAACAATGTGTTGAATATTACCTCAGCAGACAGGACAAATGGATGTTAGTACATACACACCGGAGGTTTCTGGGTTCAGAATAGCCATGTTGGTGCTGTGAGCAGGTGAGATGGTGCGGAGCTGAAACTCACGAGTAGGGAAAGACTTCAAAGTTGGGGTCGGTGCCTGGGACCTTCCTCATGCTCGCTGTAATGTTGGCAGCAAGTTCTCGAACCACCTTCAGTGAGGCCGTGTACTCCTGACTGTCAACCAGAACCGAATGGTAGGCCATGAACCTGGAGGCTGGACGAGCAAACACCAGAAGGTAAGTTTCCATGTTTCATTCACCTCCTCAACTCGAGCAAATACAACCGACATTCACCAAGAACATCATAGTCCCTTCATGAAACCTTTCCTTACTCCTCACTCATACTCGCCTGTTTATTTAGCAGTAAGTAGGAACCTGCTTGTTAGTCAGTTAGCAATCGCTTTCAGAAGGGTAATAGTCCCTCAAACAAAATGTGGTCACTCAATCCATGACTGTTTGTGGGACGTTGCTGTGTGCAATTGGTCACTACATGTTACGAGTATAATCTGTGAAGCGATTGGAGACACTCAGCGATGTGACAAAGCGCTATCAAATGCAAGGTTTATTATTATTATTAATCTAGCGGATATGCTGTGCTCTGTACTGTGTCTGAGCAGTGCCCTGGATGTGGAGGGGCTGAACATGAACTGGCAGGTGCTGGATTCTGCACTGGAATCCTTTCCCGTCCATTAAAAAATCACAACAGGAAAATAAACATTTTTGTTAGAAATCTACAAAAACACACAGGCACTGCACTTCACAGTGAACGCTTTGAGGCGCTTTGAGACGTTTCAACCTGACAAGCGCTGTATGAAAATACGATTATTAATCTTTACCAAAAACTCACCAACAATGACCCCGTTGCTGTCTTTATTCACGGCATCAGCGTAAGCCGCCAGGCCACTGAAAGGGAAAGCAGTTCCCAGCAGGGAGTGAGTGAGACTGTCTGTCACGGGGAGACCCGCTGAGAGGGGGTGAGTTCACGTTTCGCAGGAGGGTAGAGATGGGCTCGTGTTTAAATGCTCTGTTTTGCTGCTATGGCTCGGCTCTTGCCAACCTGCGCCTAATAATCTCTGGAATTAGGTAAACAGGATGTGTCCCTCCAGGGAGAGAGAGAGAGCACATTCCATTCCAACAATCTATCTCTGGGATTTCCATGTGTAGGTGGGAGGTATGGAAATCTTGGTTTGGAGACTCTTGAACATCGGTGATGGGTTTGCACGTGTGTCAGACACCCAGCCGGGCAGGTTACTTACCCCTTGGGGCACTGCAGTGTGGGAATATCCGCCAGGTAATAGGGCAGGTAGGTCTCGAAATCCTCCGCAGTGGGCCTGATGATGCCGGTGGTGGACTGTGGCATACACTTGATCAGGCACGATATTGCATCTGTGACAAAGGAAGAGAAGAATTGGCAGAAGCCGAGTCGGTCAGTCAGTGACCCGGTTTTCAGTCGAGCTTCCTGTAGACACACTTACAAATCCAGGGGGTGGATTGTAACTATAGGTGGGATAGCGGAACAGAGGGGTGTAGGAGAGGGGAATCGACCAACAACCGGGTTTCTATTCACTGTTAGGTAAACAGGTATGTGCGTGGAGTAAGGAAATTTGCCAAAGGTTTTGCCCTGCCCGGGAATCAAACTCAGACCCTCTCGCTTACGAAGCGAGTGCTTTAACTGCTTCAGGACGCCGCGAAGGAAACTGAAAATGCTTACCACTGGTCGCTGGGCAGAATTCACCTTTATTGGGGCCAAAGGCGTGCAGCCGACAACACCGGGAGTTTGGGTTCAGCCAGTCTATAAAGTCATCCAACCAGGAAGAAGCTGAGATGGCCATGAAAGACCTGAGGATGACAGCGTGTGTCATTGTGATGGTTACCCTTCATACAAACCTACAGCCCAGAACATCGTGCCTGTGCTAGCTCTTTGATTTAAGTTGGAACCCGGCTGTTTACCAATCGACTAACAACCGTGTTCCTGCTTACTGCTCGGTAAAGAGAGGCGTGTGTGTAGAGGAAGGAAACTTGCTTAAGGTTTTGCCCTGCCCGGTAATCAAACCCAGATTCTCTCGCTTGTGAGGCGAGCGCTCTAACCACCAAGCTACAGGATTCCACAAATCATGCTTGAGGTGGAAAATTCAGGAAAAGTCTAGTAAACTCGGGAAAGACTCACTGTTGGGGGAAGTCGGTGGCGTACTGTATTTTTTGTGTCAGGGAGTTGTTGTCACAGCCCACACTGGAGCAGACGCCGTTCATCCCGGCGATAGAGGAGAAGTTGTAGCCTGCGGTGGTCACAAAGTACACAGGCGTGCCCACTTCAAAATACTTGTAGAGGTAGGAAAAGTAGTTCAACATGTAGGAGTCCTGAAAAGAGAGCACAGTAAGCACAGAACATACACCAGCAGCCACCGCACAGGAGGCCATAAATATAAGCTGCTGGTCATCGATCTAATAGGGAAAAACCTTCACGGGGAGACGGGGGTAACAATGTGAAACTCAATGATAGGAGGTGCAGTTGAATCAAAAAGCTTCATGGTATTTAAAGAAACGTGCTGCATACATGAGGGAGGGGAATACGGGGGTGTAGGAGAGGGGTGTAGGAGAGCGGAACAAAGGCGTGTGGCAGAGGGGAATAGAGGGAGTGTGGGAGAGAGGAATAGAGGGGTGTGAGAGTGGGAAACAGGGGTCTGGGAGAAGTGGGGAATATAAACATGGTGACAGATACTTGGCTGAATGGCCTGATCCATGCTGTATCCCTCAATATAACTAACTATGAGGAAAATACAATTTACAAAACACCTGAAAGTGTTTTACACAGCTCCGCTGTCTGACAATACGAGCTTGGTGGGGGGGGGGGGGGGGGGGGGGGAGCTGAACTGGGTTTTTGGAAGAACGGAGGGGTGGGGGGGGGGAAGATGCCCGAAAGTGAGGTCAGAGATCGGTGTTGAGGCAGAAAGGATTGAGAGCAGCTGGTGCTCACCTTGGGCAGGGCGAGCTGCTGATCCAACCCCACTTTGACGTGTAAGAGAAAGTACAATCCCGCAAAGAACATGAAGAGGAACACAACCATCTGGTGGGAAATCAGTGAGATCAACTGTCACAGTAATAATAATAATAATAATTTGCATTTGACATAGTGCCCAATCACATCGTTGAGATGTCTTAAAGTGCTTCACAGGATATACTATAAAGTGGACTGACTGTATTTTGTTGGCAAAACGCAGCAGCAAATTGCGCACAACAGTGTCCCACAAACACTTGTGGATTTAGTGACAAAATTTTTTTTGAGAGTTTATTACCCTCTGGAAAGTGATCCGCCAATCGACTAACAGCCTAATCGGGTTCCTACTTACTGCAAGGTAACCAGAGCCGTGTGTGTGGAGTAAGGAAATCTGCCTAAGGTTTTCCAGCGCCCGGGAAGCGAACCCGGGTCCTCTCAAAAAATGCTTTGTTTTGTTGCTTACCACAATGATTCGAACCACAGAGTTCAGCAGGAAAGGAGCATAAATGTTCCTCATAAAGCGCATCAGAATTCCCTCACTTTTCTTTGTTTTCTTTTTGTTCTTTGATTGAACGCAGCAGCAGATATCAAACCTGTTAGACTGAAATTGGAATGGTCAGGTCAGTACGTGTAGGAGAGGGGAATAGTGAGGTGTACGAGAGGGGAATAAAGGGGTGTGGGAGAGGGGAATAAAGGGGTGTGGGAGAGGGGAATAGAGGGGTATGGGAGAGGGGAATAGAGGGGTGTGGGAGAGGGGAATGGGAGTACCAGCTACAGGGTTGTGGGGGGAAAGGGCAAGTAAATGGGATTAAAGGATTACAGACATGATGGGCTGAATGACCTTGTTCTGTGCTGTAAATTCCTGTGGTTCTCACCTCCTGTCTGCGGGTATCCAGGGAGAACAAAGCCACAAACATTGAGATCTGGAGCAGGAAATCCAAAAGTACGGACAGCCCAGCATAAAGGGCAAACGTGCGGACAGCGGGCATCTTAGTCAGAGCACCTGCAGCAACACAGTACACAGTGTGTCAGCCTAGCATTGCAAAACATAGGAACAGGAGGAGGCCATTCAGCCCCTCAAGCCGGTTCTGTCATTCTACAAGATTGTGGCTGATGTGTAACTCAAGTCCAATTACCAGCCTTTGCCTCATATCCCTGGATGCCCTGACCTAACAGATATTCTCCTCAGTCTTGAAATGTGACTAGATCCAACCTTTTGGGTGAGGGAGGGAGAGAGAGCTCCAGATTCCCATTGGCCTTCGGGTGAAACCCTCCCTCCTGAGTTCACTCCTAAACGGCTGTAACTTTAAGGTGAAGCTCCTGGTTCTGGATTCCTCACCAGAGGTAATAGTGTCCTATCAAATCCCTTTGTCATTTTATACACCTCGATCAGGTCGGCTCCCAGCCCTCTCGACTCACAGACTACAGACCAAGTTTACGCAACCTGTCCTCGTAATTTAACCCTTTAAGCCCTAGCATTAAAACTGTTGGCATCTTCCCCAAACTTCTGTTCGTAAGAGTTTTTCTTCCCTATTATTAAATATCACACATGAGAAACACAGGAAGATATCGAGCGCAAAAATTCTGCCACCGACACCCTTCCCCAGTCAAAACACTGAATCGTGAACATTTAATAATTTGGTCAATCAATCCACGGCTGTTTGTGGGGACACTGCTGTGCACAATTGGCCGCCATTTTTCACCTACAAAATATACAGTCACTACACTTCAACAGTATATTCTGTGAAGCGCTTTGAGCCGTCTCAATGAACGTGATAAGGTGTGATATCAAATGCAAGGATTATTATTATTATAAAGCATACCAAGGAAGAAACAGATGGATTCTGAGATGCTGCAGAGAAGCATGCTCGGGGCGACGTTCCCCAACACACGACCAATTTGTTCTTCCCTCGTTTCATCTTCTTTCCTCTCGTCTCTCTGTTAAACAAAGAAAGACTGTGAAGAAGTTGGACGTTGTGTTTGGAGCCGGTTTGCTCACTGAGGCTCTGCTCAACTAAATCTGTAAAAACTGCCTGAACGCTGACTGCTTGGTGACTGCTGACGAAATGGCCATTTATTATTAATAACAACAATCTTTGCATTTGATGTCGCGCCTTATCACGTTGTTGAGATGTTGCTTCACAAGATATACAGTATTGCATGGTAACATGACTGTGTATTTTGAGGAATGCGGCAGCCAATTGTGCACAGCAGTGTCCCACAAACAGTTGTGGATTGAATGACCAATTTTTGGGGGAGGAATTATTATCCTTGGAAAGCGATCGGGCAACTGACTAACAACCAGGTTCCTACTTACTGCTGGATAAACAGAGGCAAGGGTGTGGAGTAAGGAAATTTTGCCTAAAGTTTTGCCGCGCCTGGGAATCAAACTGGCTGCCGTGTTCCACCCACAAAATACACAGTCACTCCACTTTTCAGGGTATCCTGTGAAGCACATTGAGGCTTCTCAACGACGTGCTAAGGCGCTATAGCATATGCAAGTATTATTATAAAATCGTTCGTCTCTGGCTTATTGAGTGTAGAGGCTGTTGTGAAGTCTTTGCAAACCCACAAGAGAGAGAGTCTCTATGACTGACCTGATATTCGAGCACAAATATGAAAATGTTATCAGCGCCAATAGCGAGTACCAGGAAGGGCACCACCTCCAAGATAATGAGTGAGGAGGGAACTCCCAGATAGGCATAGAAACCCATAGCAGACACCACAGCCAGTATCACCACCAGATTCCACCCAGGCCCAGGGTAATCTTTGAATCGATCTGTAATGAAAAATGTAAGGTACGTTGTAGTTTACATTTACCATCCTTCAGACAATACCCACCACCTGCTCACAGTCTCGTGCCATTGGTCTGTGACTGAATCCTGAACACAAAAAGCTCAGTGCACACCCTTTGCAGCTTCAACTTCCCCCACCCTCTGGAAGTCCAGAGTTACACTAGCCTTTGGATGAAAAAGTGCTTCCTGATTTCATGGCCTAGCTCTAATTTTAAGATGATGCCCCTTGTCCTGGATTAACCCCACCCACCAGAGGAAATAGTTGGGATTTACGTACCAAGATCCGTTTCCAACTTGTATAGTCTCCCAGAGCCAAGGTGATGTAGATGAATATCACCAGGTAACTGATGGCAAATATAGGCAGGTCTTCAGCTGTGGTTCTGTTAATCTCATCTTCCAGTGATCGCTACAAGCAAACAAATACATCAATAATAATGTATTATTATTTGATACAGCGCCTTATCACATCGTTGAGATGTCTCAAAGGATTTCACAGAACATACTGGAAAGCGTAGTCACTGTGTATTTGGTGGGTGATTAACCTTTTGTACTTAGGGTGGGGGATAGAGTGGTTGACGATGCCTTCGACAACGTCGACCACTCTATCCTCATCCACTGCCTCTACTCTCACCTCAACCTTCACGGCTCTGTCCTTGCCTGGTTCAGATCGTACCTCTCACACCGCCTCTGCTTTATCTCCACAAACAGCTTCTCCTCCAGTCCCCGCACCGTCTTGTGCGGTGTTCCTCAGGGCTTTGTCCTTGGTCCCCTCCTCTTCAATATCTAAATGCTCCCTCTTGGTGACATCATCCACAGACATGGGGTCAACTTCCACATGTATGCGGATGACACCCAACTCTACCTCTCTGCCTCCACCCTTGACTCCAGGACCACTGCTGTCCTGACAAAACGTCTGTTTGACATCAAGTCCTCGATGAGAGCTAACTTTCTTCAGTTGAATGTCAACAAGACTGAGGCTCGCCTGAATGGCTCCCATCAGCGCCTTCTCACCTCAGGCACTGACAGCATCACCATCCATGGTTGCACACTCCACCTTGCTAAGCCAGTCCGGAAACTTGGCGTCTTGTTTGACCCTCAACTATCCTTTCTGCCCCACATCTGTGCCATGACCCACTCTGCTTTCCCCCATTTCCGTAACATCGCCCGGCGCCACCACTGCCTCACACCACAGGCTGCCAAAACCATCATACACTCTTTTATTACATCGAGCCTTGACTAAGCAAACTCATTGCTTGTTGGCCTCCCCAACTCCTCTCTCCATAGGCTGCAGATCTGAACTCTGCAGCCCACGTCCTCTCCCGCACCAGGCTCCGCGACCCTATCACCCCCATCCTCGCCCAACTCCACTGGCTTCCCATCACACAGAGGATACAGTTCAAGATCCTGGTCCTCACCTTCAAAGCCCTCCATGGTCTTGCTCCCACGTACCTCTGTGACCTCCTAACCCCCTACCATCCTGCTCGCTCCATCTGCTCAGCGGGCTCTGGCCTGCTTCACGTCCCCCGTCTCACTCGCCCCACTATTGGCAGGCGGGCCTTCTGCCCTACCCTCTGGAACTCCATCCCGCAGTCCCTCCGCCTCACCCCCACGCTTGCCAAATTCAAGACCCATCTCAAGACCCTGCTCTTCAACTGTGCTTCCCCCTCTGCTTACAGAAGGGAAGAACTCTTATATCAATGTCAATCATTGCGAGTTACTGCTTATCAGGGCATTGCTAGTGGAGCTAAACCACAGCTTTTGCCAACCTAGGACTGATATTAGCTAGTTTAACATTCAGAGCCTGGTGCTTTTTGCCACCTGGCAATGACCACTTGCTGGTAACTGAAAGGAGCCTTCGGAAAGCTTGGCAGATCTGCAATGGAGGAAAGTGATGGGATTGGGGGAACAATACTTCTGTGGGACTAAACCTCTTCTCAGTTGGTAGCTCTCGCATCTGAGTCAGAAGTTTATGGTTTCAAGCCCCACGTCAGGACTTGGAACTTATTCTAACCTGACACCTCACTTGACAATGGAGGACTTTGAGCCGTCCAAATGTGAAAGGCATCTTATCAAATATCAAATGTAAGGATTATCCATTCACTATCTTAAAGGGGTTTAAAATGAAAACAAACTGTTACTGATACATTAAACTCTGTTTGAAACACAATGCACATTACCTCTGCCATGAACTCGAAGTCAAAGCTGCGGGACATGTTCTTTTTATACGCCTGCACAATCTTTAGGTATTCCTGTTCCCAGAGTAAAACATATTCAAATTTGGGATCACTTCTGGCATAATTATTTAATGAGAAAGTCACAATGAGGGCTTCTGCTTCTGTGTATTCTTCACCTGTCAGACAGCAAAGACCAAGTTAAAGCAAGAAGTCCCTTAGCATAGTGGTTAGCGTGCTCACCTCACAAGCGAGAGGTTCTAGGTTCGATTCCCGGTCAAAGCAAAACTTTAGGCAAGTTTCCTTACTCAACACACACGCCTCTGTTTACCAAGCAGTAAGTAGGAACCAGATTGTTAGTCGAATGGTGAATCGCTTTCCGGGGGCAATAAGACTTATATAAAAAAAAGACGGAACAGGCTCGCAGGGCTGAATGGCCTATTCCTGTTCCTATGTTCCTAGAATCACTTACCATCATATCCACCAACAGCCAGGAAGGGGAAAACTGGCGCCCCGTAATCTGCCATACAGCTCAGGCCCAGTTCAGTGATGTCTTTGAAAGACAGAGGAGAGCTGGAAACAAACACATCCTTAATGTTTAGGAATACACAGCCTAAGATGATGTTCCAATGCAGTACTGGTGCGGAGTGGGGGTGTTCCATTATCAAAGGTGCCGCCCTTCGGATGAGACGTCAAACTGAAGTCTCGTCTCCTTGTTCAGGTGAACGTTTAAGATCCCATGCCACTATTCAAAGAGAAGGGAGGTTCTCTCTCCCAGTATCCTGGCCAACAATCCCTCAAATAAAGTAATATAAATCAATCATTACATGTGTCTAAAGTATTTAAAATGATGCTCTTTGAGATGTTTTCAGTGTTAATAGGTAGTTTCTTTCTCTATACTCTTTCCCCCCTCCATTTAAATTTACTACTAATAATAATAATCCTTGCATTTGATATAGCGCCTTATCACGTCATTGGGACATCTCAAAGCGCTTCACAGAATATACGGTTTAGTGTAGTGACTGTGTATTTTGTATACCTACTTGACACAATAGAGGAAATGATCTTTCCAGTCTACAATGCCAGACTCCCCATTAATGGTCTGGTTTGCGGTGGCCTCGAATCTGGTCCTGTTATTCTGGAAGTACTGCAGCAAGCTATTAACAGTGCAATCGGTTCTGTTGGGATTATCGGGTTTCATGGGAGAATAGCAGATATCCTCAATGCTGATGTTCCTCTGAGCTTTCTCAGACCAGACCTGGATATTCTGGATCCTAGTTTGCAAATCCAGAATCTCGAGTAGGATGTCTTTGGAAAGGATTCCGTTGAAGGTCTTTTCCCCAAAAACCACCGATTTGTACTGGTAGCTGGGGCGGTTCTGCACGGTTATAATCATTTGGTTCGTGCGGAAAAAGGGGCTGAAATTGGTATCGTGGAAATCCTTCTCCCTGCGAGCACGACTGTCTGGAGAGGACCACAGTTCGACAGGGTCAGTAGTAAGTGTGATTTTGACCATCCCGGCAGAAAGTATCACGACTATCACCAGAGAAATCAGTATCACGGTCCAGGGATACAGAGCTATCATTGTGCCCCATTCCCTGAAGATGTTCCCCAGATACTGCTGTGTGGTCAGACCTAGTTTATCAGAACACTTAATGTCAGCGGGACTGAGCACAGGTATTTTGACTTTCTCTTTTTTACTGGTGATGCTGGCGTGAGTCATAAGAGCCAAAATGCAAACCAGCACGAAAATGAAGAGCAAGGCACAGATGACAAAAAGTGCGTCCACTTTCCCGATTCGCCAGGGTCCAGGTGGAAGGCTGGGTGGCTCGATTTGGGGACAGGAATCGATGCAATCCTGGCAGGAACAGGCTTTCCCTGTCGGGCTTGAGGCTTCGTTGCACTTCCAGAATTTTCCATCGTGAGGAACTATCTCAGCGGGAACTTGCGATGTGTTATCGATGAGAATGAAGTCAATGTCCAAAGGTGCCAGGCCATTGCCGGTGTCGCCTTGGAAATCTAACCAGCGCTGGGAGTTACAGAGAGTGGCACCAAATTTGCCACACATGGCACCAATGGCAAAGCCCCCTGTGGCTGGTATCCTTACATTTTCACAAGATTTGTACGATCCGTCTGCAAACCTCTTGCTGTAGAAGCACTGGAATTCCAGCACCACATCTTCCATGGCACCACTGACATTCAAGTTAATGGTCCTGCTGACATTGATGAACGTACTCTGGTTGGGGCTGCAGGTGTTCTGGCAGTGGAGGTTTATAAAGTTGTCAACACAAGAAGGACAGCGACTTAAGATTGGTTTGGACAGAGACAGGCTCTTCTCTATTGAGTCAAGCTGTTTCATTGAGCAGCAAGCCTGGGTATTGTCCCCAGTGTACAGCATTGGGCAGACAGACCTGAGCTTGGCCAGATGTTGAAGGTTGGTCAAGTGTTTGGCAGGTCCATTGTACAAGCAAGGTACTCTGGCTGGCAACAAGCCATTGGAAACCTCTGGATTTTTGCCGCAGTCCTCATAAAAGGAACAATATCCATTCTGATGAATGGTAGCAGAGGTCACCTATTAAACAGAAAGGTTAGAACATAAACACTTATGGTTATAAAAAGCCTTCAAAGAATACACAAACACTTTACAGTAGTGTGTCACATGAAGCGCTTTGAGACATCTTGATGACATGATAAGGCGCTGTATCAAATGCAAGGATTATTATATATTTTGGCAGTGAGCACAACAACATAGGATCAGGAGCAGGCCATTCAGCCCCTCGAGCCTATTCCACCATGCTATAAGATCATGGCTGATCTGTACCTCAACTCCCTTGATACCCTGACCTAACAAATATCCATCCACCTCAGTCTTTAAAATGTGAATGGATTCAGCCATAAATCACAGCCTTTTAGGGGGAGGGAGAGTTCCAGATTTCCATCAGCATTTGGGTGAAAAACTGCCTCCTGATTTCACTCTTAAACGGCCTGGCTCTAATTTTAAGATGAAGCCCCCTCCCTGTTCTGGATTTCCCCACCCATCAGAGGAAATAGTTTCTCTGTAGCTACTCTATCAATCACTTTATTTATTTTAGTGACTGCACCACTCACTGCTGTATTTGTTGGCTTGATATCTTTTGTCTCACCATTAACCTACACAAGGACAAGGGTCTTTCTGGAATCATAGTTCTCTGAAGTTCACACTTTCAGTTTTATTTTCTTATCAGTGACTGAGTTTCATTAGATACTAAAAGAAGCCCAGTAGCCCTGTCAAATCATGTTCATACTTTGAGATATTATTATATTTGATTATTATATTTAATGGGGTAATAATCTTTACAAAAAAAATTAGGTCACTCAATCCACGGCTGTTTGTGGGACATTGCTGTGCGCAATTGGCTGCCACATTTCACCCACAAAATACAGTCAATTCACTTTACAGTACATTCTGTGAAGTACTTTGACACATCTCAACGTTTTGATAAGATGCTATATCAAATGCAAGGATTATTATCATAATGTCGATTGTTGAAACTCAGAAACTAATAGAACACCAGGAAGCTGTTTGATTTGGGTGAAAGGTGATCCCTCAATTTTACCTCCAACTGAGAGTGAACGTAATCGATTGCAATGGTGGAGCTCTGCTGCAACATAGCACTCAATCTGCAGCACAGAATGACTTCCTAAATGGAGAAACATTCTTTTCTATCAGGTCTCCAAGTAAAACGTGTGATCTGAATCATAGCTTTGCAGCGATAGACACGGAAGTACTGTAATTAATGCAAAGTAATATATTAATTTGTGAGAGATTTTATTGTTGTCCGTGAGCAGTAGCAGATGTTCGCCTTATTGACTAACCAGTTACTAACGTGGCCCTATTGAATACAACGCGACTCCTTACGGTTCAGTGAATAACTTCTCCCTCTTCAGTATCTTTGTACAGTTGTAGATTGAGTAACGCTCATTGTGCTGATGAAATGGCTTCTGTGCACAGTTAGTTGGTAAACATAGTTTGCTTACAAACAGTTACTCCGCTTGAGACGTTTCATGGTTATAAGCGCTATATCAAATGCATGGTTAATTATTATTGTTAAAAACCGTGTGTATTGCTTCACAACTGAAAATAAATGTAAGAATCATTGTCACTTACGTCAGCTAAGAAAAGACCAAGCAGTAAAATTGTGGGCACATTCAGCATCATTTTAAACTTTGTTTGCAGCCTCTTTTGAGGTGTTTGGATTTGAAACCTCAGGATACCGTCACACCATTACAGAAAGGGCAGGTAGTGTAGTGAGTAAATCCCCAGCACATTTCAGAGACACTGAATGCGATCTCAGAGATTTTGCTAATGATCCCCACAGTGGTTTTATAACATATCTTATCATTTAGATTAGTCAGATGGGACAAAACCAATCACATAGTGCCGACACTTAGAGACGGAGTTATCATTAACTTATGGAGGTGTGTCTAAGCTAAATCTCTATCTGTATTGAACGACTCAAACTGATCATGTCAGCTTGGTTTCCAGCCCTCTCACTCCTGGTTCAGAGGTTGTAGCTCAAGTGCTATAATCAGAATTCAGCTCACAGACTTGAGCTTATCATGTGAACTTGCACTCCAGTGCAGCACTGAGGGAGAAGGAGTCTCACACTGTCAGAGGAGCCATCTTTTGAATGAAATGACAAACCGAGGCAGGCGGATGTTAAAAATTCCCCAAAGTCCTGATTGAAAAGAGAAGGGAGTGTCTCACAGTGTCCGTGCCAACAATCCTCCAGATAAATTGGTCATTCATCTCCTAGCTGTTTGTAGAACCTTGATCACGAACTTGCCTACAAAAATAATACTGTACTAGATTTGACCATAACTCTCTGTGAAAGGAAGTACTTTGAGACATTTCAATGCGAATAGGCTCAATCTAGGTTAAAGTTCTCTCATTAAAAATAATGCTGATTATTCTGTTCTAATAACTAACAGCTTTATATAGCTATACACAGTATTCATATCAATATAATCTGTGGGTTAAACAATGAGTCAGTGAGTTGCTCAGTGAGTGAAATGTGGCAGTCACTTGCGTACAACAATAATAATAATCCTTGCATTTCCTCCTTCAAGGCCGGTCTCAAGACCTTTCTCTTTGACCGTGCCTTCAGCTCCCCTCTCGCCTCTCTACCCCCTCCTCGCTCCCTCCCTTCCCTCCCCTCACCCTGACCGTTTCCCCCCTGCTCGGGTCCCGACCCAACCGTCCAGCACCTTGGGACGTCCTCCCGACGTGAAAGGCGCTCTATAAATTAAACCTTGTTGTTGTTGCATTTGATATAGCGCCTAATCACAGGATACACTGCAAAGTGAATTGACTGCATCTTTTACGAGTGAAACGTGGCAGCCAATTGCGCACAACAGTGTCCCACAAACAGTCGTGGATTGAACGACCAAATTATTATTTTAAAAAAAATTATTCAAGGGATTATTACCCCCAGACAATTAATCCACCAATCGATTAACAACTGGGTTCCTATTTACGCCGAGGTAAACAGGGGTGTGTGGAGTAAGGAAACTTGTCTAAGGTTTCTCCCCTGCCTGCGAATGTCCCTCAAACTGGCTGGGTAGTCTCACTGATTATATTCTCTCAAAAGCAAATGAGACAGATTTCTGTTAATAATATATAAATAATATATAATTTGGGACACAACTGCCAGGATGATGGAAGGCGAACTGGATGCACCTTGGTCTTCCTTTGCCTGGCAATTCTTATCTTTTTATGCACATTGGATGGGTGGAGTCACTTTCGTCATATAAGTGCATTTTGCGTGATCTATTAATAGTGGGATTGAGGTAGATGGTAAATATTAAAGTTATTGGTTGCTGGGTGTGGAAATATCCTTCACTGGTCAGTATTCTTGAACCCAAATGATATAATCTTGGCTTTCAGTTTAATGATTCTAGTCAAAGATTTACTAATCAATTCCCTTGGTTTCTTCCTTGTTTTTTGCACGAATGGATGGCAAATCAATTGCGCTGACTGTGCCCTGGTTATCCTTTATCACTGGCTAAAGGTCCCTGGCTTCAAGTACATGAGATAGAAGCTGCCTCATCACTATCTGTAAACTTTTATCTGTTCAAGGTCAAGGACTGCAGTTAGATTGTTGCAAAGTCTACTTCCATGAAGCGTGTTACAAGCTGGAATGTCCTTCAGTCCAAGTCGCCAGAGCACCTAAAGTGCTTTAAATATCATGGCAGCCAGGCAACATCACCAACGACCTCAGTGGCTGATGAGTTTGTGAACAGTCTGAACAACGTTTGCCTCACAGGAGCGCAAAACAACTCCGCAAATTAGTAAGATAACACTAAACAAGTGTCAGGCCAACCCATGAGTCACACAGGCTCCAGCCTACTCCATGTCCCTCGCCCGGCCCACCCATCATCATCATCATCAGTCAGGTCTTCATTCCCTCTGCCCCCACCCTTTGGAACTCCATCCCACATTCCCTTCGCCTCACTCCCTCCCTTGCCTCCTTCAAGGCATGCCTTAAGACCCTCCTCTTCGACCATGCCTTCAGCCACCCTCCTATCCTCTCTCCCCACCACCCACCCCACCCCCCCCTTCGATTCCTAATCCCTGACTGTTCAGCCTTGGGAAGTCATACTAACATGACAGGCACTTTACAAATGCAATTTTGTATTGTGTTTATAGGGTGGGGCCCAAATAAATATGCCTTTTAATAGTACCTCTCAGCTGCTTATCATGTATTCTTCTCTATTAGTTAACCTCCATATACGAGGGTTACTTTCCTCTATTTTGGGAGTCCTGTACGTGGAGTCCTGTAGCTCAGTGGTTAGAGCACTCGCTTTGCAAGTGAGAGACCTGAGTTCAATTCCAGGCAGAGGGCGAAACCTCGGGCAAGTTTCCTTACTCCACACAGAGTCTAATATTAATCCCTCCAAAACCAAAAACAATAATAAATTGGTCATTTTCAATCTACGACTGTCTGTGGGACATTGCTGTGCGCAATTGGCTGCCGCGTTCGCCCACAAATATACAGTCAATTCACTTTACAGTGTGTTCTGTGAAGCGCTTTGGGACGTCCTCCCGACGTGAAAAGCGCTATATCAAATGCGAGGATTATTATTATTTTAAACTATATGTGCCACAGTCTAGGTATAGTTAGGTATTAGGAATATCTGTCTCAGCTTCCCCTTCTTTGACCATACCGTCAGTCATGATTCCGCTCCAAGCCGAGGTGCTAAGCCATTATTGTTCAGTGTCCTTGGGACGTCCTCCTGACGTGAAAGGCGCTTTATAAATTGAATCTTGTTGTTGTTGTTGTTGTTGTTGTCCTCCCGATGCGAAAGGCGCCATATAAATGTAAATTTGGATTGCATTTGAAATGCAGTTCAGCCCCGAACTGAACTGATGAAGTGACTTCGCTAACTCGAGATTAGTTGAAGTAAGAGGTTGGATTAGTTGACGCGGTGCCGGGGGGGGGGGGGGGGGTAGATCAGGATTACACTGTGAAGTGTAGTGACTGTGTATTTTGTGGGCGAAACGTGGCAGTGGATGGACTGAGTGACCGCATTATTATTAGTCATTTTTATATATCCATATATATATATAATAATATAAACACGATATTTCTACACGGCCATTGTCAGGGCCTCACAAAACCGTACGTTAAATGAGCCGCAGCACAACCTGAGGGACGACCGCCGCTTCCCGCCCTTTTCTCCGCCTCTCTCACTCGACGCTCCTTCCCTCGCTCCCTCCCTCCGGCAGGACCGGCCCTTCACCGCGCAGCCGCGGGGTCTCGGCCGCGCTGATTGGCCGCAGGAGCCGGCCGCTGATTGGTCGTTCACGCGCTCGAGCGCTGATTGGTCGCCGGGACCGGCCGCTGATTGGACGTTAGCGTGCGTGCTCGAGCGCTGATTGGCCGCCGGGACCGGCCGCTGATTGGTCGCGCGGGGCGGGGGGGGCTCGAGCGGCGACCGTTGGTCGGAGGGCGCGAGGGGCGACCGTTAGTCGGAGAGCGCGAGCGGACTGTGAGGGGCGTCCGGGTGCGCGAGGCATCCCCTCCCTCCCTCCCTCAGCCCAACAAAGGCGGGAAGAGAATTGGGTGGGTTTTCACGCCCAACAGTGGGCGGGCGGGCGGGTTTGCGCGGGTGCGGTGCACGAGACGGGGCGGCTTTTGGGGCGGCTTTCACGCCTCGATTGGGCGGCTTTGCGCGGGTGCGGTGCACGAGATGAGACGGGGCGGCTTTTGCGCCTCGATTGGGCGGGTTTGCGCGGGTGCGGTGCGTGAAAAACGCAACGTTATTAAACACAGTATAATTTATGATGACGACGACGACGACGACTACTTTTGGGGGCTTCAGCAGCAGCTGCTGCACTGTATGATTTTAATTTAATTTTTAATTGCAGGTCACAGGGTCGCCGATTCCCTCGATCTGGGCTGAAGGTAGGATTTGTGGTTGAACGTACCCTTTAGCGTTGGCTTCGAGACGTCCTCCAGGGAAAGGCGCCCTCTAAACGCGCGTTTGTGACCACCACCACCACAACCACAACAACAACAGTAATGATCCGGGCATTTGGTAACGGCCCCTTTTTTACCGCGTCGTCGAGACGTCTCAAAGCGCTCCTATCCCCCCACTCCGCTCCTCCGGCTCCGGTCGGCTCCGCACCCCCCGCCCCAACCGCCCCCCACCATCGGTGGCCTTCAGCCTCTCAGCCCCGAGGCTCTGGAACTCCATCCCCAGTGCCTTCGCCGCTTCCTCCCTTTCCTCCTTCAAGGCCGGTCTCAAGGCCTTTCTCTTCGACCTTCAGCTCCACTCTCGACTCTCTACCCCCTCCTCGTTCCCTCCCTTCCCCCCCCTCACCCTGACCATTTCCCCCCTCCTCGCTCCCTCCCTCCCCTCCCCTCACCCTGACCATTTCCCCCCACTGCTCGGGTCCCGACCCAACTGTCCGGCGCCTCGGGACGTCCTCCTGACGTGAAAGGCGCTCTATAAATGCAGTCTTGTTGTTGTTGTTCACGGGACAGACCACAAAGTGAATAGACTCTTTACAAATATACTCGCGAAAACACCATCGTCTTTTCGTTGGGCGAAACGCCCCACAAACTAGCCACGGATCGTGCGAGCAGTTTTACTTTGGGGGGGGCATGGTCGGGCAGGACACCGGGGGAATGAGAGAGAGAGAGGGGAAGAGAGAGAGAGAGAGAAACTCTCTTCTCTTCTCCAATAGTGCCATGAGATCTTTTAACGTCCACCTGAACAGGCAGACAACATGCCCACAGAACATCTCAAAGCGCTTCGCAAGTGCAGCGTCTGTGTATTTTGTAGACAAACTCTTCCATGGCATCAGGACATGGGGGAGAAAAACCTCCGACTTGGGACTTGATCCCACAAACCTTCTGACTCAGAGCCAGGCTGATAGCGCTGGGAGGATGAATTGCTAATATATTCCTGTCTGGGTTTACCTTAATTTTTTATGACTCCCTAATGATTCAGCAGCTAAATACGTCACCACCTCCATCAATACTTACGTGATAACTGATAAGAAGGTGCCAGATTTGTGTTGTGAGTTTCATTGCCAGGCTTCGACTAAGATGCTATAGGTTAAGGGAAAGGCCAGGTCAAACGTTTATTTAAAAAATAAGAAAGTATAGCAAAAGGAGGCAAGCAATATCAGTTGGATCAGTAACTAAGCTGGTGGATATTAAGACTAAATTGCTGCCACGAATCTTAAATTACAGAGTAAACAATTACGCCAATAAAGATTCAGTGAGATAACTGTAATCTGAGCACTACATCATTAAACTAAGGTGCCAAAATCAACTCAATGTAACATCCCCCACATATCCTCGTAACTATATCACATATTGTCATAGTCACTGCAACTTTTTAAGAATAGAAAATTGTGGTGAAAGCAAAAAAATAAATAGGAAACGAGAGTAAGTGAACTCTTGGCATCCAATCTCAGTGAACCTTCAGTGAAAGGATAATTCAAGTATTTGATTATATTTGAGTACTTAAATGTCAGGATGTGTGGAACTATTTTCCAAGTTTGGGTTCCTGTAGGAATGTCATTCCCCTCCTATGCAAAATTATCCCCAAATTCACATTGTTCACATCCCTTTCTTGTTTACGTAACATTTCTGACATAGATCAGTTTCCAATTGAATGCAACTCACACCCAATATAATTCACACCCATATGAAGCAACTCACAGATGCTCTGAATTCCAGGACCTGATTTTATAGACCTGTTATTCTTTTATATATTTATAGCTTGATAATGACTAAAAATACGTGCTGTCGTTTGCCAGATATTTATTAGTAACTGGACATAAAGGTCTTATATAACTACTGCCACCACCCATCTCTGCTCAGCACAGCACCCGTTCAATCAGCTTTCCTGAATAGGAAGATAGCAACAGGAGGAGGCCATTCAGCCCTTTGAACCTGTTCCACCATTCTATTAGATCATAGTGTATGTCAACTCCAATTACCCACCTTTGCCCCATATCCCTTGATACCCTGACCTAACAAACATCTATCCACCTCAGTCTTGAAAATTTGAATGGATCCAATCATAATCTATATCCTTTTGTGTGGGGAGAGAGAGAGAGGCAATATCCCCCAATATATCTCTAAATATTTAACTTTAAACAAACAATTGTGAAGACAATTGTGAAATAGTTCCATGTCCTGCTTGAAAACGTTTTTTTTTAAAGTGAACTGTTGTATTAATTTTGATCTTTTGGTATTAAAATAATCCTGTAACTCAGAAAACTGATGCCATTCATATCAGCTTCCTGCTGCTCTGGTTCAGATAGTTTCAGTACAAGTTCAGGGGTCAAACCTAGGAAATTACCTGTTGGGCTTGTTTCACCTTAGTTGGTTTGTTACTAACTGAGCCAACAGGGAAGTTAGAATCACATATTTACTGGTAACTATCTACACTTGCCAGGAACAATGATTCGGTAAAAAATAATAATCCTTGCATTTGATATAGCGCCTTATAAATCTCAAAGCGATTCACAAAATATACAGTAAAGTGGATTGATTGTGTATTTTGTGGGTGGAACGCGGCAGCCAATTGCTCACAGCAGTGTCCCACAAACAGTTGTGAATTGTTGTGGAGCCTAAACACCGGCACAGACCAGTTGGGCCAAATGGCCTGTTTCTGTGCTGTATATTCTAATGCATTCTAATGAATTATTACTTTATCGTGTTGCCTAAGGTAAGGTTGTGCCTTGCCGGGGAGTCAAAATAAAATGTAAAGTGTCAATTATGTTCGTTTTTCCACCTCAGTGGCATGTACCTCGACTGGTCCTTCAGACTCCTCGTACTGGAAGTGGTTCCACAGAAATTGCTTGTCCTCTGGTTTTGTTCCTGTGCAAACCATGGCAGTGAGTATTGGCAGGACACTCCACTGTGCCTGGCCTCTTCTCACCCAGCCACATGTGCACCACCATTAATGGGACCGGGAGTAGGAACGTTGGCTAGTTTTACCCTCCCTAACACTTGGGATTTAGCCTCTCTATGCAACCGCAGCTGAAACTTCAAAATTCAACACTGACTGGGATTAGAAGCTGATCCACGCGAGATAATGCATAATTTCAGTCCAGGACAAAGTACAATTGTATAGAGCTAGGCACAAACCAGTAACACATAGGCAGACGTAGTGTGTATCTTAGAAACTCTAATTTATCGTGCCGATAATATGAATTCATGTATAATAATTCACAATATTTGCTGCAACAGGCTTTCTAATAATTTGGTCGCTTAATCCACGACTGTTTGTGGGACCCCTCTGTGAACAACTGACTGCTGCATTTTGTCTATAAAATACACAGGTCAATTGACTTTACAGTATATTCTGTGAAGCGCTTTGAAACGCCTCAAAGACGTGATAAGGTGCTGTATCAAATGCAAATCCAAGAACAAATTCTTATTTAACTCTGCAATCTAATCTTGCCCCCTCCTACCTCTCTGACCTGCTGACTCCCTACCAACCTATTTAGCGGGCTCCGGCCTGCTCCATGTTTCCCGCCTGACCCGCCCTACCATCGGTGGCCGGGTTTTCAGCCTCTCTGCCCCCACACTCTGGAACTCCATCCCACACACCCTTCGCCTCGCTTCCTCCTTTGCCTCCTTCAAGGCCGATCTCAAGACCCTCCTCTTCGATCGTGCCTTTGGTCACCTTCCCACCTCTCTGCCTTCCCTCGCCCCTCCACCAGCCCTCCCCCATGCTCGGGCCCTGACCCCTAACTGTCCAGCGCCTTGGGATGTCCTCCCGACGTGAAAGGTGCTTTATAAGTGTAATTTTGTGTTGTTGTTGCAATCCCTGCCTCCATTCAGATTTTGGATGCCCTTTGAACATTAACTATCTGATTAAACATACACACACAGCCTTAGCTGAATCTGCAGTTTCTAAGCTATCTCAGTGAGCTCCTGTTTATGGCATTTTCAAGGGCACTGCTACAGTGCTCAAAAAATATTATGTTTATCCTGCACAAATAGCTTCCCTTTACTGTGCTAGGCAACATTTATAATAATCAAAACCTTAGAGATGTCTCAAAGCGCTTCACAGAATATACTGTAAAGTGAATTGACTATGTATTTTGTCCACTATTAAACGTGGCAGTACTTGTGTGATCATTTCGCTGAAGAAATATAGCTTGGGACATGACATGTCAAGCGATTGCCAGGATGGTGGAAGGTGAATTGCATGGACCTTAGTCCTCTTTACCCAGCAAATTCTTACATGCTTAAGGAAGCAGTGCTACAGACCTTGCATTAAAATGACTGCACTGATCAATTAATGACACAGTGAAAGTCCAGAGATGACATCTGCACAATTTCTATCAATGCTCATATTTGTGTGTCAATAGGACTTTCACTGGGACAAAGCAGAGCAGTAAAACGTCAATCAAGAATGTGCTCTAGAACATATTGAGCATGGGATGGAAAATTCATTTTGATCTGTTTATATCGTAAATAATTCATTATCCAATGACTCAAGGCTTAAAAAATTATCAAAATATCAATCTGAAAATCTGACAGACCAGTTAAACTACAGAACTGCAGTCAGTATCGATTCCCTCACACAAAATTGTCGGTAAATATCACTGTTAGCCCCAGGCAACTGCTGTGACAACACAGTGATAGAGGCATTCACTCAGTCTCAGGACTTGAAGTCTCTCAAAAGACGACAGCATTCCAGTCCGACGTATAACGTGCGGCTGTATATAAAGGAGTTCAGTGGAGTTCTTTGGATCTATACCCATCAGTGATCATGGAAAATGTTTGCCCTTAATCCAAATTGCGCCATACAAAACACCCCATACAATAAAACCCTTGCATTTGGTGCAAAGCACTATCTCTTTGTCAAAAAATCCTTCTTGGGATTTTGCTGTACGTTGAAGTCACTGGTTTTGTAATGCAAAAATGGCCAGAGAGAATTGGATAGATTTCTACAATAATCAATCACAGTTATACACCATTATTCTTTTAAGAAACGGTTGAGAATAAATCGCATGAAGCTCACACAGGCTAAATCGATATTTATGCTATTTTACAGTATAAATACATACCAGGAGATAATATATTCCAGCATCAGCGTCTTCTGGTACTGTATAGGGAATTACAAACGCTTCAGATAACAGAGGAGCCATGTCAAAGAAACGTCTCTGAGAATCCCAGTTGGTTCGGAAGAGTTTGGGTTTACATCTCTCAGTCAGACCGTTGTAAAATGTAAATATAATCTGGTTTCTCATAGCAGAGTCTATTTGTCGCTCGCTTCTTTTAATGTGTCTTCTTGCCCTGTGGTTTCCTGCCCTGTATCTTCTTCCCCGTGTATTTGAAATTCTTTAATGGGTTCTGGTTGGTTAGAAGCTAAAAGTTAAAAAGAAAACAACACATTTATACATCAGTTATTTACATAACCGACACCAGATAAACTGCTCCGTCTCCTCCATGTACCTCTGTGGGATGTGCCAACATTCCAAACAGAACTATGGTGGGAGTACTCTTTCCGGGCTCGTAACGTCAAGTATTCACCTCTGGGATACTAATGAATTGCACGTGAAACACAATATACAGTCTTTGTATACTTTATATACTTCGGAGTATATCCTGTGAAGTGAACCGTTTACCTAGCAGTAAGTAGGAACCCGGTTGTTGGTCAATTGGCGGATCGCTTTTCCAGGGGGAATAATAACTTAAAAATAAATAATAATAATAATTTGTAGGTAGTTCACTTGGGATTTGAAAGTTTCAATTAAAAATGTTTTTACTCGGGACCCCTGGGGTGACTAACTGACACCGTTTCAGTAAGATCGCTGCCGTTCCCGTCAGCTGGTGTAGATGGCAGTTTGCTAACCTTGTGCGTTCCCTTGTTGTTTCTGCCCGAAGCCATGCCTCTCATGTGCCGTCTCCTGTGGATCAGGGTAGAGGAGATTCTCCGCAGTGTCGGGGGAACTGGAGAGGTTTAAAATATAACCAGGTTAGCTCGGGACAAGCCGTTACAAATCACTACAGAATAAACAACAGCTTCAGTAAACAGGGAAAGATATACAGTGAGAAAACGGGCCTTTTTATATAGGAAACCAGAACACATGAGTTACAGCAGCTGCATTGAAGGCAGGGCTTTGGACTGGCCTGAGAGTGTAAGTCAATCTGGATGTATTGAACTTCCCAGGTTCCAGCGGTTAAAAATAATAGAAAAAATTATTTGTTCCGGATCAAAACATTGTCCCCATAAAACTGTTGATGGTTCAATAAGTAAAGGCACTGTATTGGTACGGCACTGAGCCATGTACCTGCCAGAGGTTTGCAGGTTTAGCTAGGATCTGTACTGAACCGCGGTGAACACTGGTGTTGGTAGCTCGAGTTGGTATGATTTATCCGCCTTTAATCTGCAATTAGAGTCATACTTGAAAAGGATTCTTTCAGGAACAAATGAGATAGATTTCTGTTAGGAAACAATATCTGGGGATACAGTGTATAGTTTGGGACATGAGATGTTCAAACGACTGCCAGGACGGTGGAATTTGTCCAGCAAATTCTTATGATTCCTTACTGGCTTCTAGTGACCTCTGCTGGTGCCGTTCATATCGTGTCAGACTCTACTGCGATGATCCATGTGTTGGATGGAGGTGGAGGCTGCTATCAGTACCATAGTGTCCCATGGATTAAATGTATAGTCTGAAAAGTTAACCCTTCCTGTCACTAGTGAACTGTGCAGCCCACTCACTCAGGTATTCGGGCACGTTCTTCATGTGGGGTTTGACGATGGCCGGGTGCAGGGGCTTGTCGTGCCTCAGTAACTGGAAGTCACGGGGGTTATCTTCAAAGTAGGTCTGGAAAAGGAAATGCCATCGGTTAGGACACTTTCTCTCTCAGCCTTTACACCATCTTAGCTTCCTCGTGTGATTAAATCATGGGCTACAAAACAAGTAACGTGAGTAACTTAGGCAACTTTCCTTACTCCATACATCTGTGTTTACCCGAGGTAAAAATTCCTCAGAATAAAATTGTTTGTGGACGCTGCTGTGTGTAATTGGCTGCCGAGTTTCACCCACAAAATATACAGTCAATTCACTTTACCGTATACTCTGTAAAAAGCTTTGAGACTTTTCGAAGACACGATAAGGCGCTATATCAAATGCAAAAATATTATTATATGTGTATAGGGATAAAGCAAGATTAATCACCTTGAGCTTCTGGGAGTTTAGCAGCTCCTGTTTGATCTCTTTCAGACGAGCCTCTTTAATGGCGTGTTTTGTAACCGAGCGCATAGCATCCTGGAAACAGTGAGTTCCATCAGTAACACAAACTCTCCTTCCATCTCCCATATAGGCATAGGAAAGCCCCCAACATACACACACACACACACACACTTGTGGTTTCCTGGCAATAATAGCAGCTCAGTCACTTACACAGCCTCAAACCATAAGACTGAACACACATGCACCTCGTCACACACATCAACAAGATGTTGGACAAGCTTTCTACGAAATAAACCACGCACATTTTCTCACAAAGTTTAAAACAAATCAAACTCAGTTTGAAGAATCTTTACAGCATTTTCCTCCACTACTGTCAATTCCATTCATCCTACCTCATCCACAAAATACACCATCTATTCACTTTGCAGTGTATCCTGTGCAGTGATTTAAGACGTCTCAAAGACGTGATAAGGCGCTATATCAAATGCAAGGATTATTATTACCTGACACCTGTAACTCAAGCCATTGATCTCCTCCATGTGGAACTTGTATGGTTTCAGAGCACAGTCCAGATTCTCTATGAAAGCAAAATATTAAGCATTAAACCCAGAGCACATTGTATCATACACCGAGGCCCACTGAGGAAAGTGAGAGCATCATAATAACAGCTGCCAACAGCAACAGGAAAATATACAGTTCTGCCCCCAGGATTTACATACAATAATTATTAGTCAATTGGCGGATCACTTTTTCGGGGGTAATAATCCCTTCAAAAAAAAATACTATAAAATAATTTGGTCCCTCAATCCACGACTGTTTGTGGGACACTGCTGTGTGCAATTGGCTGCCACCTTTCGCCCACAAATATAGTGTCACTATGGTTCGCTGTGAAACGCTTTGAGACTCGAAGATGTGATAAGGCGTTATATCAAATGCACGTAGTATTATTGTTCTATTGCTGTGAGTATTTCAATGGTTCCATTGCTCCCAAGCGCTCTGGGGCGCTGCGTGAAGAGCGCTCTACAAATGTAAGTTGTTGTTGTTGTCGAGTACTGACCTCCAGTTAGCGCATTCTCCACTTCTTGCAGTAGTGGTAACTCTGTGTGTGACACAAAGGTCAGGGCTGTTCCCTGGCAGTCTGCACGGGCCGTCCTACAGGAACAAATCTGATCAGAAGCCAATAGCAACTTCTTTCCTGTGTGGCCTTGCTGGCACAAACGGCAGACACGTCTCTACAACACAGGAACAGGAGGAGGCCATTCAGCCCCTCGAGCCTGTTCCTCCACTCTATTAGATAAGGGCTAATCTATACTGAAAGCTCACCTGCCAACACGATGGATGTATGAGTCCACTGTGGTTGGGAAGTCAAAGTTAATAACATTGGATACGTTTTGGAAATCTATCCCCCTGGAGACACCATACTCCTTATCCTTCGCTCTGAAGCAAAAGAGCACAAACTCAGGTTAACACTGGCCTCAGGAAATACACTACCTTATAATAGTGATAACAACAATTCTTGCATTTGATATAGCGCCTTATCAGGTCATTGACATGTCTCAAAGCACTTCATAGAATATACTGCTAGGTAAACAGAGGTGTGTGGAGTAAGCAAACTTGCTCAATGTTTTGCTCTGCCCGGGAATCAAAGCCAGGTCCTCTCATTTGCGAGGCAAGTGCTCTAACCACTAAACTACAGGACTCCATCTTGGAAAATCAATCTTAAAGCTAATCTATCCCCAAAACACACTGCTGTGCCCAATCGGCTGCTGCGTTGCACCTACAAAATATGTAATCAATTAAGTTTACAGTAATTCTGTGTAGAGCTTTGAGACGTCTCGAAGACGTGATAAGGTGCCATATCAAATTATTATTATTGTTATACGGTGCGATTTAGCCAGGGTTAATTTACAGACTCGTACTTCTGGCCTTTGCTGGGATTTTTCTTGTTTGGTTTCTTCTTCTTCTCCTCGGACGCACCAGCTTCCAGCAGCATCTCTTCATCTGTGGCGATGATGTAGTCGTAGAAACCCTGGTTAAACTGACTGATCACGTGACACCTGGGAGAGACAATAAATCACAGGCCTCAACAACAACAACTTGCATTTACACAGCAACCCTCACGCAGGGCAGAGTCCCAGAGCGCTCGTCAGTGGCGAGCACGACTCTGAGGTGGGGAGAGGTGACCGTAGGCACAGTCAAAGAGGAAAGTCTTCATCTGCGACTAGAAGATGGGGAAGGAGGGAAGGGGCAAGGTGGAGGGATCGGCTCGGATAAAGAACCCAACAAACTCCTCCTTAACTATCATACTGTCTACAAATCACCTAACAGGGCGGCGGTCGCTAGGTTCAGTTGTTTTAGCTTCAAATGAGCACATTGGTGCATAAATTGAGTTTCAGTGAGTGAGCTTCACTTTACCTGGAGAGGACTGGCAGCTCGGAGTTCAACACACAGGACCGGATGCTGAACTGCTCGAGGAAGAGCTTGAGGCGGTAGCAGCGATCGATCGAGTTGACAAACAGGATGGTTTTTCCACGAACTAGAGATAGTTTGAACAGCGCGTAGATCAACAGGAACTTCTCATCCTCTTCACATTTGATCTGGTATTGGGTTAGCTGGGAACTGTCAGGGAGCTGTGACTCCTTCAGCTTCAGTATCACCTGCAGGGAGAGAACACCGTCCTTTTAAACAGTCCTGAGCAGAGTCCTGTGCTGTCATAGGCTCTTCACTTCTAAGCTGACGCTGCAATTCAGCACTGGGGGGGGGGTGTTGCATTGTCGGATATGTCGTCTTTCATATGAGATATTACATCAAACTCCTTCCTGCCTGTTCAGATGAACATTAAAAGATCTCACACAGCGCTATTCGAAAAGGGAAGGGAGTTTCTCTCTCTCTCTCTCCCAGTGTCCTGGCCGACAATCCCCCCAAATAAAATTGGTCACTCACTCCATGACGGTTTGTGGGAGGTTGCTGTGCGCATTGTGAGCTTGCCATTTCTTACCGGATTGTGAAGCACCAGCTCCTTCAACGCTTCAACATCCTCATTAAACGTAGCCGACATCAGGAATGACTGGTAGATCTTGGGGAGATATCTGCGAAGAGACAGAAAGCTGCAGTGAGAGATCACTCAGCTTCTAGTTCTCTCATTGAGGGTCTGAACTTGCTGTTACTTGGTAATGCTTTAACAAAATACCTCATTTAGAAGAGTCTCTGTCAAACTCCCTCCCAGTTAGACCAGTGAATAAATCCCACCTTTGGATGTTCAACTTTACCTCTTTATCCAGCACTTACCCCAACTCATACTCTATTGTCAGACACTCGGCTGACCAAATAAAATCCAACTGTTAGTTTACAATTCTCTGGCGTATTCAGTAAGCTGAGAACCACTGAGAGAATTGGGAAAGGTCTAAGAGAACATAATTTCCCCACCAAAGCAGCCACACTAATTTATTTTCATACAAATAGAATTTTTTCCAACAAGCAGCCCAGTCTGTTAAAAGTGAAGCTCTCACCCCAACAGCTGCTTCAAGTCGCTCTCAAAGCCAAAGGAGAAGAGCAGGTCAGCCTCATCGATCACCAGCATCGCAAGAGAACTCCGCAAGTCCAGGTTATTCAGCTGGAGGTGTGTTTGGATACGTGATGGCGTCCCCACAACAATGTCAGGCTTTTCCATCAACAGCGGCCTAAAGGAAGACAGTCAGCATTAAAACAACAACAAATGACACTTACACGGCATCTTTCACGTCCCAAGGCGCTGGACAGTCGGATTTGGACCCGGCTGGGGGTTGGGGTCGGGGGGGGGAGTGGAGGACAGGAAGAGTGGGGGTAGGAGTGTGAGTCAACGAAGAGGGTCTTGAAGGAGTGATGGAGGCGAAGGGTGTATGGGATGGAAGTTCCAGAGAGTGAAGTTTCAGGATTGAGAGCTGGAAGGCAAGGGTAGCTGGTTCGCGTGTGCGCGTCTCGTACTTTTGTGCAGAAACGTCCGCCTGTCCCGACACGTCAGCCACTCGAATGTCCCGCGCGCAGCACGAGGTCAGCTCTCGGATCATCTGCTGCACCTGCTGCCCCAGCTCCTTGGTGGGGACCAACACCAGAGCCCGAACTATCTGCTCGTTTACTGACTGAGGAGACACAAGATTAAGGTTTCAAAGCAGACAGACACGTAGATGAACGGGTACAAAAATGAATGGAATACCAGATTTGCCCCGACCCAATCTCACCTTTTTTGCGTTGAGTATGTGCTCGATGATGGGAACGGCGTACGCTGCTGTTTTTCCAGATCCCGTCCGTGCTCTGGCCAGTAAATCCTTCCCCTCCAGGGCTAATGGGATAGCTTTTTCTTGGATCAAAGTGGGCTGTGCCCAGCCCAGGTCAGCAATTGCCTGAGAAACGGAAGAACGCACATGTGTTTCAATTTCAGTGGATCAATTTCTATGGACTGCACAACATATAGTAATAACAATCCTTCCATTCGACGCAGTGCCTTAACACATCATCGATACGTGTCAAAACGTTTCACAGAATAGACTCTTTAAAAGTGTAGTGACCGCGTATTTTGTGGGCAAAACGCGGCAGCTAATTGCTCAAAGCAGTGTCCCACAAACGGACGTGGATTGAGCGACCGGATTGTTATTATTTGGGGGGCGCTCTAACCAGCGAGAAACAGGTCTCCACAAACACACACTGCACTCTCTACCCCCTTCACTGTCAGTCACCCCATCAATCAGCTGTGGCGCTTCCCCTCACCCCCCACACACTCTGCCGTCCCTTCCCTTTACCCCCCCACCCCCACACACACACCCACCCCACACCCCCCCACACACCCCCTCTCACACACACACCCCCACACCCCCCCCTCACACACAGACCCCCACACACCCCCCCACACACCCCCCTCACACACCCTCCCCACACACACACCCCCCCCACACACACCCCCCCACACCCCCCCACACCACCCCCCTCACACACACCCCCCACACACACCCTCCCCAACACACACCCCCACACACACACACACAACCCATTCAGTGTCACCCCTTCTCCTCCTCCCTCTCCCCTCAGCACAGACACACACACACACTGCCAGCCCTCCAACCCCTCTAGAGCCCCCCCCCCCCACACACACACTGCCAGCCCTCCAACCCCTCTAGAGCCCCCCCCCACACACACACACACAGACCCGCTCCCCCCCCTCCCCCCGGGGCCCCTCTGTGCTGCCTGAGCCCCAGTACCTGGAGGAGCCTCTCGTCCAGACCCATCTCGTGAAACTGCAGCTTCTCCTCCGCCATCTTCACTCCACGTGCGGCGGCCGCGACCTTCGCCCCTCTGCGCTGCCGCCGCCTGGCGGTGGGGAGTGGCAGCGCCCTCTCCTCCCACTGTCTCTGGACTGACTGTCAGTGACACAACATTGGGTGACTTTTTGTGATTTTTGGGTGCAAAGGTCTTCAGATTTCTGGCAAACCAACCCCCCGCCCCCAGAGCGTCACGCAGATACCACCAACAACAGCTTAATAATAAACACAGCGCCCCATCATGTCCTTGAGAGGTCTCCAGGGGCTCCGAGGAAGGTCTTCGGGTGTGATCCGAAGACGGCAAAGGGGAGAGGTTCAGACAGGGTGTCCGGGACCTCGAGGCGGAGGGGGTAAAAGCGCGGCCGCCGACGGTGGGATGTGCAGGAGGCCGGAGCCGGCTCGGCGCCAGGTGGAGTGGGGGGTTCTGCAGGAGCCAGATCTTCAGATCCATCCATTCGGCAATAAAATCCATTCTGCCGGTCAGTCACCCTGGCAAGGTGTGGGCCGATGGGGGCAGAGTTCAGCACAGGTGAGGATACAGGTGGCAGAGTAATAATAATAATAATAATCCTCGCATTTGATTATAGCGCTTTTCATGTCTTCTCGACGTCTCAAAGCACTTCACAGAATAGACTGTAAAGTGAATTGACCATATATTTGTGGGCGAAATGCAGCAGCCAATTGCGCACAGCAGTGTCCCACAGACAGATTGAAAATGACCAATTTATTGTCGTTTTGTTTTTGGAGGGATTATTATCAGGGGTGTGGAGTAAGGAAACTTGCCCAAGGTTTCACCCTGTCTGGAATTGAACCCAGGTGTCTCGCTATTGACGATTTAAATTAATTGCATTTTATGAATGTTGCAGCTGGGTAGACCAAGGAGAAGGGCATCGGGGAAAAACAAAGGTGGGAAACTGTCCGAACACATAATTTACTGTGCGATTTTATTGTTAATCACCCTGAATACATAATCAGCGTCACAAAATGGCTTTTGAGTGCAGAGAGATTGTAAAGTGTAGATGTCACCTGTCTGGTCAGACTGATGGCGTAGAACTTGAGCTTTAAATATTTGTGACTGCCAGGAACTCGAAGCAAATCAGCATGGACAGAGTGTAAGAGCTCCTCTTCCAAGTGGAACATATCCTGACAGTTTGTGCCTGAAAATACCCTGTTATAAACTTGGCTCATGTTGGGTATCAGTTAAACACCCACTGAACAGGATATGTGCAGAGTGGGTGTGAGGTCTGCATACAAAGTTTCTCCAACTGGAGACGGATTTACTTGTGTGTGTTCAGCAGCAGGTCACACTGTGCATTATGGAGCTTCCTGTGTTCAGCACAACTGTCTGTGTAGATCTGCACGTCATCAATTGCAATATCGCTTTGATAGCTCAAACCCAAAACTCCTTCAATGATCACCTGGAGAAAGATCAGCAGATAAGATAAGAGCAATGTAAGAGAGTTACAACCGTTCAGTTGATAAACAGTCAGGACAGTCAGGGATTTGGACCCGAGCAGAGGGTTGGAATCAGCAGGGACGAAGGGCAGAGGTGGGAGGGTGACCAAAGGTGCGGTCAATGAGGAGGATCTTGAGACGGGCCTTGAAGGAAGCAAGGGAGAGGACAAGGCGAAGGGACTGAGATGGCGTTCCAAAGAGTGGGGATAGAGAGGCTGAAGGCCCGACCACTGATCAAGTCTCAACACACTTCATACTTCCAGTTGATTGGGAGCCTAAGCTTTGGGGTGGGGGTGTGGGAGAGGGGGGTAAAAGCTGGTCGACAAGATAGGTCTTGAGGCAGGGAGGTGAAGAGACTAGGGGTTGGAGTTCCAGGTCAGTCCTAATGATATCTACCTGAAACGTCTCCTGATTTTCACGAATATCGATCTGGGCTCTGTGCCACTTTCTCCCTTGGTTTCCAGTAGTCGACCACAGCCTGAACCAGTCAGCAGCACTCTTATATTTACTGTACACATTTAGTGAGCCTGAAGGAAAGATTGGGATTAAAGGTGTTCTCTGAAGGTGGTTCTGTCGTCAATGTAGAAACATTAAATAGAATAATTATACGAAGCAACATCTGTAGAAAGATAAAAGCAGTCTCTCTCTCTCTCTCTCTCACACATTCACTCTAATCTCCATCTTTCACCCAATTACTAATTATACATCCGCCATCAACAGGAATTAATTAACCCCTTAGTTTCCAAAGGGTCAAATAACATCTTTATGAGATCTATAATAATAATAAATCTTGCATTTGATATAGGGCCTTATCACGTCTTCGAGACGTGTCAAAGCGCTCCACAGGAAATACTGTGGGCAAAATACGGCAGCCAATTGCGCACAGCAGTGTCCCACAAACAGTCTTTGATTAAGTGACCAATTTATTTTTGAAGGAATTATTCCTGCCCAGAAAAGCGATCCGCCAATCAACTAACAACTTAGTTCCTACTTACTGCGAGGTAAACAGAGGCGGTTGGAGTAAGGAAACTTGCCCAACGTTTCGCCCTCCCGGAAATCAAACCCAGGTCTCTCGCTTGCGAGGCGAGTGCTCTAACCAAGGAGCTACAGGAATCCCCAGCTCACAAAATGAAATGGGACATGACCTGTGCAAGCGACTGCCAGGATGGTGGAAGGTGAACTAGATGGACCTTGGTCTATAATCTAGCAATTCTTATGTAATATTCATTATAATTATGTTATCACGAGAGGTTATATGAAAACCAGATGACACAGACTCACCCATGTGTTTTCCATACATATTGTACCAGAACAACAGACAGGCCGGACCTCTGATTACAGGGCTAATGAGCGCTGCTCGATCCCCACTCTGTTGGGGATATGAAGCTTCTATGTACAAATAACGACCTACAACAAAACAAAAATACACATTCAGTCAACACAACATGTGGAGTTCTGTAGCGTAGTGGTTAGCACCCTCGCCACTCAATTGGAGGCTGTTTTTTTCCCCACAGCACATAAAATAACTGCTGAAATCATGAGCAATGTCAGGCACTTTCTTGCCTCTGTGACCCAGTGTAAAAGTAGTGGAATGTTTCCTCACCTCCCTTGCGTTTGCATTGCCCTTTTGTGTGGTCTCCATTGGGGCCCGTTTCCCATGAAGACGTGTGATAACGACACCGGGTCCAGTCAAAGTCATCTCTGGTGCTTTGCTCCCAATCACAGAAGCCGTGTTCAAAATCACAAAGGAGTTCCCGGGGGGAATCGGGCTGCATCGCCCGACCAGGCGAGGTCACAGCTACACCATGCAATGGGCCGGGATCCAAGCATTTATACAGCTTCCTCCAGTGCACTGACCACATCAGTGACAGAGTGGCTGTATCACTGCTCGCAGACAGAGGGGGAGAATAGGTCAGTAACAGAGTCTCGGCAATGGAGGGTTTAGCCAGTGGGAGCCTGGTTTCTAGCAGAGTCTCTGCAATAGATGATCGAGTTGGTGGACGGCTGGTCAGTGCCAGGAGCTGTGTGATGGAAGGCTGGGCTGGTGGGAGGGCAGTCACTATGAGGCTCTCAGCAATGGAATGGTCAATGTGTGAGAGGCTGGGCAGTGCCAGGGTGTGTGCAGTAGAAGATGCAGTTGGTGGGAGGTCAGTTGGCATCAGCACGTCAGCAGTGGAAGGTCCATTTGACATGAGATTGGTTGGCACCAGATTCTCAACAATGGACGGTTCAGATGGCGGTTGGCTGTTCTCTACCAGGGTGTCTGCAGGAGATGGCACAGCTGGTGAGATGTCAATTGGCAGCAGCACATCTACAGAGGAAGGTCCATCTGACACGAGACTGGTGGGCACCGGGGTCTCTGTAGTAGAAGTTTCAGCTGGTGGGAGGCTGGTCTCTATCTGGACGTCTGCAATGGAAGCTTCAGCGTGTGGCAGATATGTGGGCACTAAGATCTTCGCAATAGGAGACACATCTGGTGAGAGGCTAGTTGGCACTGGGGTCTCTGTGACGGAAGACTCAACGGGGTGGAAGCTATTGGCTCCCATGGTCCTGGTGATTGATGACTGTAACAGTGAGAGGCTGGTCAGTGCCAAGGGGCTCTGTGAGGGACGGCTTGGCTGGTGGAAGGCTGGTCACTGTAGGGCTCTCTGCAATGCATGCCTCCGATGGTGGGAGGCAGGTTGGCACGAGACTGGTTGGCACCAGGGACTGTGTAGTGGAAGTCCCAGTTAGTGCGAGGCTGGTTGGTATCAGAGTCTCTGTAATGAAATGCCCGGCTGGTGATAACCAGGATACCAGGATCTCTGGACGATTTGGCAAAACCGGTGCCACTTGGTTCTCAACTGATCTCGGACTCTGCAGAGACAACACTAAACTGAACCAACTGTTCAGATTGTGGGTTTGGAACAACGCAGCCTGGGACACAGCAGCTCGTGACTCTATCTGGGCAGCAGACGTAACATCATGGAGACTCGGAGTGTTGTAAACCTGGGCAGGACCAGATACACTCGATAAGTTACTCTGTGGATGTGCAGTTGTGAGCGGAGGAGACATGGATGGCACTTCAGTATGGGTGGAGGGAAGCAAGGCTGATGTTTCTGAATGAGCAGGTCTAAAGGTCTGTGATGGTAGGTTTCTCAGCTCAGGCTGACTGGCTGAAGGCACGGTGTCCGTGCTTGTAATCATTCCGCTGCTGGGATGGCTGAAGGAACAGTTGGCATCAATTCACTCTGGGCATATTCAGAAGTTTGTGAATGTATCAGCAGTGGCTGAGTGTTTGTGTGCTGTGTTGGGGTGGGAGGAGACAGAGTTAACATCCTCGTCTGGTTGTCATCTCTGAGGATTGGTGTGGCTGATACTCCACCCAATGCCTGGAGATGCGTGGCTGGCTGTTTGCTGTGGCTAAGGCTAACAGATTGATGATTCTTTGCAGTTAAGACAGTAGGTGACTCGATCGTGGTAGAGGGAGAGGAGGTTGGCACTTCAGCCTGGCTGTGTGTGAGGATGCGAAGATGCCCAGGTAGAACTTCAGCCCAGCTGGTAGCTTTGTGACTTTGTGAGGGCATCACTAGTGCCTCTGTCACCAGCTCTCTCACCAGTACCTTGGAGCAAGTTGTAGGTCTCTTACTCTCTGGCATTAGTGCCTTTTTCTGCCCCAGAGATAGAGCTGTCGTCTGTGTAAGTGATTGTTGGGTCACCAGGTCTGTTGTGAGTCTCTTCATCACAGCCACAGAAGCAAGTTCTGATTGTACTAACGGGACCTGTGTTGGAATCAACAGAGGATCAGGAAATCTCATTGGAACGAGGGTCCCAAGTTGCAGGTCGGATTGGTGGCCAGAAACCTCAAGTGTGGGCTGCATGAATAAAGACACAGAGGAGGTGTTGTCTGAGGCAGGGCTGCTCAGGTTTTCCCAGGTCACTGAGGTCTCAGCTACTGTGGAGATAGTAGCACCAAAACTTTCAGGAGCTCCAGTGGTAATTTGACTTTGCTGATGAACTGAAGGGGTAACTAGATCTGCTGACGTCTGGTTTGTTGGGGTCTGGATAGTAGAGTGCGTTTTCACCATTTCACCAGTCTCTTTGCTTTGTTCATTTTCAAGCTGAGAACTGTCATCATTCAGGAACAGATCATCTACTGGGTTTTGGGAAGGGAGGAGGAGAGAAGAACAAAAACGTTGACTGTTTCAATAAAAGGCAAAAGATTGCAGGTACCATAACAGCAACAACTTGCATTTATATAGTGCCCTTCACACAGGGTAGCGTCCCAGAGCTCGTAACAGTGGTGGAGTCTGACAACAAGCCATGGGGGAGAGGGAGGTGGCTGTAAGCACGATAAAAAAGGAAGGTCTTTAGGCGAGATTTAAAAGTGGGGAGAGAGGGGGCAAGGCGGAGGGATTAAGGAGAGAGTTCTGTGCTTACGGTCACTTCCTCCCTCCCTCTCCCGGGCTCAGCGTCGTACTCCGTCACTGTCAAGCGCTCTGAGACTCTGCCCCACGTGAAGGTCGCTGTCTAAACAGACGCAAGTCGTTGTGGTTATAACATCACGTCTGAACTTATTGAACAGAACTGAAATTCGCACACAAACCCCTCCGCTGTGCGAAAGCGGGAGTTAGTGGAGTTTGTCAATCTAATGGGTTCCCCACATTGGCAATGACCTGCTGTGCAGTTGTAAAGCCTGTTGACCTTCAGCAGGTCCATCTCACTCAGTCGGATCCGTTGCCCTATTATGGCGTGCGTGTCCAGCAGTGGCTTCAGGGTGGGGTGCCCGTTCTTGGAGAATGCAGATCTAAGATGGAAACATAATTATTACTCATTGGGATTAAAACGAGCTGCTCCCGGCAACAGAATTAATCACAATTATCAACAGAATTCGTTAAGAATGATTAGAGCCGCACATGTCAAGCGACTGCCAGGCTGGTGGAAGGCGAACTAGATGGACCTTGATCTTCTTTCATCAACAAATTCTTGTGTCCTTACCTGCTGTAGTGCAAGATGGAGCCATAATCATATTTCGACTTCAGATTATTGGTGGGTTTCTTCAAGAAGTTGTGTTCATAACCTGAAGTGAAAGGCACGGTCAACGGCAACACTTATTGAGTTGAATAGACCAGAAACATCTTTCAGAAATAAATCAAAAAAAATGTGGTCGCTCTATGAATTGACTATATTTCGCAGGCGAAACACGACAGCCAATTGCCCACAGCAGTTGTCCCACAAACAGTCGGGGTTTGAGTGACCACATTTTTTTAAAGAAGAATTAAAATGAGGATGGATTTACAGGCTGGGTACAGGCAGAACGTGAAAGGATGAAAGTGAAAACAAGGATTTTACCGGGCCAGACATTTTTCCACTCGATCTTGATGAACTTGTCCCGGTCACTCCTTGTGTGCTCGTGCCAGAAACCAAGCGAGTGCATCAGTTCGTGTTCAACAACCCCTTTCCCCTTCTTCAGACACTGACGTTTCAGTGACAGGAGCTGCATCCCGCCAACTCGGCCCACAGATGAGTAACACCTGAGAGTTAGACGCGGAGAGTTGAAGTTGAAGCAAAGACATTGTTTAGAGCTAAAGAGAGGGAGGGAGCTTTGTGGATAACAACAACAAATTACGTGTAACTTGCTGTTGAGCCTTTAGATCGCTTCAGAAGACCAGGATATCAGCTCGTTCCTAAATACACGCTGATAAATCTCTACCCTCTGCCTTTAAAAACACATTCGCTCTCCCAGGCCACTTTTGTAGGTATGTCCTTGTGTCCAGCTTCAAAAGGGTCCGTACACCTTAGCCAGGACCCATTGAGAATTGTTAGGAGAGGGTTAGGTGCATTGACTGAATCCAATCAGCTTAGCCCCGTCAGGTCTATACGTACCCTTGCAGTGGCTGAATGGAGATGAAGTCCTCCTCGTCGCTGCGAGGCACAAACCGAACACACGTGAATTTCTCAAAGTCCCCGAAGCCCTGGCTGATGGAGCTCCGAGTCTCCTCATCTGCAGGAAAAGGATAACGATAATCCTGGCATCTGATGCAGTGCCTCATCACGTGGTTGAGGCGTCTCAAAGCGCTTCACAGAATATACTGTGAAGTGTATAAAATAAATTGTATTTTGTGGGCGAAACGCAGCAGCCAATTGCGCACAGCGGTGTCCCACAGCCTGTAATAATAACATCTACCATCGCAAACTTTTATCCTGGTGCGGCTGGCTTCCCCCGACAGTTACTTACCGTACTGCTGGGAGATTTCATAGGGGATTTTCACTGTTCCATCTGCTGACTTCTCCCACGTCCTGGGCTCAGAGAGTATTGTATTCCTTTGCAACTAGAGACAGGCAACATTAAGGTGCAATCACACAAGGCTACAGGAAACCTAACCCACCTCACATTCCACTCGTAGCTTTAAAATGATCCACGACTTAGACCAAATTGAACTACTGCTTGCCAAAATCAGTCACAGTCAAAATAAAATAAATAATAACAATTTGATCCGCCAATCGACTAACAACCGGGTTCCTACTTACTGCTAGGTAAACAGAGGCGTGTGGAATAAGGAAAAGTTTTGCACTGCCCGGGAATTGAATCCTCTCGCTTGTGAGGCGAGTGCTCTAACTAATACACGACAGGATTCCAATAACACTTTGAAATTGATGATATTTTGATCCAGAAAATAAGAAATTTTAAAAAGCAGAAATTACGGGTTTGACGATGTCGCCTTCGATCAGGAACCCTCGCCAAGGCTTTTCATGTCGAAAAATACCTGTGAGGAGAACAGCCAAGTGACAGACATTGAATAGTGAAGGAAAACAAGAGGACAGACCCTGTGTCTCAGTGTCTGAACACACACACACACACACACACACACGCGTACAGAAATGCACAAAGACATCCTGGTTAATGGGGACAAGCAGTTAACCTAGAATTGGTGCAAAACATGAACAGAATTTTTCCAACGGTCTTGAATAACTTTTTTTTAGGTCGGGTCCACTGTTGGATAATTTGGACTAAATTCCTCCTTCCCTGACTCCCTGCTTCTCTGACTCGCTCCTTCCCTTGATTCCCTCCTCTCTCTCCCTCCCTCATCCAGGCACATTTGCAATAAGACTCCCTGATAATAATTGCTGGTAAGTTTGTCAAGTGGCCAATCTCAGTGGCTGCCGGGCGCCTTTTCTTGCTGTTTGTTCAGCATTTTGGGGACGAGCAAAAACAATTGAAATGGAAGACAAAATAACAAGGGTCTTACGTTGGCTAAGTCTGACGATCACTTCCTCTGCCGTCAGCGTCTTGTTGGCTCGCAAGGCGTCCAAACCAAGGCTGCTTGTCCTGATCTTAGCCTCGCTGTGTCCTCCTGCTGAGACACATCGACCCAACCAGTCAGTCAGCGGAGAGCAAAAGTAATAATCAGCTTCAAAGAACACGACTCCCATGAAGGAAAAAAAAATAGTTACTACCTCTCTGTACAAGAGTCAAGGTGAGAAGCAACAATCGCAAGACTTCACGGCTGGAGCTCATTGTAGGGGGAAGAGCTCTCAGCAATTGCTCTGTGAACATCAGTGGGTTTGAGAGAGGGAGAGAGAAAGTTACCAACACAGAGAACTAAGCTGATCTGTGCCGCTACCTCTGGGAGTTTGGGTCAGCCCCTCGGAACAGGGCGATTAGCAATCTGATCGATTGAAGCTGTTTTCACCTGGTTCCCACCGACTGAGAGAAGGACCTGCTTCTGTGTTTAACCCTTTCAGGACTCCAGCACAATGAGCACAATCTTCACAGCTCCATCGATCCACAGTGAACAGGCAACTCCTGTCATACTTTGACATGAACCGAAATGAATCTTATTTTATACGGTCTTTTATCTACTTCTGTTTGACCTTGGATATAAGCGTCTCATAGGGGTTGTGATATGGCAGGATAGGAGATGTTGATTGGGATAGATAGTAATTATAATAATAATCCTTGCATTTGATAATAGCGCCTTATCACGTCTTCTAGACATCTCAAAGCGCTTCACAGATTATATTATAAAGTGTATAACTGTGTATAACAAGTGTAAGACTGTGTATTTTATTGCCCAGGAAAAGCGATCCGCCAATCCACTAACAACCGGGTTCTTACTGCTCGGTAAATAGAGGTGTGGGGAGTAAGGAAACACGCCCAATGTTTCTCCCTGTTGGGAATCAAACCCGGGTCCTCTCGTTTGCAAAGAGTGGTCTAACCACTACACTACAGGACTCCATTGGATCAGGGTCACAGTTCAGGTAGAGCAATGTAAAGCCAGACAGCAGCACTGAGTTCCAGACTGAGTGTATGTGAGACCTGTTGAGGCAGAAATCTGTAATCTGCGATACATGCTGATTTACACATTTTTTCCGTTGGGGAACGATTGTGTTGAACGAGGTGCAGACAAAAGCATTTCAAATCAGGAAACCTGTTGTTATCCCTTTGGGCCAAAAACAATCCATCACAGAAGCCACAAACCTTTCATAGCTGCACAGAATTAAACTATTCTAGATAAATAGAGGCGTGTGGAATAAGGAAACTTGCCTAAGGTTCCAACCTGCCCGGGAATCGAACCCACATCGCTTGTGAGGCGAACCCTCTGACCGCTATGTTAAGGATCTCCGGGTAATGTGAACCATCATAACTCAGATGCGTTTGTAATCTGTATGAACGTTAACTTTTAATATTCCAAGAATTTTTTTTATTGAACAATGTAATAACTTTACGTTCCAATGATACAATGAATTGCCGTAGCCGGCACAGTTGTAGACATCTGGCTGACAGCCGAGCTGGACTTTTGAGGTCTGTCTCGAACCAACAGCTGCTGCTCACATCCATGTCTTTCCAACTCACTCCAAACCCTTTACATTTATATCAAAGCTCGTTTACACTGTGTGTCATTTACAACAACATCCAAACTGGGCAAAGGCTGAGGAAACCATGGGAACAGAGAAAGAGAGAGAGAAAAAGAGAGGTGCAATCAGGCAGACAAGAGAACGTACAGCTATCTCAGACTTGCGCTATCAACTGCAAATGTTTCCTCAACTTGGCAATGAGGAAGCCATTTTATTTTTGTTTTGCAATCTTCAGAAGGACGGTCTGTGACAGAAGTTAAACAGACCTCGCCATCACAAGAAAGTTGTATGTGTGTGTGTGTGGGGGGGGGGGGGGGGAGAAAAAGAGAGGAAAATGTTCTACAAGGTTTTTATTTCTTGCTCCCACTCAGTGCAAAGATGATAAATCCCCCCAAAATAGCCACAGCTAATCAGCAGTTTGGCACCTTACAGCACAGCACACAATCCTTTTCAGGAAGGAAGGCAGAAAGTGGCTGTGTCAAGTGCCGGATAAATTAATCTCTTATTTCAACAAGAAATTTGGGATGAAGATTTTCCCCGTCTCTTCACTCCTTTTTCAGGAGAATATTCCCAAGGATTTGTCCCTTTTGGTTGGTTTGGGTTAATTTCGTTACAGCTTTCTTAGACTTATAATAATAATCCTCACATTTGATATAGGCCTTATCATGTCATTTAAACATCTCAAAAGCGCTTCACAGAATCTACCGTAAAGTGGAATGACTGGATTTTGTGGACGAAATGCAGCAGCCAATTGCACACAGCAGTGTCCCACAGTCGTGGATTGAAGTGACCAAATTATTATTGTTTATTTTTGAATGATTTATTACCTCCGGAAAAGCGATCCACCCATCAACTAACAACCAGGTTCCGGCTTACTGCTGGTAAACAGAGGCGTGTGTGTGGAGTAAGGAAACTTGCCTAAGGTTTCGCTTTGCTCGGGAATCAAACCCAGGTCCTCTCACTTGCGAGGCGAATGCTCTAACCACTACAGGAATCCAACAATTGTGGAGAAATTAACTTGAATCAAAAGTAGAGGTACTCCCTGTTTAATCATAAAAGAACCTTTGATTGTTCCAATTCAATTTAAAAACAACCCGAACACATGCCAGTAATATTGCAAACTTCACCCATTTTAAAACCTACAAACCCATTTATAACATAATGCACATTATGAACTTTTTTTGGGACAAGTCAAATTATTAAGGGTTTAATAATAATAATCCTTGTATTTGATATAGCGCCTGATCACATCTTCGAGGCGTCTCAAAGCGCTTCATAGGATACACTCTAAAGTGAATTGACTATATTTTGTGGACTTAAAACGCGGGAGCTAATTGCGCACAGCAGTGTCCCACTAACAGTCGTGGATTGAGAGACCAAATTATTATTATTTTTTTGAAGGGATTATTACCCCCTGTGTAATTTGTGGGGAGAAAAAATTTACAGCTGAAAGGGTGCAAACAAAAGCTGAGTGCCATCGTTTTAAAAGGACGGTGAAAATCACAGCTTTTGTCTTTGAACTGTTAACAACAGTGTAACTATTTACTCACATCTCCCAGCAAGTGAGAAAGGTTTTCTGGACTGACCCATGTTCATACGCCACAATATATTCTTCCCTGCTTGACCATTACAAGACAAATTAACAAACCTCCTCCCTTCACTTTACTAAAGAATTCTCAGTTCCCAGTTGTAATGTGGTCACAGTATAATACAAAGGCCAGTGATTGAGATTGTGGTTTGTGTTGATATTCTCTTACAGCAGCCACAGGGATTTATACCAGTTTCTTCGCCTCAAAGAAACTCTTTAGATGTTTCATTTGCCAGATTCCCGTCAAGATGAGGATAATGGTCTGTGCGATCGACCACCAAAGCACTCGCTGGTTGGTGCTCTCACTGGTCAAGCGGAAACGTTCCTCTCTGTACTGTGTGAGGAGAAAATAACATCCAATCAATCGGGTGTCTGACCCTTCACCGTGTTTAAAAAGGATCCAAACCAACAAGAAGTTGATAATAACAATAATCCTCGCATTTGATACAGCGCCTTATCTCGTCTTTGAAACGTCTCAAAGCGCTTCACAGGATACACTGTAACGTGGATTGACTGCCACCTAATTCTGGAGAGCATTAGGCACAGGTTGGCAATAGCAGAGCCCTTGACATGGTTTACTGTGAAATGATTGTGTACTTTAGAAGTTAATGCGACAGCTAATTTGCACAGCAATCTCCCACAAAGAGCCCGGAGAGGAGGCTGCGTAGAGCAGGGTTTTATGCGGAGACATTCTGTCTGTGTGGTGGCAGCTTTGTGGCTGACAATGCCCCTCCCTCCCTCCCTCCCTCACTCACCCGCTGGTAGTTCTGTTCTTTCTGAATCTGTTCCACCTGATCCAGGAGCTGCCGGACACGGAGCTGCAGCTCAGTCAGCTTGTCCTTGGCTGCGATTTCAGGATAGTTGTTGGCGTGTTCCCCCACCTGGATATCGAGATGCACTCGCTAAGCCAGAGAGAGAGAGAAAGAGAGATCATCACTAACAGTATAACACAGCACGGCTCAATCACTCCTTCATCCCCCTATAACCATGTGGAGTGCTGTAGCTCAGTGGTTAGAGCCCTCGCCTCGCAAGTGAGAGGACCCGGGTTCGATTCCCGGGCAGGGAAAAACCTTACTAAGGCAAACCTGGCAATGAGGATCTCCATACCCTGGGACAGTCCGCGCTGCCCACCTCCAGCTTCAAGAGCAAAGCAGCTCTAATTGTACCCAATGCCCACAGCTTACCAGTTTACCACCTGCAAAGAGGGACATCTTTGTGGAGTTGGAGTGCAGGCAGATCTGGTGTTCACCTGGCGTGTGCGACGTGAAGGTAAATCGGCCCTCAGACCCATATTGTCGAGATAAAATAATCTGTAAAATAACACAGCATTGAAAACATTACTATGTCGTTCATTGTCCATATGTTGCTTCTTCAGAAGTTACCACCTGTGCAAAAAGACCCACAACAACTTGTGTTTAGTTAGTGAACCTCACACAGGAGAACGTCTCACACTGCGCTGTACAGTGACTGAGCGAGAGAGCGAGAGAAGGGGTAGGACTGAGCTCAAGTTTCAGCCCATTTAACCGTAGAAATCTTCTCACTGGCTAGAGTTATCAGATCATATGTTATATTACACATCACATATATCCCACCCTTGGGAACTCCATCCTACAGTCCCTTTGCCTCATCCCCTCCCTCCCGTGTGCAAATGTCACTTGTTGTTGTTTATAGTGGAGGACTGTCACTGACACCAACTCAGAAAATATTTCGACTTCTGTTTGTCACATGACGACATGAGCAACTCCAGAAAGATTCAACACCATTTGATCAAAATCGTTTCTGAACATCTATCGAACCGGTTTCCGTCTAAAATACAATTCCAGGGCAAGTCTACCTGCGTTCTGTTACGGCTATTTCACACGCGTTTCTGCGGCAGATGTGCACAGTGGATGGTTCCCTACCTTTGTGTCAGGGTCTCGGACTTCCACGTGCATCCCTAGCCCAGGCGTGGAGGGGAGAAAAGCCTCTACCTTTTTATCCCATAGCTGAGTCCTGTAATTACCTGAAACAGAAAGGAAATACTGTACTGTACGCTCACTCACTGCGAATCAAACCAGAGAGATGGCGGCAAAGGAACATAGCCGACAGACACAAAGACAGGTCCAATCAGTACACAGCTAAGAGCAGATAAGGGGGTAATGTCAAACATTGCTCTCTGACCTGCACTTCAACAGCATTGAACACACACACCGACCGACCGACCGACCGCGAGGGACATTGCCCCACAGCCCGCACCAAGGTGGACACACACTGGGCAGAAGGTCCACAGAGAGAGAGAGGCATTGGGGTCACATTGGCCACACAGAGAGAGAGAGAGAGAGAGAGGCATTGGGGTCACAGAGACATTGGGGGGTTTGAGGCCCGGGATTGGCCGCGGTGACGGGAGAAGCGGCTGTGATTGGTCACTAAAGCTGATTCTTCACTCGCTGATTGGCTGCGATGATTTGACCCGAGGAGGGCGGCGGCCAATCACAGGGCCGCCCTCAGCCCCAGGGCCTGAGACCCCCCTCACCCTCACTCCCCCCTCACCCTCACCCCCCACTCACTCCCCCCTCACCCCCCTCACTCCCCCCTCACCCTCCACTCACTCCCCCCTCACCCCCCACTCACCCTCCCTCTCCCCCCCCCCCCCCCCCCCCCCCCCCCCCCCACTCCTCCCCCCCTCACACTCCCCCTCACCCCCCACTCCCCCTCCCTCCCCTCCCCCCTCACCGATCACCATGGTCTCGTCAGGAATCTCTTCTATGAAGCACTTTTTCTCGGTCTCCCCGATGTGGAAGTACAGCGCCCGCGAGCAGCCGAACTGCAGCAGCAGCCACAGCGCGAGCGGCCCCGCGCTCAGCCCCATCGCCACCGCCACCGCACGGCACCAGTGCGCATGCGTCCTTGTCCATCCGCCCGCCTGACAGCGCGCAGTGCGCATGCGGGCCCCGGCCTCATTGCAGTCGCACTGCGCATGTCTGAGACCGTTCTCCCGGCTCTGTGATCAGTGGTGGAGCAGCTGCGCCCCCCACTGGCGCTCTGTGCACACGGCAGCGCCTCTCTCACTGCTGCTCTAATAATAATAATAATAATAATAATCCCCACAAAACACAGGCAATTCACTTTAGACGTCACAGTCGAAGCGCCGCGAGGCTCTGTACCAAATGCAAAGGATTATTATTATTATTATTTTATTGTAGTGAGTCTGTCATTCAAAATGCCTCATAAGCGCTTCACGGGATTTACTGCGAAGTGCAGTGACTGTGTGTAAGTCAACACAGCAGCGAATGTCGGCACCGGTTGAGGCACAGACAGTCAGAGCACAGTCTGAAAGTGAAGCGTATTTGAAAATGTTTTTCTTTCAGAGTGAAATAAAATGAGAAAAGGCTTTATTTTCTTTTTTATACAGCAAATAGTAATGACAGAAATTCCAGTACACACACACGTAGCAAAGTACAGATACATTATTCAGGACATCAAACTGTTACCAATCTCCAAACCACTGTCTTGCACGGCGATGCCAAGCTCCGGCTAACATCTGTGTAATATCTGAAGTATTGCTTCATTATCTCACTGGTAGATAGTGTCAGTCCATCATTCAGGCGAAGAGGCTGAGAATCTTAGCAAATCACTTGGAAACTTGCTTTTCTGTGTAGATAAATTAGTACTTGAACTGGTGCAGGGTGTCGCTGGCAGTGTAGTAACCACAACACAAGATGGTTGACACCTGGAGTTCTTGTTAAAATGAACCACAAAGGGAGCACTCAATTTTCCTTTCACTGATATGGCAACAGATGCCAGGGAACATGAGACGTTAGTGGGCTGATAAACTTTCCTACTGGATGGACGTCAATTCTGAGCTGAACTCAAAGTGGATAAGGCCACTTGGTATGTGTAAATGACGGGGTGGGAGAATTTCCTCTGGCTGTTAAGTTTGGTGAAGTCTGTTTATTAAATGGCAAAATATGTCACGAGACCATGTCAGCGAGGCCACTACACAAGAGGAAAGAAGGAATTTTGAAAGCTTTCTGTAGTAAAATCACAAATCAGGGCTTTATACTATCATTATTTTGAATGAAAGTGTGGTGGAACCAGGTTTCATTGACTGATGGTTGGCAGTTTCACAAGATTCACAGGTTGTAGGTTCAGTATCAGGATGATTGTGTGAATGGTGATTGCCTTGTTGGGGAGATTGTAAGTATTGCTGGTGAAATGGGGCCGGGCAGTGTCCATTGTGGGATTCACAAGGGAAGTCGGCAGGTATTTGAGCGTCAGAGGCTTGAGACAGGATGGGGGAAGGGCAGGGCAAGTGTGACTGAACTTATAGTTTGCTCTGAGAGCTGATGAGGACTTGATGGGCTGAATTCCCACCATTCTATGGCCTCAGTGACAGGTGGAGTTGAGTGAAATGTTTCCAGGAATATTGGTTCTTCTATTCATCGTCTTCTAAAACAGCTTAATCTGACTGGTCACCTCCAGACACAGAGAGGACTTTAGATATTTCGAGGCCATTTAGGAGCAAAATCAAGAGGCAGTTTTTCACCCAAAGCGTAGTGTAAATCTGGAACTCCCTCCCCAAAAAGGCTGTGGATTATGGTTGGATCCATTCACATTGTCCAGACTGAGGTGGAGAGATGTTTGTTAGATCAGGGTATCAACAACAACAAGATTACATCTGTATAGCAGCTTTCACATCGGTAGGATGTCCCAAGGTGCTGGACAGTGTACAGCATTTCAAACCCGAGCTGGGGTCAAGGGATATGGGGCAAAGGCAGGTAATTGGAGTTGAGGTACCATTCAGTTATGATCTAATAAAATGGCGGATAATAATAATAATAATAATCCTTGCATTTGATATAGTGCTTGTCACGTCGGGAGGACGTCCCAAAGCGCTTCACAGAACACACTGTAAAGTGAATTGACTGTGGATCAGGCTCAAGGGGCTGAATGGCTTCCTCCTGTTCCTATATATGTAAATGAGGAACAGATATATCCTAAGAAATTCAGTCGTGGACATTGCACGTCATAGTAACCTGTTTAAAATACTGCAATCCTGACTGAATTGGGTGATCATCATAAGCTTAAGATACTGTTAGTGGCTAAATATTGGATTGAAATTAATTAGTTTAAAATCATATTAACTTTCACCGTTTCTATGAGACTCTGATTTCCATTGAGGGACTGACTGCACAGTGCAGGTCAATGCTCAGCCACTGACTGTCGTGTAACAATCTCAGACTCAGGGACGGTTTCTGTGGCTGACGTTTCCATCAGAGGCGGAAACGCTTCCTTTCTCAGGACATACCCTCCCAAATCTGTGTGAAGAGACAGACAGAGCTGTAAAGCCAGGGGATGTTTCCCCCAAAAAACAAAAGTGATGTCAGTCTGTGGAGAGGCTCCTTCGCTTCTACTTCTGCTGCTGCTCCATGTCCACGCGGGTTACCAAACCATGATGTGAACTCTGCATGACAACAACACCAACACATTACATATACACAGCGCCCCTCACGTCGGGAGGACGTCCCAAAACACTGAACAGTCAGGGATTTGGACCTGAGCTGGGGGTTGGGATCACGAGGTGTGGAGGGCATGGCTAGGAGGGTGATCGAAGAGGAAGGTCTTGAGACATGCCTTGAAGGAGGCGAGGGAGGGCAGGGGCGAGATGGAGAGACTGTGGGATGGAATTCTAAACGGAAAAGGAACACATTTTAGTGAAATTTGGAGACACTTCAAAATACTACGTAACTGTCAACAAGAGATGAGGCTGACATTGTCCTGGGGGACATTGACACTGACCTGATGGGTCCCGTTGGTGGTGGCGGTATGGTTGATGTGATTAGCCAGGAGGGATTCCATGTCACTGATATCCATGGGCGTGTGTTCAACCGTCGATTCATGTGGCATCTATAAAGGAAAAGAAAGTCCTGTCAGCATTGCTGCACTGATAGTGATACCTTCTGCCCTTCCAGAGAGCGAGAATCAGATACCAGACTGCAACTCAAAGCCATTTGACACCAAGTCAGAATATAGTCTTTTAACCTTGTCCAGAAGGCCTTGTCCACCTTTGAGGCCACATTTGGAAATACACGACTTGGGGTTACTAAATAATAATATCCTTTGTGTTTGAAACAGGGCCTTAGCACGTCAAAACATCTCAAAGGGATTCAGAGTTTTCGGTAAAGTGTAGTGACTGTGTATTCGTGGAGGATATAGGGAAGAGAAGTAGACTGAGATGGACAAATGCTGTATATTTTGGTGGGGGGTGGGGGGGGAAGCAGCAGCCAATTGCGCACAGCAGTGTCCTACAAACAGTCATTGGTTGAGTGACCAAATTAACCTTACTGGGGAGATTGTTAGTGACTGGGGATATTTTCACAGAGAGGATATAGAGCTCACGGACGTCCTCACGTACCAGTACGGATGGGGCACGGAACAGGTAGCTGAACGGGTAATAGAGGAGATTCATACAGGAAGCTGCGTACAGGTCAGCGTAGCGCATGAGTTGGCTGGCAAACAAGGTCTGTCTGGAGCCACAGCGTAACAGGCTTCCCATCTTCCCGTAGCACATGTCCATCTCGTGGGTCACTTTCTGCAAGTGAAGGGATAATAATAATAATCCTTACATTTGATATAGCGTCTTATCCTATCGTCAAGATGTCTCAAAGTGCTTCACAAGGTATACTGTAAAGGGTAGTGACTGTGTACTTTGTGGCCGAAATGCGACAGCCAATTGCGCACAGCAGCGTCCCCACAAACAGCCATGAAGTCAATGATTGATTTTATTTGGGGGATTGTTGGTCAGGACACCAGGAGAGGGAGAAACTCCCTTCTTTTTCAAATAGTGCCACGGTATCTTTATCGTTCACCTGAACAGGCAGATCGTGAGCTCGGTTTAACTTCTCATCCAAAGGACGGATAACTTTAAAGTCCCACTGTGGGGCTTTGAACCCACAGTCTTCTGACCCAGAAATGGAAGCTTTACCAACTGAGCCAAGCTGACACCACTAACATTTACAGTTAAAACACCAGGTGTTTTGCCTGTGACAGGTGTGTACATTGTACAGGATGTCTCACCTTTATTTGTCTCCGGATGGAGCTGATATCAGGACGCTCATTGCTGCCGCTGTCCAGATGTCTGAAATAAGTCACAAAGTTCACAATCAGCTGGGAGAAGTACAGGGTTAACTTTAATAATAATAATAATAATCCTGGCATTTGATCATGTCTTCAAGATGTCTCAAAGAGCTTCACAGGATACACTGTAAAGTGAATTGACTGTGTATTTTGTGGACGAAACGGGGCCCCCAGTTGCGCACAGCAGCGTCTCACAAACATTTGTGGATTGAGTGACCAAATTATTATTTATTTATCGGAGGGATTATTATCTCCGGAAAGTGATCCGCCAATTGACTAACAAGCGGATTCCTACTCACTCAGTTAACACCCTCAGTTCCCGCTCTCTCAGGGCAGGGAAGTCACTGGTGTGAAACCTTTGGGGTTTTTGTAATTTTGCAAAGGTTTGTACCCAAAGCTGCACTCATCGCCCTCTCACTCTCTGACTTACTTGTATAGTTCAGCCAGAAATATGTCAAGGTTCCGGAGTTCTTCAAAAAGAGCTGCAAAAAACCCCCCAACAAATAGAGTGAAATATCGAGAGAGAACACATGAGGTTTCTCCTTTAACAAACAAATATACACACACATTGTACATCAGCCAGCACATGTGCACACACCACACACACACACCGCCACACACGAGAGTCAGTGTTGCTCAGTCTGTTTTTCCGGGCTAGTTTCACCCTCTGGAGATCATAGTTTACCCTTTTGCTAATGTCCCAAATGGCCCACAGAGCAGCAGTAAATGGGAGGGGAGTCAGTGTAGGTGCCCTGGGCTGAGAACTCACCGCTTTTCTCTGTCCAGACCTGCAGCTCTTGGGCCAGCTCAGGCACCACCAGGAACGTCCTCCAGCCCTGACGCTTCTTGGATTTCAGGATATCTCCAAAGATATGGTCTCCGATGTACAGGATATCTTTGCCTTTCGCCCCCAATAGATCACACACCACATCCGAAGAACCTAGGGCAGGAAGGAGAGGTACGTCACTAAGCTGTCACCACTTGTGATGTAAACCATGAACCCAGTGTCTATTTACAGTCTTTTACAGTACAAATAGAGTCCCGTGTTGTAGTGGTTAGAGCACTTGACTCACAAAACCTAGGCAAGTTTCCTTACTCCACACGCCTCTGTTTACCCAGCAGTAAGTAGGGACCCGGTTGCTAGTCAATGGCGGATCGCTTTCCGGGGTAATAATCCCTCAAATCTACGCCCATTTGTGGGACGCCGCTGTGCGCAATTGAGTGCCGCGTTTCGCCCACAAAATAGTCAATTCACTTTACAGTAAACTCTGTGAAGCGCTTTGAGACGTCTCAACAAATGCAATGATTATTATTAAGTATTACACAGAGTAACACAGCACGGAAAGCGGATTCCAATCAGGCTCTTGTTCAACAGCAGTCTGTAAGATTCCTTGTTCAGACAGAGACACAAAGTTGGCAGGGGTTCAGTGTGAGGCTGTTAGGACTGTCATTCTTACCTCCAGAATAGACAATGCCATGCTGCAGGGGGCCTGTGTAGGTGCCAATGCGCAGCTTCCCAGCCACCTGTGATAATCAGATACGATCACTGGTGAGAGTATGAAAATGTGACGTTCCATCGATCGTTGTACGGAAAAGTCTAGTGTTTACAATGAAAATAAGCAGGGAATCGAGAACAAGGGGGCATCGGGTTAAAATTAGAGCTAAGGCATTTTAGGAGTGAAATCAGGAGAGTTTTTCACACACACACACACACAAGGGAGAGTGGAAATCTGGAACTCTCTCTCTCTCTCTCTCCCTCCCCAGAAGGTTGTGGATTATGGCTGGATCCATTCACATTTTCAAGATTGAGGTGGATGGATGTTTGTTAGATCAGAGTGTCAAAGGACATGGGGCAAAGGCTGGTTAATTGGAGTTGAGGTACAGATCAGCCATAGAATGACGGAACAGGCTGGACGGGTTGAATGGCCTCCTCCTGTTCCTAAGTGTAATTGACACCCTGTTTGTAGCCGCTGGGATCTGAGAAGCATTGCATTGACCACAGGCAAATGAACAAGTTGCGTCAAGCACTCAAGAGACTGACTGCTCCATACGTGGTCAACCGCAAGTGCATTTTTCCTTCAAGTCATAGGTTTCCCTGGCTCAGAGACACACTGTTCCCTGGTTTCTCTCAAGAATGTACTCAGTGTTAATGGAGATGCACAAAAGGGACCCATCATCGCTCATCGTTCAATGTCTCCTCCCGCCCGGCAGTCTGCTGGAGATCAGTATCTGATCACAGTGCGAGTTGCAGCCACAAATTCAGCTGCTATCAGGGATGGAAATTGATCTCACACAACTGGAAGTGCTGTGAAGGAGATTGTGCGGATACTGTCGAGAGGACCTGGGTTCAATCCCAGTCCCGGGCGGATCAGGGCAAAGCCTTAGGCAAGTTTCCTTACTCCTCCCACACGCCTCTCTGGGTACCTAGCATTAAGTAAGAACCCGGTTGTTAGTCGATTGGCAGATCGCTTTCCAGGGGTAATACTCCCACCGAAATAAAAAATGTGGTCACTCGATCCACGGCAGCTTATGGGACGGACACTGATGCTTGCAATTGGTTGCCATGTTTCGCCCAGAAAACATAGTCACTTTACAGCGTATTCTGTGAAGCACTTGGAGACGTCTCAATGACGTGATAAGGTACTATATCAAATGCGAGGATTATTATTATATTATTATACTGTGAACGCTCTGTGCGATGGGGAGGAAATGAGTGAATAAAGAATCTGATGGGAAGCCACCAGTGAGCTACAGTTGGGTGGTGGGAGAGACTGAAAGCACCATTGTTTCTGTTGCCAAAACAGATATGTGTAAATGAGGGAAGCAGAGAGATGGAGCCTACAGCAATGTGTGATGCTGTGACTGAGCCCTCAGCAAAGTATACCAGAAACAACAGGCAGCACACACGAGTCCTCAGCACCAGAAACAAGGCAGTCTTCATGTGGAGATGGTGAACAGCAATAACAACTGCACATGACACTTATACGAAGCCTCTCACGTTGGGAGGATGCTGGACAGTCAGGGATTTGGACCCGAAGGGATCAGGAGGGTTGGAGGGCAGGGAGGGTGAGTGTGGGAGGGTGACCGAAGGCACGGTCGAAGAGGAGGGTCTTGAGACATGCCTTGAAGGAGACGAGGGAGGGGGCACGACGAATGGGATTTAATTCCAAAGGGTGGGGACAAAGAGGCTGGTACATGGCACAGGTTACACAGTAGGGAAGGCACATACAGCAAAGCAAGCCTGTCGTTAGTACAAAATGTAGTGGAATTACTCACCGTATCCACCTGTCTGAGGACGGTCCCTTCACCAAAGAATAGAGGCTTTCGTGTGTCGACCACAATCAGGTCAAAATAGGAACGCCAGCTGCGGTGGGCGGTTCCAGGCTGGAGAAAGAGAGAACAGCAAGTTTCTAACCAGCTCAGAACTTTCAGAACAGAGTCCTGTAGCTCAGTAGTTAGCGCACTCACCTCGTCAGAGAAAGGACCCGGGCAGAGCGAAACCTTGGTCAAGTTTCCTTATTCCACACACGCGCCTTGGTTTACCTAACAGTAAGTAGGATTCTGGCTGTTAGTCTATTGGAGGATCATTTTCTGGTGGTAATAATCCCTCAGAAATGTTTTTTGATCGCTCAATCCACGACTGTTTGTGGGACACTGATGTGCGCAATTGGCTGCTGCGTTTTGTCCACAATATACAAAGTCACTGCACTTTAGAGTATATTCTGTGATGAGGCGCTATTTGAAATTAAGTGTGAGTGCTGCCCCTGCACTGACTCAAGTGCTGTGCATTTTTGCAACAACTTTACCTTTGGCCCGTGAGGGAAGTCAAACAGGTAACTCATGATAGCCTGGAAAAGAAAAGTGATTACTAGTTAGTGTGTGTGTGTGTGTGTGACTCCCTGCCCTGTGTGTGTGTGTGTGTGTGTGTGACTCCTTGCTCTGTGCGTGTGTGTGACTCCTTGCTCTGTGCGTGTGTGCGCGCAATTCCCTCGGTAAAATTGGTCACTCACTCCGTGGCTATTTGTGGGACACTGCTGTGCCCAACTATACTGTTACATTTCATCCACAAATTAAACAGTCAATTCACTTTACAGTATATTCTGTGAAGGGCTTTGAGACGTCTCGACGACGTGATAAGGCGCCGTATCAAATGGAAGGATTATTATTATTATTTATAATCGGAAAACTAGCTCAGGAATCTGTCACTGACGGTGACATTTAGATGGAGAAGTGACACACTTACGTCAGTGTAGGAGTAATCACTGTTAGTCGCGAGGAAAACCTTTGCAACCTCATTCATTCGACTGAGCAGCAGGGGCAGGCGAGGCTGCAGGGGAGCAAGAAGGAGTCAGTCACACAGAGACCACAGGTATTTACTTCCCTTAAACCTCGATGGCCAGTGTGGTCAAAGCCAAGGAGGGTCAACAGCTTGTTTAGCAGAGATGAACAGCATCCCCACACCCCTATCTGTTCATGTGGTGAAGGTAAAACACTTTACAGGAGGCGGCTTATGTCTGAAAAGCGGTCGAGATAGAGCTACTTACATCCTTCATCACGTATTTCTCCATGTTTTCGAGTGTTTTCTTTTTCAAAGTTCCCTGAAAAAAATGAGACCATTCAGTATCAATGACTCCAGCAGTTACCCCAACGCACACTCTGGGCTCCCCCCTAAACCTTGGCTCGCCACAACCTGCACTGTATACTCTCCGGAATTAGGTAAGCAGGATGCGTCTCTCCAGGGAGAGAGTGAGAGTGCGTATCCCATTCCAACAATCTATCTCTGGGATTTCCATGTGTAGGTGGGAGGCGTGGAATTCGCAGTTTTGTTTGGAGACTCTTAAGCAACGGTGACGGGTTTCCAAGAGTGTCAGACTCCCAGCTGGAGGAGGGACTTGCCTGACTTACCGAATCATGCACGAAATCCATTGCGTCTCGCACGTCCTGGAACATGTTGTGATAGGACATGAAGAGATCGCCGTGTTTAAACCCTGTGTCACAGCTGGAGAGAGGAAAAGAGAATCAATTACTATTGAAGTTAATAGCCTTAGCTTTAACCGACCTGTTTGCATTGTTGCAGAGCTGTTATGTTCTGGAATGCACTGCCTGAACGGGTGGTGGAAGCAGATTCCATTGTAGCTTTCAAAAGGGAATCGGATAGTTACTTAAAAGGAAAAATGTGCAGGGTATGTGTAAGAGCGGGGGAGTGGGACTAGTTGGTAGCTCTTTCAAAGAATAGCCTCCTTTCACCCAGCCAGGGAATCAAAGTCGGGTTCTCTCGCTTGCGAAAGCTAACCAATAGTCAGACGATTAGAGGTAGACGTTCCTCTTCTCTGCCTGGCTGGATCTCAATCCAGATAACTGGGATGTTTTCAGTCCCATCAGTTTGCTGAATTTTTACTCTGGTAACAGATAGATTAGTTCACAGGTGAAGCCTGGCTACCCTGACCTTAATGTCTCTTCAGTGATGAGCAAGTTTTTGGAACAGAAGCTTGGAATAAGGTTCCTCACTGTTACCTGGTGTATGTGGAGCACTTAGTGAAGAAGTCAACAAGACAGGCGTAGAGATACGTTTCTGCAATAAAAACAAAGAGTTAAGGAAGAATCGGTAAAGCCATCTCTACAATAGCTGTCCCAGATCTGCGGTTGGCAAGCCATTTCCTCAACCTCAAACTGATCCCAACTGTGTAATTCCACAACACTCACCTGCGAGGTTGAAGAGAGTGTTGAGGATGTAAAATCGTTCCATGTCGTCTCTCTGGATGAATTTGTTGGGATACTGGTCAATGATTTCTGCTCTGAAGGAAAACAAGAAAAGCAGGTGACAGGCAGGTTGGGTTGTAACACAGGGAATGGAATCTCTCCCTCTCTCAAAGACTGACTAAGGTTGGGCTCAGGGTTGGAACCGACACATATGCTGCCCCGTGCTGGTCATTATCAAATGTTCCTTAACATAACCATTTGAGGTTTGCTCAGCAGACTCTGGGTTGCTCCACGTCCCCTCAGCGGTCAGACCTTCAGACTCTCTGCCCCCACCCTCTGGAACACCATCTCACCTCATCTTCGACTGCGCCTTGAGTCACCCTTGAACCCCCACCCTCTCGTCCTCCACCCCTCCTGATCCCAACCACCAAATCCCTGATGGTCCAGTGCTTTGAGATGTCCTCCCAACATGAAAGGCGCTGTGTAAATGCAATTTGGTGCTGTTGCTCCACCTCTTGCACATTTGACCATGTATTTTACACAGTGCTGTACCACAGTACTCAACCCAGGTTTGGGTGGACGCTGAGCAAAGCAACAGCCAGACCTCAACACACAGACTTCTCAGACATACATGTGCAACATTGTCCACAAGAGCAGGGGGGGATTTGAATGGAGTGCCCATGTTAGCGTTGGGGTGGGGGGCAACGCACTGAATAAATACCTCTGTGACTAGTGGAAAACAAAATCTTCTTTTAGATGAAGGTTAAAAGACATTTTGTGCATTTCCTTAGAAGCGGGAGTAATCTTTCTCCGCATTGTGCTATGCGATAGCCACTGGCTCTGTATCAGCAGTTGCTGATTCTGTCACTCACTGGAGTTTAACAATAGCTGTTGTCTGCTCACCGAGTAGATAAAAATACACAAGTGATAAACACACTGGCACAGCATCCTCACAAACACCTGGAGACTGACACACGGCATCCCCACAGCAGCTGGGTTCCTGCTTACTGCTTGGTAAACAGAGGCGTGTGTAAGTAATGAAACATGCCTAAGGTTTCGCCCTGGTCGGGAATTAAACCCGGGTCCTCTCGCTTGCGAGGCAAGTGCTCTAACCACTACACTACAAGACTCCACAATGACCCTGTGACTACACTGTAAGATCTCTGGGCTCGCACTCCAGAGATTGACTGACATGTGGGTCTGTCTGTTCTCCTGCCCAGAGCTGCTGGAGGTTATCAGACAGTAATCGGATTGCATCAAGCTCAAAATGTCCTGCACTTGCGTAAATGTCTCGAATTCTACTTTGTGTCACTGAGTGAGCAGTGGAGATTTTGGGGGAGTCACTCAGCAGGCAGTGTGCACACACTCAGCACCGACAGGTGCAGATTATTTTCAGCATTGGGTTAAGCAAGAGAGAGATAAAGTGAGGCGAGTGAACCGAACAAGGCAATCTGGTCTGACATATTTGTACCAAAAACAAGGAACATTTTAACATTCTCATTGCTAACCTTCGGGGGAGAAATTCCATGTGGCTCTATATTTACTCTCTTTATGTCGCAAATTGTTAACTTTAGCCTGGACTTGACGTTGATTTTCTGTAGTTCTTATAAGGTGGAATTTCTCCCCAAATCTCTAGTATTAAAACAAACAAGACGTATGTTTATAAGACGCACTCTGAAAAAGAAAAAATAATCCTTGGATTTGATATAGTGCTTTATCACATCTTCCTTCCAGACGTCTTAGAGTGCCTCACAGACTATACCGTAAATTGGAGTGTACATTCTGTGGACAAAACCCAGCAGCCAATTGCGCACAGCAATGTCCCCACAAACAGTTGTGGATTGAGTGACCAAACTATTATTATTGAATGGGTCCTTTCTTTGAGAGTGAACAGCTTTCTCGTGCTTCTGATCTCCAGAAGCAATCCGTCCGCAAGACGTACATGTGGCATACTGTGTACTAGAGCAGGGGGGATTTGAATGGAGTACCCATGTTAGTGTGGGGGGGGGGGCAACTCACTGAATAAATACCTCTGTGATTAGTGGAAAACAAAATCTTCTTTTAGATGAAGGTTAAAAGACATTTTGTGCATTTCCTTAGAAGCGGGAGTAATCTTTCTCCGCACTGTACTATACTTGTTCATTCTGGATTTTTTGAAATAATTTTTTTAAAGTGGTGAAGTTTTCCCCGACAGAAAAAAAGGAATCTGCTGGCTATTTGTAGCAGGATCCCGATTTAACAGGAGCTGAACGGGATGAGACAATGGCTGAGAATGGATCAGTGTATCACAGCCCTGTGAGTAGGGTTTACCCTGCTCCTTACTCTCCACATTCTTTCCTGACTATTCCACTTGATTCTTTTGATCTTTGCAATTCTTCGGAAGGCATTAAAGGTATAAGCGCAGCCAAGGCTGACTGACTGGGAACAGTGAATGATGAGGCCAGTTAATGACTTGAACCGCAACCATGCACAGAATCTGATGCTTGGAGCTTGAGAATCAACTATTTATATACCAGAGGATTAGGGGGCAAATGTCATCACAAGCTTCTGTTTGATAAAGAAACTCTGGGCTGGCTCCGATTGGCAACATGAACAACAAGCGAGAGGACCCGGGTTTGATTCCCGGGCGGGTCAGGGCGAAAGGTTGGTCCCCACGGCATAGTTTCCTTACTCCACACACACGCACACCTCGGTTTACCGAGCAGTAAGAAGGAACCCGCTTTTTAGTCCATTGGCAGATTGCTTTTCTGGGGGTAATAACCCTTCAAAAAAATAATAATAAATGTCCTCCTCCTATTCCTATTGAAACTGAACAACACGTTCAAAGAGTGAATATGTCAAAGTGGCAACAGTAAGAATGGAAGATCGTGTCCAACAAAGAGTTAGTGACGACAGAGAGACCTACCCCTTGAGGAAATGGAAACCATGTGCGCAGACCAGGATGTTTCCATGAGAGTCGACCTTCAGAAGGTTTCCATACACAGTGTCGACCACCAGCCCTCTGGAGAGAAAGAACAGTCTCAATGTTAAACAGCAAGAAACAAGACCGTACGTTTATATAGTGCCCTTGGATGTTGCATCTTGGAGCACAACACAAAATGGAGCTGGAGACCAAGCCAGGGGGAGGGAGAGGAGGGAAGTGACTTTAGGCAATTGTCGAGGAGAATAATATTATTCGAGGAGGAATAATATTCCTCCCTTTTGATACAGCGTCCTGTTGTCGAAATGTCTTGAAGAGAGCACTTCACAGGATTTTATGGTGAAGTGTAATGACTGTGCATTTGCTAGCAAACACCCTTTTCAAATTGAACAATCTCTCCCTGGGATTTCTTTGTATAGTTGGGATGTATGGAAATCTCAGTTTGGTTTGGAGACTCTTAAGCAATGGTGTTGGGTTCCGCATATCAGTCACTCGGCTGACCAAAAAAAAATATATTATCTTGTGGTCAATGTTTTGACTGAAAAGGGTAGGAAAACATCATTAACAGATTAGTTTACGTGACTTTTAGTTTGAATTTTGCATTTTGTTGGCGACTTATCTCAATGGGCTGTTGCTCAATCATTGTTTAAAATAGAAATACGGACAGAATGAATAGCTGTCGATGGATTCCACAGCTGATAACATTTGACTGCATCAGCATTTTATTGAAAGATTTTCAACCCTTTTTTTTAAAAACATCTCTCGCTTTCTCCGTCTCTATGCAGGTTTCATGGTGATTCACTTCATGGTGGTTTATGGTTTATTGCTGTGTGCAAATCGGCTGCCACTTTTCCCACAAAACACCCAGTCAATGAACTTTACAGTTCAACCTGTGAAGTGCTTTGAGATGTCCTTGCGACATGAAAGGTGCTATACCATATATAAGGATTATTATTATATGCCAAAATTATCACTGCGTTTCTGCACAGGTTACTAGTCTCCTGCTTCCTATATTAATAACAATAATCCTTGCATTTGATATAGCACCTTATCACATTGTTGAGACCTCTCAAAGCGCTTCACTGAATATACTGTAAAATATGGTGGCTGTATATTACGTGAGCAGTCACGACACAGCAGTCAGTTGCACACAGCAACATCCCACAAATAGCCATGGAGTGATTGACCAATTTTTTTTATTTGGGGGTGATTGTTGGCCAGGACAACGGGAGAGAGAAACTCCCGTCTCTTTTTAAATAGCGCTGCGGGCGATCTTTAACGTCCAGCTGAACAGGCAGACAGGGAGTGAGGTCTAAAGTCTCATCTGAAGGACGGGAGGCAACAGGAATGTTAGACCTCCTGAATTTCCCAGCATCAGAGCAAGATAAGGATCATAAACCACCTGATGAAGTGTCCAGTGATATTCCTAATGGCCATTTTATCTGCTGCTAGCAGTAAAGTCATTAGGAGTGGGACTCTGGTTTATATTACCCACTCTAAATCACATATCCTGAAACTGAGAAAGGATCTACCCATAGAAGGAAGTGCGTATGAGAAAAGTACATGATCACCCAGAGATGGCTCGCACAGTTGAATTCACTTATTTTTATGTTGACTGCAGCTAATCATATTTTAGTAAGAAAAACAAATTGATTTGCACGTTATAGTTACAATCAAAGAAACCTCTGCCCAGAGGATTATTAATAATAATACTTGCATTTAATATAGTGCCTTATCATGATTTTGAGATGTCTCAAAACGCTTCACAGAATATACTGTAAAGTGGATTGACTGTGTATTTTGTGGGCGAAACATGGCAGCTAATTGTGCACAGTAGTGTCCCACAGGCATGTGAACAGAGGACAATCACCTAACAACTGGGTTCCTACTTACTGTTAGGTAACCAGAGGCATGTGGAGTAAGGAAATTTGCCTCAGGTTTCGCCCTGCCCGGGGAACCGAACCCAGATCCTCTCACTTGCAAGGCGAGTGCTCTAACTACTAAGCTGCAGGACCATTTACCGGTGTTGCGTTGTCTGCTCTTATCTCATTGCCCTGCTCTTTCCCCAAACCCTTTAAGAATCAACTCTTTATTATAATAACAATCCTTGTATTTGATTGTAGCACTTCATTGCGTCATCTCAGAAGCTTCATAGGATTTTACTATAAAATGTGACTATGTAAAGTGTGGGGAAATACAGCAGCCAATTTGTGTACAGCCATGACCCACAAACAGCTATAAAGCGAACTGACCACTTTTTTTTATCATCAATTGGATTATTGGCCAGGAACCGGGACAAACTCCCTCCTCGTGCTACGTGATCTGAACAGGCAGATGGAAGCTCGGTTTAATGTCTCATTCGAAGGACGGCACCTCAGACAGTGCAGTGCTACCCCAGCACTGGACTGGAGTGTCAATCCAGTGATAAATACCCTTGCAATCTTGAACCTAACTCCTCAATTGTCCCCTACTACTTCCTTTGTCATTGGTTCTCAAACAAACCATGATCTCTGACTGCTCTCTCTCCCTCTTAACAGAATCTTTCACCTATCCCAGCAGGTCCCTTACCCGGGCACCTCGGAGGAAACACACTATTTAAAACTTACAGTTACAGTCACAGCCACAAAACACGTGCTGCTCATCAAACACTTAGCTCAAGTCCAAAGAGTCCATGGTCTAATAGAATGGTGGAACAGGCTCGAGGGGCTGAATAACCTCCTCCTGTTCCTATGTTGAGTCCCACATGCGTAAAGCCTTGTTTAAACTGCACTTCAGAGGAAGAGATATGAAGAATTCAGCCTGGACATAGGTATGTACGTAGAGGTCATTATTGGCACACATTAGCCTCTTGAATGACTGAACAAACAAAAGCTGTACGCAGCACTGATTATTTGAAGGGCATGCCCTGAACATGGGTTCAACAAACTCCTATTTTGGGAGCTGTTGTCACGATTAAAGAAAAATATCCCAGTCGCTGGGTCTTCTTCATTCTCCAAATGGATTAAATCCTTCACACATTTTAGGATTAATTCCACTGAGAGATGGATTGTGGTGGAAGTTTCCAAAGGAACATCTCTCCCATAAGAAATTGTTTTGCCATTAGGTAATTGACATTTGACACCTCTGCTCTTCTCTGTACATAAGGTGCAGACACGCCAGGCTGTACAGTGTAAATAGGTATATATATCGTATCATCCTAACCGTAATAATAACAATTAATAATAATAATCCTTGCATTTGATATAGCGCATTATCACATTATTGAGAAGTCTCAAAGAGCTTCATAGAATATACTGTAAACTGAATTGTATATTTGTATACTTTGTAGGAAAAACGTGGCAGCCAGTTGCACACAGTGTTGTCCCACAAACAGCCTTGCATTGACTGACCAATTTTTTTGGGGAGCGATTATTACCTGGAAACGTGATCCGCCAATCGGATAACTACTGGGTTCCTACTTACTGCTAGGTAAACAGAGGTGTGTGCATGGAGCAAGGAAACTTGCCCAACATTTTGCCCTGCCCGGGAAACAAACCCGCGTCCTCTTGCTTACAAGACGAGCGCTCTAATCAATACGCTACAGGACTACACAATACACCGTACCGCAATCTGCTGTGTATATAAGGCATATTTGCTGCTGTACTGTATTATATAGTGCTCAATTTACCTGGTTGGGAAACTGGTGTCATATGTGTAGAGGAGCAATTCCTGTGGATATCCAACCGACACCAAGTGCTTTATCATCAGTTGAAATCCCAGCTCTTCATACTCAGGGGAATTGTACACTGTGAAGCAGAACCGTAAATTAACATCTGTAGCTCATTAGCAGTTTATCCCAGTAATATTTACCTGAACAGCATCAGAAGCACAGAGGGAAATATTAAAAGCCTTCCATATAACAGTGCAATTTTCCAAAACATTTAATAACAATAATAATCCTTGCATTTGATGCAACAACAACAAGATTTCATTTATAGAGCGCCTTTCACGTCAGGAGGACGTCACAAGGCGCTGGATAGTTGGGTCGGGACCCAAGCAGGGGGTGAATGGTCAGGGTGAGGGGAGGGAAGGGAGGGAGCGAGGAGGGGGTAGAGAGTCGAGAGGGGAGCTGAAGGCACGGTCAAAGAGAAAGGTTTCGAGACCGGCCTTGAAGGGGGAAAGGGAGGAAGCAAGGTGAATAATGCAGCACGTTATTACGCCATTGCGACGTCTCAAAACGCTTCTCAGAATACACTGTAAAGTGTAGTGACTGTGTTTTTTGTGGGCCAAACGAGACAGCCGATTGTGCACAGCAGTGCCCCACAAACAGCCCTGGATTGAGTGACCAAATTATTATTATTTTTTCTTACGATTTCTCAAATGTAACCTCTTTTGTTAAATCACAACTCTAGTGCTTACTGCAAAACTTGAGCATTTTTCTGTGTACGTTAAGCAGTGAAGCAGAAAGCATGAATCCTGCTGCTAAATGTTTTGAAAGGGGGTCGGGTCCTTACCTGCCAGAGTGTAGTCCATGTCAAACCCGAAACATTTGATCTTCTCCAGCCCCAGACTCCTGTTGACAAACACTCTGCAAAACGAAGTACAAAGAATCTATCAGCAACACACAAACCCCTGAAACACACGAGCGGGGAAGCTGAGAGGCTGTACTATTAAGATGCAGGAGACACATGGTTATAACGCACCGGTGTTGAAGCATCTGATTTGTGCTCATGGTCCTGACATTCCCTCAAAGGAGGCACTCACCCCTGCACCGGCAGGCAACGGGTGAACTCTAAGGAGAGTTCATCTGCATCAGAGGATCATACCGCTCCTCCCCGCTGGTTCCGAAGATTGTTGGCTGCTGTGTAGTCAAAGCATCAGAGACAACACTACAATGGAAGATTCTTCACCTCGCGTACAATTCAGTAATGCCTTCCTGCACTGCGACCAAAGCGTTGTGGGGTGGGGGGGTGGTGTTTGCTGCTGGGCAGTAATCTCTGGAGTCCTACAGAGTAGTAGTTAGAGTACTCGCCTCACAAGCGAGAGGACCTGGGTTTGATTCCCACCCGGTCGAAATGTTGGGCAAGTTTCCTTACTCCACACGCCCCTGTTTACCTCGCAATAAGTAGAACCCCGGTTGTTAGTCGATTGGCAGATCGCTTTCCGAGTGCAATAATCCCTCAAATAAAAATTGTATCACTCAATCCAAGACTGTTTGTGGGACACTGCTGTGCCCAATTGGCTACAGGGTTTCACACAAAATATACATTCAATTCACCTTACAATATATCCTGTGAAGCACTTTGAGACATCTCAAATCAAATGCAAGGATTATTATTATAAAAAGCAGATCACCTCCCAGCACTAGGCATCCTCTCCTCCAGCTATAAACTTGTGTATGGTCTGGTCACTTGGAGGCAAAGTGTTTCTATACAGGTTTAATTCCTGTTACACCACTTTTTCCCCCTAAAAGTGTCTGACACCCAGAGCCCGTCACTGCTCATTACTGATTTGTCTCGCACGATTGCATTTGCTGTTAAAAAGTATCCAGGAGCTGTTAAAGTGTGACTGTTTGAGGAAAACAAAATTTCCTATCGTGCAAGGGGGATGTGCAATGCGTATCTGATGAAGATTCCCTGATTCACTGAAGGCAGCCTGCAGCGTAATGTGTGCTTTGCAACACAAACAACTGTCTGAATCACCCACTCCACGTCTGTTTTTGAAACACTACCAATGACTGAATGGAATCTGTTTTGCTTGACATGAACAGCCACTTTCACTGAATAAACTGAAACTACATGTCTTCCCGGGTGAGGAACTATTAATAATATTAATAACTATTAATAAACCATTGGGAACTTCACCTGAAGAGTTCCTGGAGTCTGAAGAGCAGAGAACCTGATGAGGGTCATGTGCTGTAGCTGCCTATTTGTTTCCAGGCTTTTCAGAAACTTCACTGACTGCTTTAACATTATCAATCTTGGAGAGATGTCATATCAGTTTGCTGACAGCAGTTACTCCCTTTTAAATTTACATCAACTCACTCTACTGTGTCAAAGCCACAAACACAAAACAAAGAACAAACACACAGTCACTACACTTTACAGTAAATCATGTGAAGCTCTTTGAGACATCTCAACACAATGTGACAACAAGCTATATCAAATGCAAGTATTATTATTGTCAATGACAATAAAAATTCAGAAACTCACATGCCCGACACCCCAGACGGTAATTGTTAACTGAGTCCCAGTGATTGATTGGCTGTACCTGTGGTGATAATCTCGCTTGAGTAGGCGATAGTCAATATGACTGCTGTCCCGAGATGTACGGCGACTGCTCTGCCCAGGGGAATCGCTGGTAACACTCCCCATTCTTATCACTTCCAAATTCCTTCTGTCTATAACTCAATCCAGTAAACGTTTGCTGTGCGGCAGAACACACCAACTGACCAAGCTGTGGCTCAGACCACTACCCTTATATCCTGACTCACTTCACGACAAAAGGAATCAATTTGTTCCCCTTCCCTTCTTTTTTTCTCTGGGCTCGGTTATCAGTTGAGCCCAGCTGAGAGCAAGGGTGCTGTCATCAGAGCTGTGATCGTGCAGTGAGGCAGAGCTCGCTCGCTCGACGTGTGTTTTAGCAGCTGTTCGTTCCACAAGGTGTAATCGTGCCCTTGCTGACCTGCTTGTGACAAAGAATTGTGCGCTATCTCCCCTCTCCAAACCCACCCCGGGCTCTTCGTAAAACCCTCCCACTGCCTGCAACTCACAGCAAATCCAAATATGTGTTCAGTTAGCCAGTTGGTTGTTTTTCAGAAGAGAATCTATTCTCCCGCCACTACAACAGTGGTTAAAAAAAAAGTTTAATGCTAAGTACCAAACAGGGCTTAATATTCAATACTTTTTGCAACATTTATTATTATAATAATAATCCTTGCATTTGATATAGCGCCATATCGCATCTTTGAGATGTCTCAAATCGCTTCAGAGAAGAAACTGTAAAGCGAATTGACTTTATATTTTGTGGGCGAAACACGGTAGCCAATTGCGCACAGCAGCGTCCCACAAAAAAAATTTGAAGGGATTATTACCCCTGTCTAGCGTTTCGCTCTGCCCAGGAATCAAACCCAGTCCTCTCGATTGCGAGGCGAGCGGTCTAACCACTAAGCTACACCAAACAAGGTGTTTGCAAGGTTTATTATTCCAACAAGTGACTGTTCTCCCTGGGGGGAGGGAAGTAAGTGGAGTCGCAGGGCGAAACCTTGGCCAAGTTTCCTTACTCCACACAGAGCCTAATAATAATCCCTCCAAAACCAAAAACACTAATAAATTGGTCATTTTCAATTCACGGCTGTTTGTGGGACATTGCTGTGTGCAATTGGCTGCCGCGTTCGCCCACAAATATACAGTCAATTCATTTTACAGTATATTCTGTGAAGCTCTTTGGGACGTCTAGAAGACGAGAAAAGCGCTATATCAAATGCAAGGATTATTATTATTATTATTGAGGGAGAATTGCCAGGTGGCCACATGCGTTTTTGCGGCAATACTCAGTGGATTTTGATGTGGGAGTGAGATTTTTCAGGGCTGTCGAGGTCAGCTAATTTAGCTTAGAGGAGATCAATACTAGGACAGACAGAACTGCTGTGTACAGTTCAGCTCTCCTTTACCCAGCAGCGCATTTACCAACTGAACCATCATGGAAAAGCCCAGTTCAGGTTTTAACATAACATAATGTTTTGAATATTAAAAACAGATTCTGGCTAGTTTGCTTGTCAAACCAGTTCAAAGACTGATTGTTGAAAGCTGATTTACTGGACGTATGCTCAGTGTCAATCAGCTACTTTAGGGTGGCTTTCTACCTCATAGTCAATCCAAGGTATGGAGGGAGGGAGGGAGGGAGGGGCAGGCATTCACACAGCTATGACATACTTCAATAAAAGATACCACTCGCTCTGAGAATACCTGGTCAAGATGGGTAAAGCTATTGATCCTACATCCAGGGTTGAATCAAGAAGATGACTTGCTAATACAAGATACAAAACAAAATCATTTATATGGTGCATTTCACATCGGGAGGACGTCTCAAACACACAGAACCTTTTCGTTTGAAAATAAAGTCAAGCGACGTCTAATTCAAGTAATGTCCCTGATGTGAAGAAGTGTGATCTGACATAACATGTAGTTAAAAGTAGTAGTTTAACATAGTAGTAGTTTAACATAGTAGTTAAAAGAGCACTTGCCTAGCAAGCAAGAGGACCTGGGTTTGATTCCCAGGCAGGGTGAAACGTTGGGCAAGTTTCCTTACTTCAAACACTTCTGTTCCCCTCGCAGTAAGTAGGAACCAGGTTGTCAGTCGATTGGCAGATTGTTTTTCCGGGGATAATAAACCCTTTTAAAAAAAATTCTTGAGGTAGTGTGAATCGTGATTGAAGAAAAATAACTAGAAAGTTCTTTACAAATTGCCTATCTCCTCCCTTTAATTATATCTGCAGGTTAATCTTAATTGAATAAAAACATGATCGGCTGAAGCTTTCAGGTGACTCAGTTGGGAAAGTCACAGTGTATTATGTGAAGGTGGTCCATACAAACAAACAAACTTGAAAGGTGTCCAGTTCAATCTGTGGCTTGTACAGAATTAACTAATCTGAACCAGGCAGAAATGCACTGGATTCAGTAGCCCTGGATCACACAACAGGAAGCAAACTCTCCTGCTTTAACAAGAAAGAGTCCCTCCACTTTACAGTGTAAACTGTGAGCGCTTTGAGACGTCTCGACAATGCAATAAGGTGCTGTATCAAGCTCCGTGAGAAAGCGGCAGTCTGCTGATTTCAGTGTGGCCTCTGCTCAAAGGCACAGCTCTTGTTCGTGAAAGCTGTGGGGAACAAAGGGGTAAGAAAACTCCATGGAAATGCCTGTATGGATGGAGACCATCCCTCCCCCTAGCACTGTGAAGTTTCAGTGCAAATGCCAATAAATGACGGGATCAAACCAAGCACCCTCTAAACTGTCAGCACAACCTCTCACTCAGAACAGCACTCTAACATCAAAGAAAACTAAAACTGCCCCTGAAAAGGGAAGTCAATTCATTTCACAAAGAGATGCTCAACTCCTAAATTTTCTTTAAGCTGCAAAGAGTTTGTTGCTTCACTCTATTTTCTTCTTGCATACTTAATGTTCCTAGGCACGTCCTTCCCAAAACACTGCCTTCCTCACTCCCTTTGTCTTGCTACCCCCTTCCCATTTTCAGGTCTCTGCTGAAGACCTTTATTTTCGATCGTGCCTTTGGTCACCTTCCTCCCCCTCCCTCTGGCTCGGTCCTAGGATCCATTACTGTAAAGCGCTCTGAGATGCTGTCCGGCGTGGAGGGCGCTATATAAATCCAAGTTGTTGTTGTTGTTGTTGCTCAACTGTGGCATACATTGGGGGTTGTCACAGATTTACAATAATAATTCGCGCATTTGATTCAGTGCCTTATCATGTCTTTGAGACGTCTTAAAGCGCTTCACAGGATACAGTGTGAAGTGTAGTGACTGTGTATTGTGTGGGCGAATGGCAGAAGATAACCTCTTTCCGAAGCTCTCTGAAACGCTTACTCTATGGTGTAAATTCCGGAAGCAGCCTGTTCCCAGCTGTTAACAAAAAAATACAGCATTCATATGAGTGATCTCTGTGAGCTGACAAGTGAATGGCAACAACAAAATTACATTTATAGAGCTCCTTTCACGTCGGGAGGACGTCCCAAAGTGCTGAACAGTCAGGTGTCACAAATACAAGACCAGAAATGCTACCACTCTCAGTGCACAAAGTAATCAGTAATCAAAGCCTAGACAGATGCCTTGGTACATTTTCATTCAGGTTATAATCATAACATCCTGAACCAACCTCGCTGTGCTGGGGAGGCAGCCCGAGCTGAGTGACCGACTGTCAAAAGCCACCTACCTTCCAATCACACTGTGGTGTCCAGGTTCCAAAAGGAGGGAAAGCGACATGTTACAAGTGTTCTTTATCCTCTGCTCCGCTTTCTCTGAACTTCAGTCCTACACCCATGTTCACCCGAATACAGAATGTCTCTCGGATCTGGGCGTGTAGGACCAAAGGGCAATGTTTCACAGTGTTTGACAACAGATCGCTTTGTGTTTCTAATCTTACACATCAAGGCAACCTATTTCTTTTTTGCTCATGGCTGATGATGATAACTGCATCTTTAACACTATGTAAAACATAAATAAAGCTCCAATTCTATTGCTCCGCTGGTAAACAAACAAGGAACTAAATGGATGTTGCCTACTGATACCATTTCACTATTCATGAATAAATCGAGGAACAGGTTGGGGGCTTCATCAAATCAAGGATTCAACAAATACAGACAGTTTCTGTGTGCATTGGCACAAGGTTTAATTGCTGCTAGGGTCTGAGAGTGGTGCACTGTTTATACGTCTAGTAATCACCATTTTACAACCCACTAATTTAAACCATATATTTGGAGCCCGTGTCATGCAGTGCTGGGATATGATGTCACATCTATGATTTGAAACCTGCTTCTGAGCTCTCTTGGACACCAAATGTACTCCTACTATTTATCCCACAGGCGCAAAAGGCAAAGGGCAGCCCCTTGGATGCATTCTTTGGAATCCTGTAGCGTACTGGTTAGAGCACTCGCCTCGTAAGCGAAAAGACCCGGGTTCGGTTCCTGGGCAGTACAAAATCTTAGGCAAGTTTCCTTACTCCACACGCCTCTGTTTACATAGCAGTAAGTAGGATCCCTAATGTTAGTTGATTGGCAGATCGCTTTTCCGGGGGAATAATCCCTTCAAAAAATAAATAATAATTTGGTCACTCAATCCACTGCTGTGCGCAATTGGCTGCCGTGTTTCGCCCACAAAATATACAGTCAATTCACTTTACAGTATATTCTGTGAAGCGCTTTTAGATGTTTCGAAGACGTGATAAGGCGCTGTATCAAATGAAAGGATTATTATTACTATTATAACAAGTGGTTCTAAGACAGCTTTAGCCGAGGTGTGTTTTCAGATTGTGCATAATTTTACCAGAGAATGCTGCTGAGATGGGGAAATCATTGCTCCTATCTCTGATAAATGGGAAAGTGGTGCATTAGATTCCTTACTGCATGTGGGTCAGTATCAGATTAACCAGTTGTGTGGTGGGAGTTTGGAATATTTATACTTAATCTTTTTGAAGAATAACACAATGATCAGAGTGTGATGTTAGGTCATACCAATGAAATCCGGGGCTCATTTCATGGAATGATGCATTGCAAAAAAATCTGGTGCAGATTTAGACGTTGGCTTTTTTTATACAGTAGAGGATGAATCCCCTCAGAGACCTCATAGGGACGTAAGATCCCTTGAATAAATCTGAAATTTTGAGAACAAATTGAATAAATAAATTGTTTGCACTCATTTACATCATATCCTGGACTTCATATACATTGTACAATGTATTTCACATACAAAATATACAGTCAATTCACTTTACAGTGTATTCCGTGAAGTGCTTTTGAGACATCTCGAAGACGTGATAAGGCGCTGTATCAAATACAAGGACTGTTATTATACTTTGTACCATGTACATAACATACATCATGCCTTGTAATTCATACAGACTGTGCCATGTAACTTCATGTTATATACATCATGTCATGTACTTCTTAGATACATTCTGCTTATCATTGCTACTCCATTTCTATGCTTCACTTACTTGTTGGTGCACACAGACACTGCTTCCATGTAAGCTGA